ATTTCTATAAACTTCCGTAAAAAAATACACTGTAGAGGGGTGTATGCAACATTTTCGACATACACAAAGACATCCATCCAAGCTTATCTTTATGGTTATCCTGCTATAGAGAAAAAAAGCCACATCAAAGTGTCAACCTTACGAATTAAGCAAAATTGATCGATATAATACTTAGCATTAGTAATATAATAGAGCTTGGAAACTGCACTACTGTCAGTCATAAGTGATGTCGGCAACTATCTAATAAAAGCATGCCATACCCAAGAACATATGANATATAATAGAGCTTGGAAACTGCACTACTGTCAGTCATAAGTGATGTCGGCAACTATCTAATAAAAGCATGCCATACCCAAGAACATATGAAGGAAACTAGGTAACTATAGTTAGGAAGTGATCTATTTATTAGCCATATAATCTGAGAAGAAGAATCTTCTGCCACGAGGTCAACGAAATGTTTTACCTGTTATGGTTTATCACCTTATACAGATTGAATTTATAGCCAAGAGAAAAATTAAAACTTTTTTTGCAGCCAAATTTGTATTTTTAATTCCGCCACATATAAGCCACTGCGGCTCAAGGATTTCCGCTTTTGGTGGCAATAAATATAGAACTAATTAGATTAGTCTTCATTATCTCTAAAATGACTGTATATTATAAAACATGTGAGCAAAAGACAACTATAACATATCTACTACTATTAATTACTTATTAACAAAAAAAACAACAAAAGGCAAATACAAAGAAAGGGGGAAATATACATACAAAAAAAAATAAAAAATCAATGTTTTTTTTTTGTCATCTCCACTTATCTACTTATCTTGAGGTGGTTCAGAATTACCTCTTAAAGTTAAAGGATAATGATGAGTATCATCATCTTCATCTTCATCATCATCTGAAGTACCCAATTTAAAACCAACATAATCTTCAGTATTCAAACTTTCTTGAGCTTCACCTAAAGAACCTAAATCACCAGGAGTCATTAATCCAAGTTTCCCACTTCTTGGAGATCCTGGAACACTTAATGGACGAGTTAATTTCAAATTTGAAGAATTTGCAAATGGATTAGCTCCATTTTGGAATTTATCAGGATATGCTCTCTTTAAAGATAATTGACGAGCTTTAATATATTCTAATCCCATACGTTTCCAATCTAATAAATCAGATAATCTTTCAGTACGATTACGTTGATTAATTCTTTGACGACGAGTCTTTTCACTAAAATCATACATATAATCAGATAATTGATTAATTGATTCATCAACTGATTTCATTCTTCTATCAACAATATAAATACCATAATCACTTGTGTTTTCAATCAAATCTTCCATATAACAACCAAAACCAGATAAGTTTGTAGTAATTGATGGAACACCCATAACAGTACATTCAGCAGGAGTATAACCCCATGGTTCATAATATGATGGGAAAACACCCAAATGACAACCACGAACAAATTCATCATAATCAAGGGATAAGATTGGATTATTGGCATTAAGGAATTCAGGATGGAATATAATCTTAACACGATCTTCTGGACGGTTGAATAATTGAACACGTCTAATTTGATTCAAGATTGGATCATTATCATCATCAGCCATATTATGAGTCACAATTGGTGGTAATCCTTCACGTTTTAAGGCAAAGATTCTTCTCTTTAATAAGACTCTATCAGCAGGTTTAATTAATTCATCAATTGATGGAACTTCATTATGAATTTTACCATGAGCATTTGGGAATCTTGCACAATGTTCAAATAATCTTTCACCAACTTTCTTTTGAACTTCTTCAATAGTAGATTCTAATTGTTTTATAACAGCTTGACCTTTCAAGGTTTCAACAGTATAAGATTGAGTTCTACCTGGCATAATAATGAATGCAACCACAGTCATTTTGGAACCACTTTCTTTCAATCTATGGTTTAATCTAGCTAAAGCTTCAATAAAGAAATCACACCCTTTATTTCTGAATTCATATCTACCAGCAATGAAAAAGTATAAAGTATTTTCTAAATCAAAATCATAATTACCATAGAAATGACCTTTAACGAATTCATTAATTTTAGCCTTCTTTAAAGCATGTAAGTTTTGGAATTCATGAACCGCTTGGAATTTAACCACATTTAAACCATTTGGTAAAACCCCATCCGGTTTTCTTTTTAATAAATGTTCAGATTCATAAGCAGTAATATGAGAAACTGTAGTGAAAACATCAGCAGAATGAGTAGCTGATCTTTCAATACAATAACGATGATAAATACCTCTTTTACCAGCTTCGGCATCAACATCGAAATTAGCTAAATTATTATAGAAATCAGTTGAACCAGCACAAAGATATCTACCTAAAATAGTTGCATGAGTGGTGAAAATAGTAGTAACATCAATTCTTCTTTTTCTACATAATGGTAATGCAACACCAGCTAACCATTCATGACAATGACAAATAACGGCTCTTTCACGATCATTATAAACTAATTCTCCCAAGAACCAAGCAACCAAATAACCTAATAAAATAGCATCATTAGTTTCAGAATCATGGTCAGGAGTTGGAATACCGGCAATATTCCATAAATCAGATTTCCATTCATTTAAATTATGACCAGCTGACCAAATATCGAATAAAAGAACTCTTGGAGCTCCTTCAATTAACCATCTACCATAAAGCCAACGAATACCACGTTCACTCATTTGGTCCAATGTTTGTTTGATCATTGGATCTTTAACTGGTAATTCTTCAACTTCAATTTGTGCCGATTGATAATTGAGGGGACCAATTAAAGTATAACGTTCTCTATATTCTGCAACAGTAATTGGAGCTTTTGATTTAAGTACGGAATAAATACCACCGACTTTATGAGCAACTTCAGTTGCAACTTCGAAAAGTAAGTGATTGGAAATATCTCTAGTCATTGTTGTTTATATGGGGGGAGTTAAGTATGGGTCAATTGACAATTGTGGGTTTTTCTAATTTAAAAAAAGGGAAATTGAAAATTGATAAAGTGGAATGTTCTTTTTTTTTTTGGCTTAAGGGGGAACTCGGACACTTTTTATTTATACAAAAAAAAAGGATTCTTTCGGACACAAAATTGAAAAATTCTAAAAATTAATTATTAAAATGAAATGATGGTTTGTAAATAAATAATGAATTTCAATGCAAAATAATTTTATAATTTTTACAGGAAATTTATTTAAATATTAATAGGGGGGGATTGGGAGTGATGCAATTAGGTGGGGATTTTGGGAGTATTTAAATATTTGTTAGTTCAAATCAATTGGCAATTTTTTTTTGATTGATTAACGAATGTGTGGGTGTGGTGGATGTGTGGAAGTGAGTGGGAAGATGCTACAAAAATAAAATTTGGCCTTCTAAAACGGTTTGTGTGATTTTACCTTTAATGTTTTAATCTAAAAAGAAGAGAAAAAGAGAGAAAGAAAAGAAAACTGAAATGGTTTGGTTTTTTTATGATTGAACGAATTGATGACCAATTTATAAGATGACTTTCTGGAAATCAGACAGACATCTAATTTTATTTTCCATTAATAATGGCAGCTCAATCCTTTGTGTGGTAAATATATTTACCACCAATTATTTAAATGTGTTGATAATTTCTAATAATTTATTTTTTAATTTAAAACAGCCTTTCTTTTTTTTGGGTGTAAAATGAACCAAAAAAAAAAAGTGGGGAGTTGTTTAGTGACATTAAAATAAAATTATTTTTCGTTAAGAAAATTAAATGGAATGAGAAATAAGAAGAGAAGATTTTTTATTTTTCTTTTGCATATTTCTACAGGGTTACATGACGTATCTATATTTCAATTTGTATTTCTTTAGCTAAACTTTATGACTTTAACAAACTCTAGTAAGAATCTCCCAATTGATAATCAACAACTTCATGAGATATATGCATAACCTTTGTGTTAAACTGGTAATAGGTATGTATGTGGGATGTGTGTGTCTAATTTAATTAAATTAGACATACATTGATAAATTTCAAAAGAATAAAGAAAAAAAAAAAGCAACACCAGCGAAAAATAAACGATGTGGAAAAAAAAACGTCCACAAAAAAATATTCATTTATTAACACATTTACAGTTTAATTGTATTAAGCAAGAAAAAAAATAGCTGTTTCATTTTTTTTAACAACGCTGGCTGGTAATGTCATTGCACGAGAACGTTAGGCAATGTGTGAGATATTCAACCCCTTGCCTAGTAATACAATTACCCAAGAAAACATTTATCTTTAATAAAGTTACAGTGCCCGGGATCTAATTTGAAGATTCTCCGCTCCGAGCAAAATCTCATCATCGTTTTCGCTAAGTTAATGCAACTCTACTTAATTATAAGTGTACCTACACATTTTTGAATCTAATACCACGACCTTCTTCTATTACGCATGTAAAAATTAAAACAACCAAAATTGTATGGGAATATTTCAGGTTCGTGAAAATAGTTTCCAATTTGTTCTGTAGAATGTCTCCAATCTCCAAATATAATAGATAAATTGGTTGCTGTTGCATATAGGTTGATTATATCAATACAAGGATTTAGCTGTGTGTAGAAAAGGTACAATTTTATAAATAAGAAAATAATTTAACACACAATTTTGGTTAGGCAAAAAAACAAGCTATTGTTTAAATTACTAAAAAATAATTGTTATTTTACGAAATGGCTTTAGCCATAAATTATTTTTTATTTGTAAATTCTATTTTTATTTTTAGCAGCCATTTTTTCTTCTTCAAACTGTACAATATCATCAATTGGATAATTTATAAAGTCAACCTTCTTTCCTCCATTTTGTATCCCCCAATTTAGTCTACGTGGGGGATACAAACAAAAGAAGAGATTCAAATTGTGTTGCAAAAAAAAAACTACTTTTCCTAATATACACATTAAAGACTATGAATACTTACACTAAATGACTACTTATACTTCTATCAATTCATCATCACTATCATCGTCGTCACTGTCATTTGGACCACTGAATACAATTCCATTGCTGGCTTTGATTCCATTTTCATTTGATCCAAACCATCCACCTTCTTCATCTTCATCGTTTTGGTCTTCTATTATTTGATCATCATCTTCATCTTCGGAACCAGAACCAGAATCATCTTCCATTTCCAGTATAATATCTTGATCTTTGCCATCTTCTTTTAAATCTTTACTGACAGTCAAATAGCTCAACAAGTATTTATTCTTCTTTCCAATAGTAACAACATCTTTACCAACCTTATTTAAAAATCTTGATAATAATTTCATTGAAGACAGAAATTCAAATTTATGTTCTTGAATATATTTCCCATGTTGAATTAATAAATTCTTAACCCAAAGTAAATAAAATTCAAAATGATGAGAATCTTGCTTTATCAATAATTCACCAACATAAGTCAAAACACGTGAGATATAAACAACTGGTAAATCTTGACAAACTAATTGAATATCACTCAATGGAATTGATTCTAATGTCTTATGAATTAAATAACTTTCATTCAATCTAAAAGACATAACTAATGCAGTAAGATATTCCTTTTCATCAAGTGCTTCCAAAGTGGCTTCAGGAGTAATATCAACATCTAAATCAAATGGATCAAAAATGACTTCTTGATTAATTGAATAAACCAATAAACCTTCAGTTGAAGCAGCAGCAAATGCTGATGAAGTAGGGGAAAATTCAATTGCTGTTACTCTAATTTCAGGTCTGATTCTACGTTCACCTGGATCTCCACCTCTTTGTGAACCTGGTAATGTATTATCAAGTCTATCTTCCAAGTCACTTAATTCTCCATCACGATCAATCAAATCAGAATTTATACCAGAATCAGTAATCTTACCACTGTTGAGGAATTGTAAAGTTCCATCAATTGACATATTTTCTGAAACAATGAATCTTTTCAATAATACTTCATTATCAATATCATACATACAGATGGAATTATTATTACCAGCTGCTAATAAAGTTAACCCATCAAATGAATAACAAATAGTACTGAAATAATTCCCACGAGCTGAATTCTTGGCAATAAATTTATCTTCAAGATATCTTCCTTTAATAATATCCTTCTTTCCATCAATCATATGTAATTGCTTGGCATCTTCAATATCAAATATGGTAATATGACCATCTAATGTCAGGACAGCAATTTCTTTACAATCAGGTCTCATAGTCAAACAAATAACATCATGACTGACTTCAATTGGTTCAACACTTTGACTACGAGCAAATATATTCCAAATTCTAATTGTTTTATCCCATGAAGCACTTGCCAATATCGAATTTTCTTGACCAAAAGTCAAACATGAAATTGGACCTTCATGTCCACTTAATGAATCTAATAATTGTCCAGTTTGAACTGACCAGACATAAATTTCAAATGAATCTTGAGACCCTCCACAAATGATTTCACCACTGGGGTCAACGGCCAAACAATTAAATTGAATACGAGAAGAGGCAGTAAAAGTTCGGAAATTTCTATATCTGATTAAATCCCATGCTCTTATTGTCCCATCTAAAGAACTGGTAAATAATACTTGTCCCCTTTTGGCAAATTTAACTTCAGTTACTGCAGATGAATGTTCAGTAAATGTCATTAAACAGAATCCGGATTGGACATCCCAAATCTTAATCTTACCATCATCAGATCCAGTAACTAATCTTGACCCATCGGGAGAATAGGCTAAGGTATTCATAGAATCAAAATGTCCTTGTTGTTTAAGGATATATGATTCGGATTGCCATTCATATACTAACAATTGTCCTAATTTAGAAGATCCAAATGCTAACCATTCACCAGATTTATTGATATTGACAGTGTCAACTGAATTTTGTCCCATACTTAACAGTTGAACAAGATTAAAATCTTGAATTTCATATATCCTAAACTCACCATTATAAAATCCAACAATTAATAAGTTTGATTCTGGATGGAAAGTTGCACATTTTAATTTCGAATCAGCAAAGAAAAATTCCTTTCTTGTAATTCTCCAACTCATAGGTTTGGTAGATTCTCCATCTTCTTCCTCATCTTCTTCATCCTCACTTTCATCAGTTGGTTTTTCAGTATATTCCCATTTAAATAATGCACCATCTTTACTTACAGTATAAATGATTTCTTGATCAGCGCTGAAAAACGCATTCATAACATAATCTCGATGTCCAGAAAATGTCATACCAACATCTTTTTCCAATGAAGAAATTGAAAAAATCCTAGCAGTCATATCTTTACTTGTACTTATGAAAAATCTTGAATCTTGTGACCAAGAAATACTTAAAACATCATTATAATGACCCAGATATATTCTATGTCTAACAAACGGACTAAATTGTCTATCTTCACTAAAATCAGGAGTTTTCCAAACTTGAATAAATCTCCCTACAGCTACAGCAAAATAATGTCCACAAGGACTAAATTTAATATCATGAACCCTAGATTTGAAATTAAAATGATGTAATACAACTCTCAGGATAAAATTCACAAGAATGGCACGGCCATCTTCATCAATGGAGATTAATAATGTTCCTTGGGTGTTTAAGGCTATATTGGTGATATTCTTTCTATGTTGATAATTGAAAGTGAATGAATTGGAATTGACTAAATCGAAACATGAAACTCGATTTCCTACTGGTGATAATAATTTGGTTCCATCTTTGGTGAATAATAAGTTCCCCTTTCTATATACTGTTCCTAAAAGGTTAGAGAACTTGAAATCTGATTTCATCTTTGGTATAAGTTTGACTTGGTAACTTAAGAGGAGATCAAAGAAGATGGTTAATAAATTTTTCAGATTATGTACAGATGCTCATCGCTCATCTTTTTTAGCACTAGAAAAAAACTTATTGAACTAAATAAAATCCTCAAGCAATAATTATTTACATCTTTGCGGAAGAAGATTTGTTTGTATCCACTTTCTAACCAATTCCACTACTTATACTATATACAAACACATAACCACCAATGTCAGGACTTTCCAGCAGGGTCATGAACATGAAGTTCATGCAAAAACAAGATCAATCAAAGACAGCAAAAGCAGACACAACCACCACCCAGAAAAAAATAACCGATTCCTCAGAATGGGCAATACCACATCTGGCTAAGTTATTGAAATTAGCAGAAAGAAAACCAAAGATAGAAATTGTGGGATATGGCGGAATAATGAGTGCTCCTACCAGACGATCATGGGGTACACAAAATGAAGAAAATAAGCCAGAAGAAGACGATGTTGTGAGGATAACGAAAGAAGCAATAATTCTTGACGACCATTCAAATCGAAAGACAAAGAAAGATGTATGTTTCCACAACTGTAATTATAACTTTATTATAAAGTGAATATACTAACAATATATATTTCTAGAAATCTCTGGATGAGTTAAATTCTTTGTGGGAAAAGAGAAAGATTGAACACAAACCATCAAGTGTGCCGAGAAAGAAGAGAAAGTTATCTAAAGATGAATCCTAGACACACACAGACCTTTGCTATTCATTAACCCTATCATCATCTCCTTTATCATTTCTTCTTTTTCTTTGTATTATTAGTTTCAGCATCTAGAAATTGTCCTTTTATAATAACATCCCTAGCAGCAGAATTTATATGTTTGAATCGGTCAGGTCCTAAATGGATTCCTCCAAACCAACGACTGACAACAACGATAACATTCCATACATCCATCATCTATAGTCAAATAGAAATAGTTAGTAAAAAATCACACGCAAATTACGAATACAGCACAGTCAACATACCTGTAGAACATGTAACAATCTTCCTCCAGCCGCAGTCTCTCCATCATCATCACAATCTTGGAATTGGATTCCATCTGATGTTTTGATTCTCCAACTAGAAATATTATGAGTGGCTCTAGATATCTTCTTATCAGTTATCAATTCGTTGAGATAAGATTGAGCTTCTTCTAAACTAGATACTTTCCTGGCATATGCTATAAATGTGGATTTTCTATCTATTATAGGATCTGATTGTTTCCAACCAATAGTTGGATCTACTTCAACTTTCAAATTCACTGATTCTTTCTTTTTCACAGGAGCTGTTGTTACAGTTTCTTCTTCAGCATCCTTTTTCTTCTCTGGTGGTGGTGATGGTGGTACTGGATGTTCCTCCACATACCTATCGAAGAATTCTTGCAATTCAGTCAACAATTCAAAAAGCATAACTTGTTCAGGAACAAATGCTCGCTGTAATATTTCATTTATATTTCGTTCTAGATATGTATTATCAGTGAATCGACTTCTATTATCATTAATTATTTGTAATAATTGTGGGCTTTCTTCAGGATAATTTTCTGGAAATGTCAATTGAATTGATATGCATTCATGATTTGGGATTTTAAATGTGTATATCTGAGGTGCTATGTCTGTTACTGAATCAGGATATATTGCATCAATTGCCCTCACCTCATCATGTAATTCTTCCACTGTCATTTCAAGGTGGTCTTGCCTAAAATATGTGTTAGAAGAGTCGATGAACAAAGAAAAATGAATTTATCAATTCCTTCCCATCCTTCATCAATCCAAATCCAAACAGCAAGATATGTTAACTGCAGAACAACTCAAGAATGAAGGAAACAAGGCATTCGCCAATAAGGAATACAAGAAGGCGGCCAAAATATATCGTGATGCAATTCAATTAGACATGTACAACCCAGTCCTATATTCCAACCGTGCCCAATGTTTCATCAATTTGAAAGATTATGAAAGAGCCTACAAAGATTGTATAAGCGGGATCAATCTAGGAGCTCCCAATCCCCTTTTGACGAAATTGTATTATAGGCAAGGAATCTCGTTGAAAGGATTGAATCGATTAAAACGAGCTAAAGAAGCTTTTGAAATGGTGTTGAAATTGGATCCCAAGAATGTGAATGCCAAAACCGAGTTAGAGAATATTCGAAATACAGCTGATTTAGATGAAGATATGATAGATGGAGAAAATCTTGTGAATATTCGAATAGAAAATGTTGATGAATTGCCTAATGAATTTATCAGCCTCCTAGAACCAAAGAAAACTACTCCCCCAGTTGTCCCAACCATCCAACCTATTCAAAAAGCTCTGAGTATCACTTCAGATGCAGAGAAAGAAATAAAGGAGATTTTCACACATAAGGAACAAACTCAACAAACCAAGCCCACTTCCAAGATAACTGGCACGACCGACGAATCCCAAGAAAAGCTGCCATTGCAATTACTTACTGTTCTACGAAAACTTCCGGCATCCCAGAAAGTAAAGGGGTACGAATACATCCTTAACCTTGATGACGAATCTTATAGAACAATCTTTGCTTCTTCAGGAATCGATACAGATTTCTTGCAGTTCTTCCTTGAAGCAGCTGAGTATGCCGCTGCTAATGAAATGATGCCAAGTTGGAATAAATTAATTCTTAATCATTTATCACAATTCTCCAAATTTAAAAGATACGATCTTTCCATGATGATGGCAGACGATCAATTGAAGAACAATATTCTACAAAAAGTTGAACAGAAACACCCAGAAGATTTATTAGCATTTCGAGATTTATTTAAATAAAAACTCATTATATAGATAGAAGTATAAATATATACGCCAAAATTAGTAATGCCTGATTTCTAAACTTTTAAGCAATCCCTTTCTACTCGTTGAAAGAATATATGGCTGAAACAAAGGATGCATTATCGAAGGAGCATACAGTTCGAAATCAATATCCAAGTACTTGTTGACTATGATAGGAACTGCAAATATGCTAGAAAATAAAATCAATCCAAACAAAAATAATATAAGGTATAAATTAGCTTGAAATCTTCTTTTCCTCTTTTGCTTCTTTGATAGGATTCTAGGTCTAATTTGATTACCAGGTTTAAGCCAAAATAACATCAATGTATGCCATTTATCAGCATATGGAATAAGCAATATTGGAATTTGAGCATATAATATTAAATGAGCTGCAACCAAATCCCCAGCAAAATAGGACAATTCCGTCAATTTACAAATAGTTTCTCTCAATGGTTGAGTGATTATATACCAACCCAATCCGGCAGTTGCCCATTTTCCAGACCACCATGAACGATTTGATCTATCATGTCTGAACTCTCTTGAAATAAATAGAATAGTAATCATTTGTAAAAACCAGCGTTGAATCAATACAGATAAGGCAAACCCAAGTATTGTTCTTGAAAAATTCCAATTTTGTAACATCCACAATAATTCAAAAAAGAATACATGATTAATTAATGCAAGGATATGAGCAAATGCTGCAACAAAAGATGGAAACTTCTTGCAGAACAAGGTTAATAACGGTCCACATATCGCAGAAATGACAAAGCAAGCCAATAATATTGCAAAATTGACCACAATAGGACCAAAAGTAACTATAAGCATTCTCAAAATGCTATTCACTGGATATGTGCCTCTTGCATCATTTTGGGAATTGGAAAACAAATAAGCGAATGCTACCACCGATATTGCACCTAATTGTTGTAATGATTCGGATATCACTAAACTAAATCTCGAGGGTTTCACTTCACTCACAACTTTAATCTCTTCATTCAAACTATATCTCTTGCTTTTTACACCCACAATCCGACTTCTTCTAAGTCTAGTGAAATTTATCCAAGATGATATCCGTGGTTTACTATTTCCTCGATATAACCATCTAAGATATTCCTTATAATCCAAAAAGAAATCTTTCCACGAAAATTGATTGGGATTGTACAAAAATGGACAAATCATTAACCCAATAATCGTGATCCAGAAATATAATAACAGTAATTTCCACATAGATATAGACCCATAAAATATCAAAAGACCACATAATGAACCATAATAAAGACTCTCCACAGCAAATCTTGAATAAAGAGTAGAAAATGGAACCCGAATTGTTGCAAAACCACGACCAGTTGCAAGATACCTTGCACCACCAATGGAAATATCACTCACCAAGGAATGTGCATAAATTCGACAAACAAATACTTCAAATAAAGGTGAAAATGATGCAAATTGTTTTCCAAGTCTTGTTATTGCTTTATAGAATCCCCGTTCCGTAAGTTCTTGCACACCCAAAGGGACAAATGAAATGACAAACACAATGAAAATGGAAAAAATACATCTTTCCAACCAATGAACAACTGGTATTAAGTTATAACAACCAACAGGTCTTCTTGGGTCAGTTATTGGTCTATATCTATCGTATTCACAAATTGTAGATTCATTGGTCAAAGCAGCGAGGTTTGCGACCACGAGGAGAAATAACTGAATGGAAAGCATGATAAAGACATTATTCAAATGGAAACCGGGATGTGCATAATAAAATGATAGGAATCTATCCAATGGCAATTGTGTTCCCAAGTAGAAATATTCTCTAGATAGCATTTGTTCTCCCATTCCTGCCCCAATCTTAGTAGTGAAGTTCAAGATGGAACCAAATCCTAAATCTCTTCCCTTACCACATTGCATATATTCACAATGCTTAATCCTACCACCTCTCAAAACAACATTCATACCAGCATATATATCTTCATTCAAATGAAGACCTTTTTGTGCCTTGGATACACCACCTCTGGTTGTCATAAAGATTCCATTCAAAAAGTCTGGATGACCATAATGCAATTTACCACCAATATGAGCCAATGTTCTCGCAAACAAAGTACCAAAAGTCTGTTCTTTTCCAGCAGCTACATCACCAAGTATCCCAATATTCTCAGAAAAAATATACTCTCTTGTTCCAATTATTGCGACAGGATATGCCATCTCAGTATTTTTGAGATCCTTCGCATATGGATCAATAGGAAATGTAGCTTCTTCGAACTCAGCCAAAACACTTCTAATTTTAAGACATTCTTCCAAATAATTATCTTGATTGGCATCAACTAATTGAATATATTCTCCCCTACAAAAGATCAAAGAATGATTCTGATTATCAGATTTTCCATCACCAAGAATTGGATTTCCAGACAATCTGATTTTATATTTTGGCTCCCGTTCACCATTTTCCATAATTGCACAGCTTCCGTCAACTAAGGATGAGAAGTATACAACTTCTCCCGTGGCTTCATCAACTTCTTCATCAAGATAACAAATTTGAAGTTCAGGATATGCTCTCAACAAAAATTCAGTATTCTCTTTTTCTTCTTGAGTGAAATATTTTAATCTTTGCATTGATGTTATTATTCTAAATTTTCTATGTGCCATTATGGAAGCTTGTTCCAACTTTTCCTGTTCATTTTGGAAGCCAGCCAGGTTTGGGTTTTCAACATCAAACAACAATTTAATTGCCCTGGAGTAATTCATAAAACCAGATATAGTTCTATAAAGAGTCTGGGATCTGAGAGATGCCCAAATTCTGGTACGAAGGATATATTCGGGTGTTGCAATCTTAAAACCGACTGAATAATATGGAAGATCGTCGAGCTTTTCCTTGCGAAATTCTGCAGATGATGAGTCAGTTTCGAATTCTTCGGCCAACATTTTAGTATCTTTAACAAAACAGCTCCATTCAATTGGGTGAAGTTGCTTCAAATATTCCAACATGGTCACATGAGAATATTGTTCTTCTTCTCTAATAATTTCACGTAATGAAAGGGTAATCTTTTCACCATAGTGGGGAATTAACACGGTAAACGAAGGCATCAACTGGACAGGTCCAACTTCTGGCATAGGGGTAGACAATGATTGGGCGAAAAATGTAACCCTCCTTTGAGCTTCTGATTGGTCCTGAAATAAGGAAGATTTTATCGATTGATCTTCTTGAGAAACAAAGAAAATTGGCTCTTTCAACACTGATCCACCTTCAATCCCAGGAGTATCAATCTGTTTGTAGATAAGTTTCTGGACATGTTCCAAGGAAATCAAATGTTCACGATACATTGAAATGACAATTGAATTCCAGACTTGTGATACAAGCAACTTTGCTTTAACGTTCTTATCCCCAGATACTGATATAATCTTTGAAAATATTCTTTTGGGCAATCTTGAAAATATATTCCTCCAGGGAGTCCAAATAGATACACCAATATAAAATGAGCGGCAAACTGAGAATATGGTATTCCACACAATGTACCATAAATAGGTATCCAAAAAGAACAAAACCAAGTCTGTAACGTAAACCAAACCTAAAACAATCATAGTTTGTCTCGTACAAAGCCAGGTGCCAATCCATACCTCTCCCGCGCATCTGGTCATTTTCATCACACTAAGCTCTCGAACAGGATCCCGCATAGAAAGTGTAAGGAAGAAATAAGATTCAATAAACTTGGAAACAAATATTGCAAACCACAAACCATAAGAAGCAATCCTGTCACTTTCCGTGAGTTGATAAAAGTTGGTAATAAAATATTGTGTTGGAAGATAACGCCGATCGTTTTCTCTGGCAGTTCTTGTAAATAATTTTCCCAACGGAACAATAGATAAATACATTACAACCAATATGGAAAAGGCAAACTGGAATGATGCTATGACTAACCCAATCGTATCTTCAATATTCAATGGGTACATAAGAAATAAATATACCGTTGGCCCAGTGTTGATTAGCAAACATAAGAAAAGGAAAAACAACCTCTTAATAACAGTTTGTGCACCAGCCCACTTTCTGGGGACAAAGGATAATTCAAGAATCAAGCTAAACATACAAATGAGGATTGCAACAGAACCAGCAAGCGAAAGGACAGCAAGGCGTGCCTGATTGGTTGGTTGATTATCCACATGAGGTTGATAGTTCTTGGTGTACAATGTTGGCGAGTTAAATAGAGTGTAGTACCAAAATACCGAAACATGAATAATCCAAACTCTGTTAAAATTGACAAGCACGTGAGACCAACTTCGTCTTTCCCTAAATGTTTTATAGAATGCCTTGTGCCACAAGATTTCGTTCAATTTTTCATATCTCTCATGTGGTTGAAGTGTCATCAACTTGGTTTTCTTATCAGATAATACTAAACGTTCAAGTCCTTTGCTGTACCAGAAAAGTTGATTCATGTCATCATACCCAATCACGGATTCGTGATCCTTATCACGTCTATGATACTTTCCTTCAACAAGAACATAAGATTGATCTCTATAAAAATCGTAGAGCGGGGTGATTATATGGTCAAGGAAACTCCGGGTGACGGTCGTAACAGGAATATCAGGATCTATTGAAAAGTAGTAATCATTGCAACACTTGAAAATAAAACAAATACATTCAGGCATGAATCTTATATTATTGGCCTCTCCCCAAACTAAAAGATACAAGGCCAATTGAATTACACAATCTGTAGGAGAAAGCGTTAACATATTTGTAGACCATTGTTCTTCTGCTTCCTCCAATAAGGAGACGTACTCATTTGAGTCTTTAACCCTTCCACTTTTGGTAACGTTATCAAATCCAATTGCATCATCTATATCTAACAGAGCAGCGAAATACCACTTCCTGAAGTTAGCATTGACGCCACCAATATAATCGGCATGGACAGATTTTAGCGCCTGAGTAGGACCAAGCCTAGAAGCTCTAGAATCCAACAAACGCAACAAGTAGTCGAACATATTTCTGGTGTTATCAAATTGGAATCCAAATATAGTTGTCAATTGTAAAAATATAGCTTCTATTGCTTCTTTGGTTATTGGAACTTGTTCTGGTGGATTCCAAGCGGGATAAGGATCATGCTTGTTTGCATAAATATCATATGTAAGATCTTCCGCTAGGACTTCTCCAGGATTCTTTTTAAATTCATTTGGTTGATTATCAGTTTTGCCAATCCTTTCAACTTCTGCCCATCTACTTGAATCAACATAAGGTGTTTTAAAACTGCTCAATGGAAATGCAGATGTGAATGCTTGAGGATCACGATCTGTTGATAAGAATTTGTTAGTAAAATACAACAGTTACTAAATACCGCGGTAGACCATACTAATTGCAGTAGCAGTTCTCTTGAGTAATTCAATTGGGTCCGATTCCTCCTTATCACGTCTCTTCGACTTTGATTTTCTTTTAGCCATAATGTATTGATATTCGTGAAGGTTAAGGATGTATTAATATTAGCTGCCATACTATTTTTTTACAACCACCTAAATCGTATTTTTTCGCTCTCTATTTATTTAACATGCGGCTNCTTCGACTATATAGTAACTTATGTTACTTTCCCCCAAATCAGCACCATTATAAGATGCCACCAGAAAGTGAAGAATTAAGTGATGAACTTTCCCTTCGCGGCTTGAGTATTCACATTCAATCTTTTTTCGGTAGTTTGTGACAGCGGCTCAAGAATCACAGCCATTACTAATACTACTACTACTACACTTCTATACAGATTTTATTTCAGCTTTACTCTCTTCATATTCAATGCCTGTGTAAGCTATTCTATTGGGAGTTCGCTTTTTGAGATGTAAAGCAGTTAGATGCATTCTATTTTTCACTGACCTCTTCATTAAAGTTTCTTTGATAAGATGGGGTGGGATACCTTCACTAAGTAAATTTGCTACTAGTCCGGTTACTATTGGGGCCGACATTGAAGTACCGGAAAGTATCAGTGGTTTAGAAGAATCTTTGATGTTTATACTTTCAACATAGGCTCCGCTTGAAAACACGTCAACGCATTCTCCAAAATTGGAAAAATTTGCTAGGGAATCATTGAAATCATCTATGGCACCCACTGTGATAGCAGCACCAGAACTCGCGGGACTAGTTAAACATGCATCTATATTAGAATTTCCAGCAGCTGCAACAATTACCAAGCCAGTTCTAACTGCTTTTTCAATGGCACTATTTAACATTGCATTTTTATATGCACCTAGGGATAAGTTTGCAACTCCCATTCTACCAGATTGAAGTCTATGATTGGCTGCAAATTCAATAGCAGCAATTATCGTACTTAAAGAACCAGCACCTTTATCATTCAAAGCCTTCACTTCAACAATTTGTACATTTTTTGCAACACCATAAGTTCTTGATCCAATAATACCAGCAACATGTGTACCGTGTCCGTTTACATCTCCTGGTCCATCACGTGTGAAATCTCGTCCATGAATTGCTCGCCCCTCGAATTCGGGATGATATATCTGAACTCCAGAATCTAGAACGTACGCATTGACTTGCATTCCAATATAGTTACTATCGAAATAATAAGAATAATTTCTATGTGGATTCAATCGTTTCTTACGGCTCAATCTTGCCAAATGTCTGGGTGCATCATCTTGTTTGAAGATTTCATAAGCTTTCAACATAATATCTGGAGTAACTTCTGCCACGAGTGGACATCGTTTTAATCTATCTATTATTTCTTTGGAGAAACTACCCGCGAATGCATTAAAATTACCAAATGAAAAGGAATTACTGATTAGTTGTTGAACTTGAAGTGATTTTGGATACGTGAGATCGTAGTTCATAAACGAGTCCAAACTTACTGAGTTTTTGAGGGACACTAGATAGGGCATAGTTCCTGAGCAAACTCTTAGAATTGAAAGTAGCAAACATATAATGATCACTGGCATCATCTAAAGTATTGAAATCTAACGTTACATTGCATCAAAATTTAAATCCATTGAATCTGACTTCCAATATATATGTATGTTCGTCATAACAAAATATATTTAATTGGCTGCAAATCGCATATCAACCAAATCGGAAATGTCTTCGCAATCATAGAAGATCAGAAAAATCGAGACGTGCCGCTAACCAAAGAAAGATCTGCTCTCAACCGTACAAAAGAAGTCTTTCAAACGTGTTATGTTTGATTGCTGGATCTAAAACTTGTTACTTTTACTAAATATGCTACAAAAAATATACACAATAAAAATCCTATCTCTTTAACTAAAATTTACTTAGAAACGTTCTCTCCTGGTAATACTCACGACGAATATCCCTCATCAGAGTCTTCTTCCTCGGTATAGTAATCTCTCTCAGCAACTCGGTTATAAGCAATTCTATTGGGGGTTCTTTTCCTAAGGAAAAAAGACGACTTGGGAATACGATCCTTGGCTGACATCTTGATCAAAGTTTTCTTAATATCACGGGGAGGTACCCCACCTCCTAATAGTTGGGCAACCATTCCAGTTACAATAGGAGCAGCCATAGAAGTACCAGATAAGGTCAGAGCTTTTTGTTGATATTTTGCATCTACACTCTTAACTTGGAAACCACTCGCAAAAATATCAACACATTGACCCCAGTTGGAAAAACTGGTAATGGTGTCAGTAAGGTCATCAATCGCACCTACTGTAATTGCATATTTTGAACTTGCTGGACTTGCGAGACAAGCGTCGATATTTGAATTTCCTGCTGCCACAACTATAACCAATCCATTTTTGGTAGCTTCTTCTATGGCATTATTTAATGTTTGACTTTTATAGGAACCCAATGACAAATTTGCAACCCCATGTTTTCCAGTCTTCTCTCTATGATTAACTGCAAATTCAATGGCATTTAAAATTGTACTCAAAGAACCTGCACCTTTGGTATTCAAAGCCTTGACTTCAATAATTTCGACTCCTTTTGCAACACCATATGTCTCTGACCCGATTATACCAGCAACATGAGTTCCGTGACCGTTGGAATCACCAGAACCTTCACCGGTGAAATCTTTTCCGTGGCTCGCACGGCCCTGGAATTCTGGATGCTCCACTTCAACACCAGAATCTATGACATAAGCATTAACTCCAACTCCAATATAATCATCATCAAAGATATATGGATAGCTTGCACCTTGTCGCATTCTTCTTTGGCGACTGATTCTTGCCAAATGTCTTGGGGCATTTTCTTGCACTTCTAAATCATAAGCATAGAATGGAATATCCGGGGTTACTTCAAAAACCAAGGGACATCTATTAAGTCTCTCTAGAGCTTGTGTCGTAAAATCACCTGCAAATCCAGAAAAGTTTCCAATTGAAAACATCTTGGTAATGAGCTGTTGGATCCTGTCTGACTCAGGATAATTGAAATCATAAGCAGTGAACGAGTCTAACGTAGCAGTGTTTCTGAGAGAAACGACGTATTTCTCTCCCAAACAAGAACTAATATACGTTAATATAGTACAAATTATCAAAAGCATCGTTGTCTCCTAACTGCATAAACGTTGTAACAGAAGCTAACGGAAACCTATTGTTTTTTATTTAATGCGCATTGTATGGTTTATATTTTGCAGCCACTTAACAAACATAACAAATTTTGTTTAAACAAAGAAGTCTCCCATATCATAGTTTTGCAGACAACCACATTACGCAATTTCACATAGTCTTGTGATATGCCCTCAGAATCCCAAGACCAATCTCATTGGCACTTTTCTATAGGAAATATGATTGTTTTGTGCTACCGAGTCAGACTCTGGCGTGGCTCAGTTTTCTATTATTATATCTTCATTTGTCTTGGTACATACTTCTATATACATTTAATCAAAACTATTTCCATCCAGGTCGTATTGCTTTTCTGGGACAAATAGTCCATTGCCTGCAATTCTATTGGGTGTGCCTCTTTTAAGAAATAGTGATCTATCAGGGATTTTATCTTCAGTAGACATTGCCATCAAGGACTTTCGGATGTCAGGTGGGTCCACCCCTTCGCTTAACAACTGAACAACCAACCCTGTAACTATCGCAGAAGACATAGAAGTCCCTGACCGTACCAGTGATTTGTGTTTATTATGGGCATCCACACTTTTGACTGTGACACCACTAGATAAAATATCAACACATTCTCCCCAATTTGAGAAATTGGCAATAACATCATTGTAATCATCAATTGCTCCCACTGTGATTGCATATTTCGAACTAGCTGGACTCGTGAGACATGCATTAATATTGGAGTTTCCTGCAGCAACCACCATAACTAGACCAGTATTGAATGCTTCTTCAATTGCTCTGTTTAGTATTAAATTCTTATAGGCACCCATTGATAAATTGGCAACCCCCAATCTTTGTGATTTTTCACGATGATTCACACAAAATTCAATTGCCTTTAATACCACACTTAATGTGGAATAGCCTTTCGAGTTCATCGCTTTCACTTCAAACATCTCAACTTTTTTTGCCACTCCATAGGTTTGAGACCCAATCAATCCTGCCACATGAGTTCCATGACCATTAATATCCCCAGACCCTTCTCCAGTAAAATCTTTCCCTGTTCGTGCTCTGCCTTGAAATTCAGGATGACCAATTTGAATACCGGAATCTATGACATATGCATTCACCTTCTTCCCCGTGAAATGATCATCGTAAAGATAGGGATAAATCTTTCCTGGCTTCATTCTTGATTGTCTACTTAACCTTGCCAAATGCTTAGGTGCATCCTCTTGTTCCTTATCATCAAATGATTTCAATGTAATATCGGGACTAATTTCATCAACAAGGGGAGATTTTCTTAATCTTTGGAGTTGAGTCTTGTCGAAGTCACCAGTAAAACCTGAAAAGTTTCCAATTGTAAAGTTATTAGTTATATAGTCTTTGACTTGTTGTGACTCAGGAAGGTTTCCATCATATTCTTTGAATGCATCTATACTAACAGAATATTTAAGGGCAACTATGAAGGATGAAAAGCATATGCAATTGTTTATTACTAGAAGGAATGGAATTGAAAATGACAAACTGAACTTCATATCTTCTTATTTATTATATACACAAATTCTTTACAATGCAGTATAAGAGATTATTACAAATTTTGGGTGCAAAAAAAAAACCACAAACAATTTTTTTAAATAAAAGTTTTTCCATTAAAAGTTTTTCCTAAATAATAATAAAAATAAAAAATATAAACAAATACAAAATAATAAAATACGATAAAAATCAAAATCAAACCAACAAATCAACAATCAAGCTTCTTATTTGAATGACTTAAGGAATTGTTCCTTTTGTTCATCAGAAAGAGTTCCAATGAAATCTTTCATAGCAGTAACAGCAGTGTTTGGATCTTCATGTAATAATTTGACAATATTAGCATGATTAGCTTCATGTTTCAATTCTTCAATCTTCTTTTGTAACTTACCATGATGTTCTTCAATCCAAGTACTAACAGCTTCATCATCTTCATAGTCAACAGTTGGCATCCAACTCTTCAATCTAGCAACCTTTTCTAATTTACTAGCATTCTTAACTTGTTCACCAATAAGTCTCAAGACATATTCTTCATTCAATCTACGACGTAAACGCCAGAAGAAATATCTTCTTGCTTCAGTCCATTTGATTTCCTTTCTAATAACACCTTTAGCCAACATACGACCAGATCTATCATGTAAATCAGCAAATTGAACAGAGATTTGAGCATAAATAGGTAACAAAGCCTTTTCACGAGCAACAATCTTAGCAGTAACTTGAGAGTGTTCTTCAGCAGATAATGAACTGTCATTTAATTTAGCCTTTAATTCAGAATAGGTTGGATCTAATCTTGCCATAGTAGCCAATAACTTATCACGTCTATATTTAATACCAACCATACCTTCTGGTTCCAAAACACCGGCTCTAGAATCGATATCAGCATACATTTCCATCATATCTGGATTAATAGTTGGATCAACAACAACCCAAGAACCACCTCTTAATTCACCAGTTGGAGGAATATAAGTAAAGATTGGTTGTTTGAAATCAACTAAGGCATCAACAATATAAGAACCATACTTAAGAACTTCATTGTACATATCTCTTTGACCACCAGAGAAACCTCTCCAATTAGCCAAAATCATCAAAGGTAATTGTTCACCATTATTGAAATCATTAATAGCTTGAGCAGTCTTGAAAGCAGAGTTAGGATACCAAACTTGACCAGCTTCTTGAATCAAAGTTTCAGTAGAATCAGGATTAGCAGGATCAGCTGGGATTAAGTTTTCAATAGTTCTAGTTTCAACACCAATAACACCAATTGGAATACCACCAAGACGAGCTCTACCAACAACAATACCCTTAGCCCAACCAGATAAAGTTTCTTGGAAAGATCCTTTATCAAATAAACCAGATTCAAATTCACCATCAATCTCTCTACCTTCAATCATCCATCTAACATCATAAGTTTCTTGTTTTGGTGGATAGTAGTCAATATCTCTATTCCATGGATCAGTAGATTCTAAGATTGGAACTGGCATACCACGTTGAGCTGGAACATAAGATAACCATTCAAGAATCTTTTCAACACCAGCTAAATCATCATTAGCAGTTAAATGAGAAACACCATTTCTGTACATGATTTGAGTACCACCTAATTGTAAGTTAGAAGTATAAACTTCTCTACCTAATAATTTGTTGATAGCTGGAGCACCAGTTAAAATGATTGGTTGACCTTCAATTTGAATAGCTCTTTGACCTAATCTGACTAAATAAGCACCAATACCAACAGATCTACAAGTGACTAAAGTAATAGTGAAAATATCCTTATAAGCTCTAGAAGTTGCACCAGCAATCAAACCAGAACCCTTAAGACATTCAACACCCAAACCATCTTCAGCACCAATGATTGCCTTAATGACATGACGTTCTTGACCATTTTCAACAAAACGTTCAGTAACAATAGTATCACCTTTGCCATCATCATCAATAGCCTTCTTAGCTTCTGGAGTCAAATACAAGTATTTGAAACCTTTATCTGGAGAACCTTCTTCATTCCAAGCAACTTGGAATAATGGAATCAATTCATCAGCAACACCAATTCTAGCACCTGAGTTGGCAGAAAGATAAATTCTTGGAATACCCAATTCTCTAGCTAATTCAGTACATTTGTTGAAATAATCATCTTCTTCAGGACCGAAAGAACCAATCTTATGAGTGATATCATTAGCAACAATAATAAATTGACGACCACGAGGATATTCTGGAGTCTTGGCAATAACCTTGAAACCAACCATACCAATCTTATTGGAACCAGGTTCTCTTTCAACAGCAGCTAAATGATCATTTTCATCATGAATCAATTCTAATGAAGTGAAAACATCCTTTGGAGCTTTCTTACCATGCTTCTTCCATTGAGAAATAGTAGCTTGACGGAATAATTCTGGGAAATCATAAACATAAGTAGTACCCATATTATGAGCTCTATAACGTTTTGGTTGTAAAGATTCTTTAGCAGGATAAGGAGTAGAAATTGGTCTTAAATGCATAGATCCAGGATGACCAATTGATTTAAATACCCAATCACCATTAGCATTCTTAACTTCCATATATAATTCAGATTTGACAACATAACCAGAAACATTGTTGATAATAGCTCTTAATGGGAATGAATTACCAGCTTGATCAGTACAAACAATTCTAATTTCAGCACCAGTAACTCTTAATCTCCATAATCTTCTACCGAATCTTTCTAAGAATGAACCGAAAGCAGCTTCAACTTCAGATGGTTGGACATTGAAAACATTGGAGAAATTGATGAAAATATGATTCAAATCAGAATTGGAAGTATCAATAACTTCTAAAGCATCCAAAATATCACTCATTAATCTATTGGATTCAGCAATCAAATATTCACTAATACTAATTTCATCTCTAATAATACCAGGTCTAACAATACCTCTAGTAAAGAATCTCTTATCAGATGGAGCTTTCTTACCAACAGCTTCATAAACATGAATGTTTCTGTTATCAGTGAAAATTGGTTTGATGTCAAAGTTGGCTAATCTGGCTAATTCTAATTGGAAAGCTAAAGCAGGTTCAATGTGTCTAATAACCTTGTTTTCAAGATAATCTGGACCAGTAAAAGTATAATACTTTGGATAACTACCTACTTTATGAGCAACAACAAAGGTAATACGACGAATACCAGCATTAATCAAATCATCTCTATATTCATCCAAAATTTCATTGATTCTACCCAAGATTTCTTCTTCAGTTTCATATCCATCAATATTGGTAACAACAACATTCAAAACATTCATTAATTGAGCATCCTTTTGAGCTTTACCTTTAGCTTTGAAACTAATGGCATCACTTGGGTGGATTCTTTCTAATGCAGCAATCAACATTTCATCAACGTCATCAACATGTCTACATGGAACCAAAAGACCAGTTCTAGCCAAGTTTTCAGATTTGGAATCAACAACAAAAGATAAATCAGAAACAGAAGCAGCATGTTTCATAGCAGTAGCTTCTTCATCACCTGATGGAGTTTGAACAGCATTATAACGAGATGACGCCATGTTTGGTAATTGGAACTTCCATTCAATAATTGGTAAACGATCATGGAAATGGTATTGGATTTGATTCAATTGATAAGCTCTATAAGAACGTCTAACATAAACTTCAGAAGCAGCAATAGCGACCCATTCATCTGGATTAACTAAGAATTGTGATAAGACATCAAATACAGTATGTTTAGAATCAACAACTTCTTGAATAATTTCCAATTTTGGTTCTCTATGTTTAGCATAAATTTCACCATAAGAAGTTTCCAAAACAGCAGATCTTAAGATATGTTCTAATTGATCAGATCTTTCTTGAATAGATGGTAATGAACATTGAATCAAGATTTCTCTAGCTTTTAAAGTAACCTTAGCACAACTACGTGAATCCAATTGAACTAATTTCTTTAATGAATCTCTAATAGAAGTAGCAACTGATGAATTTCCTTGTAATAATGGTTGATAAAGTTCCAAAATAGCAATCACTAAATTATTCTTAGCACTGACTCTAGAATGAGATAAACAAGCACCAATAACCTTGTTCAAATCAGATTTATTTTCATCTCTCAATTTCAAAACAACATCATCTTCTCTAACATTATCACCACAGAATAAACTTTCAACATTGTAATATTCATTGATCAAACCAGCAAAGAAATCATATTCATGTTCAACCACACCATGTTGATAACGAGTAGCAATTGCAACTAATGGAGCAACAACATCCTTCAATAAATCATCATGAGAATCAGCAACAGCCTTAATAATTTGTTTCAAAATTTGACGAGCTGGGAAATCAACATTTCTAGATTGAGATCTTTCAATTAATGTAGTTAATGATTCATCCAATTTAGCAGGTAATCTTGAATGTAAAGCAGAAATACATTGATTCCATTCAGAATAAGGTAATTCTCTATCCTTCAATACTTCAACCAAATTCTTCAAAGTAGAACTCATAATAGCTTGATTATCATAACCACCCAAGATATTTTTCAAAATATTAGCAAAATATTCAAATTTATGAGCTGGCTTATTACCAGTAACATTTGGTTCACCTAATTCTGGTAAAGTACCTTCAAATGGTTTAGCATGTTTGACTTTAGATGGATCATCAAGAGCTAAAATAGCCAAGATATCACCAGCATTAACAGTAGACCCTGGTTGTTTGATTAATTGAACAATACCATTTTCTTGAGCAATTAAAGGCATACACATCTTCATGACTTCAACTTCAGCATATGGTTGACCAGCATTAACATGTTCACCACTTTCAACTAAATATTTAACTAATTTACCTGGAGATGGAGTTCTTAATTGAGTTGGATCATTTTCAATTTCTAATAAACAAGTCTTACCATCAACTGATAATCTAGTAGCAGCAGCTTCTTCTTTCCAATAGACAGAATGAGATTTTCCACCAACGGCAACTAATAAACCACCATCAGATAATGGACGAGCTACAACAACAACACGAGAACCATTAAGGAATAAAGTATATTTATCTTCTGAAGATTTAGTAACTGTAAATTTATATCTTTCACCTTCATAAATAAATTCAACTGGGAAAACAGTTTTTAAATTATTCTTATGTGGAACTTGTCCTTTTTCTAAAGATTGAGTAAATTCTTTTCTTTCTTCATCAGCCTTAATATGAGCTTTGGTAACAGCACCACAAACAACGGCAACAATTGGATCAGGTCTTTCAGCAGTTAATTTCTTGGTAATTAATTCATCTAACCAACCAGTTGTAATGGTATTATCTTCAAAATCTGGAGTTTCTAATAATTTAATCAAATATTCAACAGTAGTTCTAAAATCACCTCTAATACTTAATTCTTTAAGGGCAACAACCATATGTTTTCTAGAAGCTTGACGATTTTCACCAAAGGCAAAAATATGACCAAATTGAGAATCTGAAAATGAATGAATTGAAGATTGATTACCAACTGAGAAATAACCCCAAACATTTGATGATGATCTAAAGTTTAATTCATGTAAGGAACCACCAGATGGTTTAAAACCTTCACCAGGATCTTCAGAAGTAATACGACAAGCAGTACAATGACCCTTTGGAGCTGGTCTTCTTTGAGTAACTAATGAACTTTCAGTTTTGAATTCAAAATCAATATCAGTAGTAGTATGAGGATCAACACCATAAAGGGTTCTAATATCTCTAATTCTATGCATTGGAATACCCATAGCAATTTGTAATTGAGCAGCTGGTAAATTGACACCAGTAACCATTTCAGTAGTTGGATGTTCAACTTGTAATCTTGGATTTAATTCTAAAAAGTAAAATTTATCTTCAGAATGAGAATAAAGATATTCAACAGTACCAGCAGAAACATAACCAACTAATTGACCTAATCTAACTGCAGCATTTTCCATTTCATGGAAAGTTTCCTTGTTGGCAATAGTAACTGGAGCTTCTTCAATAATCTTTTGATGTCTTCTTTGAACAGAACAATCTCTTCCAAAAAGGGAAATATTAGTACCATATTGATCAGCTAATAATTGAACTTCTAAATGTCTGGCATCACCAGCTAATTTCATAATAAAAATTGGAGAACCTGGGATTTCATTGGCAGCTTGATTATATAAAGTAATAAAATTTTCTTCATTATCAACTTTTCTAATACCTTTACCACCACCACCTTCAGAAGCTTTAATCATGACTGGGAATCCAATTTCTTTAGCTTTAACTAAACCATCTTCTGGACTAGTACAACAACCTTTAGAATAAACATCTTCACTAACAGAAACTAAATTGGTTTTTTCATCAATTTGAACTTCATCAACACCAGTACCTGACCAAGGAATACATGGAACTTTAGCATGTTGAGCAACAATAGTAGAAGAAATCTTATCACCTAAAGATCTCATAGCAGAACCTGGAGGACCAATAAAGACAATTTTCTTTGGAGAAGCAGCTAAACTTTCTGGTAAAAGTGGATTTTCAGAAGCATGACCCCAACCAGCCCAAACAGCATGAACATTAGTTCTTTCAGCAATTTCGACAATTAAATCAACATTGGCATAATTATTGTTATTAGTACCACCTGGAACTTCAACGAATTGATCAGCCATTCTAATATATTCTGCATTAGCTTCTAAATCTTCTGGAGTTGCCATGACAGTAAATTGAATAGCTCTTTCATCACCAAAGGTTTCATAAGCCCATTTTCTAACTGATCTAATTTCTTTAACTGCAGCAATACCATTATTGGCAATTAAAATTTTGGAGATTACAGTATGACCTTGATGAGATTTAACAAAATCAGTAACTTTAGATGGTTCAGCAACTGAGACTGAATTTAAACCAAAGAAATGAGATGGTAAATCTTGTTGTAATGATGGATAATCCTGAGTAGTAGGAGTAGTAGGAGGTGTATTTGATTGATCTGACATTGTTGTTAATTTGTTATAATAATACTTTGTAAATGAAAAATAACGTTTCTGAGTTGTTGTTGTATATACAAAATATCTGTTGTTATTTGAATAATAATTAGTTGAAGTGAATAATAATAAGGATGATCTATTTACAAGTATATTGTTAGTATTAGTTCTATTAATTATTAATGTGCATCTAATGGTAGCACTACTCATACATTAAAATGAAAAGTCAAAGTTGGTTGTAAAAAAAGTGAAAAGTCAAAAGTCAAATGATGTGGAAGTGGAGGATCTGTCTCTCTCTTTCTTTTCTTGGGATATTGGTTGTAGTAACAGTAGTGGTAACAATAGTCTATTAAAAATGATTCTATAAATTCAGGGAGTAATAATCGTCAAGTCTATTAATGATGGAAGAGGGAGTTAATGGTTGAAATGTGGTAGAAAAATGTAATGTTGCCTTTTTTCTTTTCATTTTTATTACCCGTCAAATTATTATTTTATTTTATTGATGGAATTTTTTTTGTTGGGGGAGATGGAGATCCCCCATTGTGGTAGTAATGAGAAGTTGACAGGAGTGATGGTTGACTTAATAAAGTGATGAATTTTATATAGACTTATAATGACTTTATCTCTTCCTTCTATTGCTGCATTCTGATTGATATAGTATAATGTATGAGAAGTGATATCTTGATAGATGATCATAATATGGGGTTGTAGATGAAGTAAAAATACATACCTTCTTATAAAGTTAACTCTAATAATGATGTATAAGTTGATCTAATAATATGAAATAGGAATAAATATATGAAAAAGATGTTTCTAATAAATTACCACTGGATTTGAATAAGTAGTAGTAGTTGATATAATATATAAAATCTAAGTAAAAAAAAATAGATGGAAAAACTTGGAAAAACTATAGCAGATTTATATATAATGATCTCTTGACTGATACTTTCTTTCTTAATGGAAATTAAAAGAAAAAGGGGAGTTTGATTTGTGTAGATTATAAAAGAAGGAGAAAGAAGAGAGTATAAGAAAGAAACAATTCAGGGGAGGGCAGATAAACAAGTTTTATAAAAAAATAGAAATCAACAAAGTCTTCGAGATTACAATAGTAATAATTCCCAACCAACACATTTTTTTTTTTAGTTGCAAAAATTAAAAAATAAATTTCTGATTTTTTCTCAACAAAAATAAAAAAAAAACGGTNGCAAAAATTAAAAAATAAATTTCTGATTTTTTCTCAACAAAAATAAAAAAAAAACCGTTTTTTTAAATTGCTTTTATTGTTCTTTTTTTCCATTAAATAGTCCGGCTATATAGTATGTGTCTCTCACACATCACCCATACTAAATCTACTAATAATATTCGGACCCGGAACCAAAAAAAAAATTACGAGAGACATACAGTACATACAAATCAAAGATTGTTACGAAGTACACTACTTTCACACACACATACTCTTTATCTCATCACTTTACTTTGCCACTTCTTACAAACACATTAATGCTAACCAGTATGTATCCACTACTACTCCCCACAGTTCCCCTTCCGAACATTACAAGGGGTTTTATCTAATATGCATTAAACTATTAAATCCATAAGATATATACTCATGGGTAACATATTCCATTAAAGGCTAAATTAAAGCTAAATAGTCGTGTCATTTGGCTATTAAACTGCCCAACAATCTAAAAACTGTTGGGAACCAAAAAAAAAATAAAAAATGTTATATGCAAGACTGTTGACGTCAATACAGTCTTAAAATGAAAGAGTGTTTTATATGCACTACCTTTCAATTGTTAGTATAGCCATAGATAAATGGATTATTGGTAATGAATGATAATTTTCTTTCAGAGTAACAATAACTAATATAATTAAAAATCTATTCGTCACTGCACATACATGTACATACTAAATATAGTTTATAACCGAGATATGTACTCTCACTATGTATATATCCACCCATCATAGTAAACACATCCCCAGTAGAAAAATACGACATAGAATCTAATGCAACGGTTTTGTCCCTTCCAACACAAATTCTCTTCAGGTTATTGACATCACTATTATTTTTTAGGAACCCCTTACTAACCATATCTCTCACTATACTACCCTAACAAAGAACGTAGCAATAGCTGCAAAAAAAACAGAACAGAATAATTTATTTTGAAACCAACAAAATTTTTATTAAATTATTAACAATAAATAAAAATTATAATTTACATAATTATACAATGGATGCAAAAATAAAAAGACAACACCTAACTTATTTCTTTATCTAAAAAAAGGCACACCCACACACACGTTGTTATCTGTATCCAACATTCCTTCGATTGCTTTTTTCTATCTATAGCAAAATGTGATCTCAATAAATGTCTAATATGCCAAAAAAATAAAAAGATCTCAACTCAAACTATAACAATGGCTGAAATCTAGGCAAAATAGGTTGTGGAGGTGGTGGAGGAGGTTGTGGAGGCGTATTCATCTGTCCATTCCCACCATTGGTACAATCTTCAGAATTACTCAAAAAGTTGAAACCCGGTTTAAACGGTGACTGACTAACTCCTGCTCCCACCGGTGGAGGCAATATAATCCTCGGAGATTCCGTCCCACTCCTAGTCATCCCACTATTGCCACTANGGAGGCAATATAATCCTCGGAGATTCCGTCCCACTCCTAGTCATCCCACTATTGCTACTACTCACAATAGTCGATGTTAACTCATAGATCGGTATCGCTTTTGGTCTCTGCACGAAAATCTCTAATTCAATCGGATCCTCCCCGCGAAATAATCTTTCTAGTTCATAATCGGTTTGAATTATTTGTCCGGTTTTATAATCACGTAAATAGATCATATTATGCGCCGAATCATAATTTGTATTTAATTTGAATGCATTGGTTGCATTTTCGATTATTTCGAAATATCGTGGTGTGGCTGAATTGGAAGCTCCATATGAGAATTCTAAGATTTGGTTTAAGAATCGTAGAAATACCCTCTTTTTTCTATTTAGAACCGGTGGAGCACCAGCAGTGGCAGGGATTGGACGGGGTCCGATGGGGATGGATTCGGAATATTGTTGGATTGGATTGGATGTATTTGGAGGATGATCATGATGATGGTGGTTTAGGGATGGGGAAATTGATCGACTTTCGTTATGTAATAATGGAATCATGGTAGGGGCACCGGTACGACCAGGTAATGGAACTGGACCATGTGGTGAGGGTCGAGGAGTTATATTTCGGGAATGAGTAGTTGTTGGAGGGGGATGTAAATGTTGAACATCGGCAGCTACTTCTGCTAATGAACTTAATCCCATAGTTGTTGTTGTATTCGTGGTGGTTGTACTCATTGGAATAGTACTGTTTGCACTACTTTCTCCATGCTTCAAATAATCCAGAGCCTTAAATGGAGTTGAATTATTGGCAATTAATGGATATTCTTCCAATACTGAAACATATAAGATTTCACAAATTGGGAACATGATTTCTTCAAATCCAAAATCTTTAACACATCCTCCTAATAAAGTATATAATGATATAATTGCAATCTCATCATTTATAATTTGATTATTATTGGTTGATGGATCTAAATTTCGGAAAAATTTAGCTAAATAATATTCAGTATTTAATTTATTTCTTAAATATTCAATTGAACCTTCATTTACATTCTCAAATGATTTTTCAAATATATATCCAATACAACTTGATATTATTGATTTACCTAAAAATTGTAAATTCTCGGAAGTTTTCTTATGACTAGTTTCATTACAGGTTTTTGATCTTTCAATTTTATTAATAATATCTCGTTTGGCTAAACTTGCATCCGGTAATTCAACATGAGTTTCATTCATAGTTAAACTAGCTAAGGGTGGTAATGTAGGTATACCATTTGAACTACTACTATTTCGAGTTCCGGTTGTTGATATTCTAGGTCGTGTCATTGTATCTATTGTTTCCTTCGCACGATCATTTACCGAGATATGTTTAGTTTTATTATAATTACTATGATATACATCGTCATTAGGATCTACTCTTGCAATCTCGGATAAAAATGCCAGTCTTCCTTCATCATCATCTTCATGATCATGGCTATGTTCATCATCGTCATAATCTTCACTTGCCCCACCTTCAGTTTTCACTCGTTTAATATCTCGATCGGGTCTTTTCGCCTTCGATGATCGTTTTCGATTTCTTCTAACACTCTGAACGGCAGCTCTTACTAATTTATCAAATTCTCCTTCAAATTCTTTTCCATAATTAAATTCCATCCTAAGTGCTTCTGCAACTCTTTTAATATCATATTCTTGTTCACTGGCTTTTCGAGAACTTAAATCTAATGTATCTATTAATTCTAGTCTTCGGGCTGAAAATCGTTTCCAAAGTCTTTCATCATTAAAATTTAATCTGGCTCTAATTGCATGAGTTACTCCTACTTTTTTCGAGGAATTGGAGGTTGAAGTTGAAGGTGGTGAATTACTTCTATTGGTACTATTGTTTATATTCATGACTGGGTGATCTGTGGGATACATTGGATCTTCCATCATGATCTGATTGACTCATGTAAAAATGTATTACCTTCTATGTGTAATGTAAAGTAGTAAATTGGTTTGCAAATTAATGGTTTAATATGACTAACAAAATGGATGATTCACCAAAAAAAAATTTTGTTGTTGTGTGGTTATGAATCTAAATTTGGAGTAAAAGTTTATAAAAAATTTTCTTATGATTTGTTAACTAATTCCGGAATAATACGGCACAGGAAATATAATATGACGGTTGCTTCTAACGGCGTTCTAGATTTACTTTGTAGCCTTTGGTTGAAGGGTTTATATAAAAGAAGAAGGAGTATAAAAAATGTTTTATAATAAAATGAGGAGATCTTTTAATCTGATTAAATATAACAAAGCAGATTATTACATAGAACAACAAGTAAGTTAAAGTAATTAAGTCATGCGTGTAGCGTTTAATTCCGATCAGCAATTTTTTTTTTTTGGTTGTTTTGTCTTTTTTGATTCAAAGTCATTTGATTTTGACTGTGACTTCCCAACGAATGACTGATTTTCTTTGAGATGAGACTCATTAAATTTTTTTTCCTCTCCGATTATTCCGCCGAAAACATCAACAAAGAAATCTAATTTCAAGTTAGTCCTAACGAGACTAACTATTACTCCACATATTTTAGTCAGTCATTTCTTAAAACGACTTAAAGAGACAAGAATCCAATGGTCTCCACAAATTTCTGCTTCTGTTGTAGAGAGAATGATGCATCTTGTGGGAATGACCACCATAAATTTCTTACATGCTTTTCTTCGCCTTCTTTATTTCTTTTTTTCCCCGTCAAAAAAAATTGATTAACCGTTCCGATTTGCATGCACTACTAAAAATAAAAATATGATTCAATATTACGCGTGTCATGGATGACTCTAATTAATTAGATGATGCATGGCACACACTTCCATATAATTTTATTACTATACGATACATATAAGCAAGAAATAGCAGTTTCTTAGTCGTCTCTTGTGTGCTTCTTGGAATGGGAGATTGGGGAGAATATCTCTCTGTCAACCCGCACGAGGCAGGGACAAGAAATCCCAGGGAAATTAATCATATCCACTCTTTTGAAGATCTAAAAGTAAATTTAACCTGTAAGCCTTCTAAGCTCTAACATAGTTAAACTTATCAATTAAACATTCAATACAATAGACATACAACCCCAAAAACCTCGGTGTTTAAGACTAAGAATCATCTTCCACTAACAATGAAATTTGACAGGAGCCTATTTGAAGACTTTCCTCTCCCTCATTGAAAAGGTCAGACCGACTACCATTAGATCTTAAACACACTGGGAAAAGTTAAATGAGGCAATGTCACATACACTATATGTATCGACGTCCAAGCCATCATTACAATCCAGGGAGATCAATAATTTGCCATTACACTACGTATCGGCTAATCAGATCGATCCCATTGTTCAACTTTCCCGGTTTGGTTTCCTCTCCAACCCATCAACCAGGGAGATCTGTAACTTACCTATTGACAAGTCAGATCGATCCTTTGGTTTTCTCTCCCTTCCTTCAGCTTCTTCTTCTTCCCCCTAGACCTTTTACTCCGCTTCCCAACACGATATCCATCGGTGTTTACCGTCGAGTTGCCGCTGTTCTTGTCCTTCTTTTTACCCCTCTGACGTTTTCTGGAGTTCTTCACGCTATTAATAGGATCTTCCTTAAGTTCCGGTTTCAATTGAAGTTTATGGATTCCACTGGTTAAAGTCCCTCTAGGAACTTTCGAAATATTAGGATCAGCTTTTAAGAACGCCCCAAACACTGCAGGAGTAATATACACATATGTATCAGGATCTCTATCCCATTTCCAATATTCTTTAATTAAAAGTCGACAAAAACTTATCCGACTTTCTCCCTTTTTAGTTAAAAAATTATATGTCAACAAAATTCTAGAATCAACATCATTAAGAAATTTATCAATAGGAGAATTAACCTGCCAATCAACATTATCCAGCTCACAAATTCCATAACTCAATTCCTTCATTAAGTTCTCAAAATGTGCCAAATAACTCTCAATCCTCAGTTGGAAAAGTTTCTCAAATGCAATAGTAGCAGCTTCTTCTTCCAGATATTGAATAATATCCTTCATCTTAACCCTCCCCTTCCCCACAGTTCTTACTTTCATTTGAAGAGCGAGAGAGCCAAATCGAAGGAGTTCTTCCGTCAAGAGTTCGTCAACTAATGATAAGTATTGCACATTGCACCATAATTCATCTAATTTATCTTCTCCAAATATTTCAATATCTTCATTGAAATATGTGTATTTCTCAGGATGGAGGAAATAATCTTTTATACCCACATATAACCCACATCCAATCTCAACAAGTTCTGATAGATTTGTATCTCCTTGATATTTCAACCCTCGGAATGCTCGACGGATGGTTTGAGTAATATCGCGCCGCCATCTGTTTCTAATTGCAATCATCGTTGGGTGTATCGTTGTTGTTAATGGTTTCTTCTCGACTTGTGTTGGTGGTTGTGGTTGCTGGTGTTGGATTGGAGGATAGATGGGTGGAGGAAGTGGGATATCATTGTTGTTGGATGTGCTGGACAGGGGGATTGGCTCGTCGTCCTCGTCGTCGAGAATGATTATTTCTGGCTTGGCATAAGGGTTCAGAACTGTCTTAGTAGTGGTATTTCCATTTCTTCCATTTCCGTTATTGGTTATCTTATCAGACCCGTTTCTAATAGTATCATCTCCTCTTTTATTGTAGATAGCTGTCTGATTAGTTTCTATTGCGTTGTTGTTCTTTAGATTGGGATCTAGATTGCTGTGGGTTTGATTTGGTGCCCCCACTGACATGTTGAATTTTTAGTATTAAACTTGATCTATTAGAAGGTTCAGCTTCTCAACAAGACTTGAATATTAAATAGTACAATCTAACAAACGATAATCTATAAACGAGAACCCTTAGTCTCTAGTGTTATATCATTTAATGGTTACTGGTAAGATGATGTGTTAGTTTTGCAACACACTGCTCATCTTTTTTTACGCGATCAGACATGAAAAAATGATATCCCACACGCGAGGGGCGACCACATAATGCAGAGAGGGAGAGAGGCAGCCAACCACTTAGAAGTAAACAGAGATTCGGATCCTTAACACCTCCTTTGATTGGGGTTTGATTACCTTGTCAGGCATGAATTGATAATATGAGGTTGTTATACGGATTCTGAACCCTTGATCGGTAAAGATAATAATTTGTACACTAATATAAACACATAATTAATACATACCGTAGTAAAACACAACTCTAAAGATAGCCAAGACCTTCTAAGAACTCTTTTCGAGAATTTATACCTCTTCTGGAATGAACCTCCAATAACTCATCCTCCCGTGGAGTATTCAATTTCGCATCCTGAGAAGGTGACCATACACCCGGCATATCCTCAAAATGAAGGCGAAATTTACAATTAATATCTTGTAACAAATCTTCGCACATTCTAGTCGCTATTCGCTGACAAAGTTTTGGAATGCGCGCAATATCTGCATTAGTTGCGAATATAAGATGAGAAATGAATTTTTCTTTAAATCCCAATTTCTCCAAATTGACAAAGATTTGAATTACATCTTGTACTCGTGATAATGCACCGGCGACTGTCATCTCAAGAAACCCTTCATCAACCAAATTCTCGATATCGACATCGAAAAAATCATCCAGCTCGAATGGTTCTTGCGCATATTCCAACTTAACTGGTGTTTGAGAAGACGCTACATCTTGCGAAGCAGATATATCTTCTTCTATATCTTTCACTGGTACATCCAGATCAATAATTCCAATACTTTTCAAAAACTCTTTTCGGTCTTTTATATTTTTTTTACTATGATGTTCCAATAATTCCGATTCTCTTTCTGTAAATAATCTCAAATCTTGCATAAGTGTCCAAAGACCAGATGTATCATCAATTTCCAATAATCGCGAAATAGGAATCGCCGTCATGTTACCACTGGAATAAATTTCGATATTCTCGGCAACTGCATGACAATATATGGGTATGAGGGCAATATCAGCACTTGTGGCCATTAAAATATGAGAAATAAACACTTCAGTAAATCCCAACTTGCTTAAACTATCATATATTTCGATAGCTTCGGTGTTTTGGGATAATGCGGCTTTGGTTCGGGAATAAATCGTACCTTTATCCATAATTTCATGCATATCTCCTGTAAATAAGTCTTCTGCTGTGACTGACTCATTAACATATTGGATATCAATACGAGCTTGGGAATTTTCTTCAACTATCAGAATTTGTGATAATTCTTGTTGTTCTTCTGCTTGTCGGGTTGGACTTTTATCAATTTGGGCCGGTTGGGATTGGGCAACATCATGAAATTGTTGTGATCCCTCTTCATCATTCCGTGCTGGTTGGGATTGCGCAACATCAAAAAATTGTTCTGATTCCTCTTCATCATTTGCTTCAACCGTTCCAGCCTTTTCTGATACTTCAGTTTGTTGGGCAACTGCTTCTCCTTGATCTTCTTCTTCAAGAACTTCCTCCATCCATTCTTGGGCTGCATCATCCATCTCCTCATCTTTTCCGAGCGTAGCTGGGACTGTTTCGAACACTTCTTGGTCAAAATCTTCTTCAGCGTCTTGCCCAAGCGTAGCTGGGACAGTTTCGAATACATCTTCGTCGGCGTCTCGTTCGACAGTTTCGAATACATCTTCCTCCGCCTCATGTTCAGCGTTTTCTTCAATGGGTACTTCTCCCTCCTTTTCAACGATGCTTTCTTCTGCCTCTTTTTCAACGATGTTTTCTTCTCCCCCTTGAGCGACTTGTTCTTCTGTTTGACCTTCTACCGCAAGTTCTTCACTGGCATCCACCATTTCTTCATCTTCGTCTTCTTCTTCAGATTCAGGATAAAATAATGTCGGGACTTCAATTTTGTCACTCTTTGAAGTATCAACCGTAGCTTCAGTAGCTTCTTGCATTTCTTCATCCTGTTGCTCAATAGGTTCAGAATTTGGTTCTTGTGCGTTTCCATTTCCATTTCCATTTGTATCTTCTTCGACTGATGTCTGTTCAATAGTTGTTTCTTTACCCGCTACTTCATCGGCAGACCCAGCATCGGGTTTACCAAACTCCAACAATGTCTTTGGTTCCTCCCCCACCTCATTACACTCCTTAACATATGCAATATATATAGGTATCATTCCTGGTTTTACCCGTTTCTTATATCTATCTCTCCAAGAACTCCAACTATGATGAGACCATTTCCTTTCCATAGCCCTAAAGAATGCATTCGGTAATATCAAAGGTTCATCAAAATCAATTTCATATCCACTGGCAAGTAGATATTTTTTAGCAGCTTTACATAAACAATAATCATCTTTGGGTGTATACTTCGACAAAAGGGTTTTTGGAGATTCATTCACGCCAATTTTGATATATTGACCTGTTTCCGGGTGTTTTATGGGCTTCTGTTTGGAGTCTACTTTATATACGAATTGCAATTCTGATTCTAATCGTTTTCTAAATCTTGATCGGATCGAATTTCCTGTGTGTCCCTTAAGAATGGGATTTTTGGCAAGTTCGGCGAAGAATACATGAGAATTACGATATCGTGGATTTAATCTCACTTGCTCAAGTATGAATTCGTCTTTTTCCGGTGTGAATGGAGTATGTCCCCTCCGACTCGGACTACTGCTATTGGAGGTTGAGTTGCCACTAGAGCCGGATCTTGAAGTAGCAACAGCGGAAGCACCAACTGTGGACGTATATCCATCTCGAGAAAGTAGACGTTTTTTCGCAACACAATCATCGATATATGCAAACTTCACGCTACCTGGCCCACCAGCTGCTGGATCATTATTTAAATAAATGGTAGTTGGGGTAGGATTTGAAGTAATGACACCTCCATGTTCAATAATTAATGCACGATAAAAATCTCGATCTGATGCTTTTAAATTATCAGGAAAATGAAATAACATCGATTTCCCATCTTTATCAACAAATATATTAGTTGGGGCTTTTGTTGTATATTGGCGTTGTCGTCTTTGATGTTGTTGAAGAGCAGCCAGAATTGCTGCTTCAGAAGCTGCTATTGATGATTCTTCTGTTGTTGTTGTTGTTGTTGTGGGTTGCTCCCTTAAAACGCGTGACATTGACATTACTTTTTCAATCTAATCTGCTAGCTGAAACGAAATGAATGTGTTGGTTGGGAGGTGAATATTGGACGCAATTGGTTGTAGGATTGCAGATACTTCTTCGTTGGTTCTACCACTACTTCCTTGCTAAACAATAATAAACATTAAGGAAGAAAATTTTCGCCGCACTTGGAATGGTTAATGTTGTTTATTCTGTTTGCTTTTGTCTGACGCGATGGTCGTGTAAACTTGCCCAGAAGATTATCAAGTAGAATTTTTTGCAGCCAAATCAAGCATAGCAGGTGTACACAAGAGTAAGTTGAGGCCCTAGATATCAATATGGTTCAAGAAAGGTATATGTATTATACCTTCTCGAGTCAAGATGTATATACCGGAGGGCTATATATTTTATATGCAGAAATTAAAGTTCCCCTAGGTGTGGAAAGTAGACACTTAGTATACTAAACTCATCTTTGTTAAATTCAATTCAATAGTACAAATTATATTAAATATAAATATAATATTCCATATAACAAAATTAAATTTATGAAATTGTATGGCAGCTATTTGGTATTGTTCTAATAATTCTCTAATTGGAATTTGCATTGACATATTAACAAAATAGATTACTTGTATTGAAAGGAATGATAATATTAATGATATTAATTTTATGATGAACTTCCATTTAATTTGAAATTTACCATGATGAACAATACAATAACCAAATACTATATCACCTAAGATTAAAAAGATAATTAACCCTGAGCATAATAAATTGAATATTCCAACATATTGAAGATCAAAACCTGCTTGATTGTAAGTTCTTAATTTACATATATCGGGATTTGATAAACTCATTGGACCTGAACATAATTGTTCAATTGCAGTATAAAAAACATTAACAAATCTTCCAGATGTAAGGTTTGGGTCTGGTTGTTTGGTTAAATTCCCTAATTGAGTACCGAAATCTTGAACAAAGCTAGCAATAATATTTGAGCCTTCTCCATTATAACATATGAGCTCTTCTCCAAATTGATTTCGTTTGCAAAATCCAAAGATGTTAAAATAATATTCACTATTATCAAATAATGTATCTACTACTTGTAGATTAGAATCCAGGATGGTTTCATTGATGTAAATATTTAAATCATTTGATAGATATGTGACAAATTTTAGACCTTCTTGAACTACTTGGATGATATTTTTAGCAAACATTGAATCTGGTTTTATTTGTAATGAAAACGACCCATCTGCCAGTGGATGAAATCTTGAACAACTAAATAAGAAAATAAAACTAAATATGAATAGTACAAAATTGGACATTAATTCTACTAGGGTATAATTTAGAAATGTGAAATATCGTGACATAGAAGACGCTTTCTCAACTTTGTTGATCTTTTCGAGATCCATTATTTAATTTAACGGTATTGGGTTGTTGGTAGTTTGGTTGAGTTTGTGTTGAAAGTTGGTAAAAACTCTCATTGAAATTTTTTTTGGGTGCAAATTTCGCAAGGAGTCAAAAACTCAATCAACTGTTGCTTGTTGCATACCTTAAAATTAATCTGATTCTAAATATGCTACATAAATGCCACTGATGGCAAATTTGAATTGGAAGCTTTCTCCAAAGCATCCTTTAATTATCTTATTTTAGAACCGAGCCTCTAACTCCCCAAGAAACTTGAATAGATGTAGTTTCTAAGATATTTGGTAATACTGTAAATTAGAAAAAATGACAAAATCATGATACTCAAAACAATCTTTTATGACACAGAAACAGATCTTTGAATTAGTCATAACTGTATTGAATGTAGTATCATGGTTATTAAAGGAACTAGTTTGGGTAACACAAAATCGGGAATTGATTGTCAGGTCGTGTACTTTAGTTCAAAAATAATACCTAAGTTCGGATGAGTCACTCCTAATTGGGTAATTGAATTTTTCATTAAGCGCGCTTAACTTTCCTCGATGAGAATTTTTCAATTTTTCTGACTCAAACTTTTTCCAGAGTGAAAAATTTTTTTAATATAAAAACCAAATCAATTCCCGCAATTCTTTTTTTTTTCTAAAACTCTTTTTCTTCTTTTTCTTTCATTACAATTCAATTGAATTTAAAACCCTATATATACACCCCCTATTACTAATAATGTCCAAAGGAAAAGTTTGTTTAGCATATTCTGGTGGTTTAGATACCTCAGTTATTTTAGCTTGGTTATTAGAACAAGGTTATGAAGTTATTGCTTTCTTAGCCAACATTGGTCAAGAAGAAGATTTCGAAGCAGCTGAAAAGAAGGCATTAGCTATTGGTGCCACAAAATTCGTCGTTGTTGATGTTCGTAAAGAATTTGTTGAAAAAGTTTGTTTCCCAGCTATTCAAACTAATGCAATTTATGAAAATGTTTATTTATTAGGTACTTCATTAGCTAGACCAGTTATTGCCGAAGCACAAATCAGAGTTGCTGAAGAATATGGATGTTTTGCTGTTTCTCATGGATGTACTGGTAAAGGAAATGATCAAGTTAGATTTGAATTATCTTTCTATGCATTAAAACCTGATGTTGTTGTTATTGCTCCATGGAGAGATCCAGAATTCTTTAACAGATTTGCTGGTAGAAACCACTTATTAGAATATGCTGCTGAAAAGAATATCCCAGTTGCTCAAACCAAAGCAAAACCATGGTCAACTGATGAAAACATGGCTCATATTTCTTTTGAAGCTGGTATTTTAGAAAATCCAGATACCACCCCACCAAAAGATATGTGGAAATTAACTGTTGATCCAACTGATGCCCCAGATACCCCAGAACAATTCTCGGTTGTTTTCGAAAAGGGTTTACCTGTTAAGTTAATCTTGGATGGTGGTAAGAAGGTAGTCACTGAACCAGTTGAATTATTTATTGAAGCTAATGCATTAGCTAGAAGAAATGGGGTTGGTAGAATTGATATTGTTGAAAATAGATTCATTGGTATCAAATCCAGAGGTTGTTATGAAACCCCAGGTTTAACTATCTTAAGATCAGCTCATGTTGATATTGAAGGATTAACTTTAGATCGTGAAGTTCGTGCCATTAGAGATCAATTTGTTACTCCAACTTGGTCTAAGATTTTATATAATGGTATGTATTTCACTCCAGAAGGTGAATATGTTAGATCTATGATTGATCCATCTCAAAAGACCGTTAATGGTGTTGTTAGGGCTGCTGCCTACAAGGGATCTGTTACTATTTTGGGTAGATCTTCAGATACTGAAAAATTATATGATGAAACTGAATCTTCAATGGATGAATTAACTGGTTTCTCTCCTGAAGATACTTCTGGTTTTATTGCCGTTCAAGCTATTAGAATTAAGAAGTATGGTGAAGCTGCTAGAGAAAAGGGTACTCCTTTGACTTTGTAATTGCTTGATCAGGGATTAAGAAGACATAATAAATGATTTTGGATTGATTTACGGTGTATATATATAGTTAATTTAATATAAACGGATATTACGAAAAAACACTTGAACTATTGCGTAGTTTTAGTAAATGTATCTCTCCATTCCGCAAGTTTGTTTATGAAATCAACTGGGGGTTTCCCTACTAAATCGATTGGTATACTTCTCTTAGCTGATGTGTTGGTTTTACTTAATTCCAAATGCCATTCTAGATGATTTACCAACGAATCCAATAATTCATACTCGTCATTCGTATTCTCAGACTTAATTTCTTTCAGATGGATATCTTCTATGAATTCATCCTTATGATTTAAATAATACCATCCAGTTAACCATATCACTTTATTAAACATTGGAAACCTGAATCGGGAAGGCACTCTAGTTTTCCGTTCAATATCATTAATTTTTAATTGCATTTTCATATCACGTAATGTTAAATAATTCCCACCAATAACTAAAGAATCTTGTGGAGTATGTACAGCATGTATCCAACCACTCGGTATAATAAACAAATCACCTTCTTCTAATGTAACTTTAAATCCATCTTTTGGAGATATTCGTTTTTTATTCTTTGTGATTGAATATTCACCAAACCAGATGAAGTTTTGAGTTTGCTCCAAACACCAAGAAGTATATAAATCTAAGTTGTCTTGCGTTGGAGGATACATCATAAATGTTTTGAGTCCCTTACATACCGTATAATATACTGAAGTTCCACCAAAATCAATATGAAAATCAGTGAATGAATTCTTAACTGACATCAAACAATATTTTGTCACTTTTGATCGAGATTGTTCATCATTGGGGTTCCATACTTTATCAACCAAATCTAATTCCTCAACCATTGTAGGTCGTTTAAACGAATCTCCGAGTCCTTTAGCTTGAGATATTTCCAAGGAAATTACATTTCTGATTCTATCTCGGGAATTTTCATCGGTGAGGAAATAATCTCGCCATTGTCCCATTTTCCATCCTGGTGATACACTTTGTTGTGAGAGGACATCCATTACTTCTACTGGATGGTCGTCTCCCACCTTGCTAGTTATATATTGAATATCGATTTTATTTCTAGGAATTGGTAGTTCCATGCCTACTTTTGAAAGATTTGCTTTTCTGATTAAGATTGGCTTCTTCATTTCAGTTGATAATGCGTATTCTTTAGTCAATTCGTCAACATAATTCAAATGTGGATTTAGCTTCGATTCGGGATTGGAAAACTCGAGGAATTTAGGTAGATGAGGATGACATGATTTATCAACGGCAAAAGTATCACCTTCATTTAAGGCCACATAATCAATGGATACTTTAGCTCGTTTAGATTTTCTTTTGTAGATTGAATCTCCATGTTTGGGTATACAATCTTTACAATGATAAGAATGGAGATTATTAATTTCTAATGGAGTTAATTGAAGACATTGAGTATGAAACCATTGTTTACATGGTTCACATTGTAACCAACTAATATTAGTTGATGATGTTCTAGATTCATCATCCAATGGGTTGTTGATACAAATAGGACAAGTGTCTATTGAAGGCATCTTCTTCATAATAAGCTTTAAGCTTGGCAATAAGAGTCTAGACAGTGATTGTTAGTTTGGATTAGATGACTCAAATTGGTTAGACGGGTGATTTAGTAAAATTTATTTTTTTCTATTGGGGTTTTAAGAGGGGTGTAAAAACAATAATCCTGATAAGAGAGATTTTCAAATTTGGTAATTCTTTTTCTTCTTCTTCTTCTTCTCATCTCCTAATTGACCGAAGCAATAACCCCATAGTCATAACCACCAGGAAGAGAAACAAGATATGTTACTTGTCAGAAGAGGAATTACACGAAGAGGAAGGCTACCATATTTAAGACCCTTAACTCAAATAAGAACCAATAGTATTGGGCTTTCAGTATGTGAAGATGAAATTGGTCAACAAGAAAGATTCTTAAATGAATATAAAATAAGATCTTTATTAGAACAGCCAATCCTATATTATGCTCAAAAGGAATTACCTAAATTCTCAATGGATCAATTATATAAACAATCAGCAAAACTTTCATCTACGACGATTTTACAGAATGCTTCTATGACTGTTGAACATTTATTAGCTTATAATGCAAGAAGATTAACTGAATTTAGAAAATTACCATATTTGGTTGTACTTAATCCTTCAATATCAGAATCTTATAATACTTATTTACATACTATGGCATCCTTGTTGAAAGCTTCATTATATCCTCCTCATACTCTAGCTGAGAATGAAAGGTTTGCAAAAGAAGTATTAGCAGAATTTATTGATGTTCATGCTGATACTTTACCAAGTCTATCGAAGGGGTTCCAAGAAGTTAGTAATAATTTATTAAGTTTTAAACAAATTAAAGCGTTTTTGGATGAGCATTTACGAGAAAGAATAAGTATGAGATTAATTGCTCATCAACATTTAGAACTAACAAAATCAATTGGTAATCCTGATAAATATGTTAAAGGTGGAAAATATAATGGTGTTATCAAAATGTTACATATCCCAGATGTTATAAAAAAGAATGCTGCTGTGGTTAATGATATTACAATGTTGAAATATGATCAATCCGTCCCAATCTCAATAGATACTAATTTATATCCATTGAATTATTGGAGTAGATCAGAACCTCCTTTGGAAGCAAGAACGGAAGAAGAATTATTAAATTTCCCATATATTGAATATCATCTTGATTATATCCTTATGGAATTATTTAAAAATTCATTTAGAGCCCATATCGAAAACAATGTTCATGATCCAGTACAAGTTACAATCTCAACATCTTCTTCTCCATATTATTTAGAATTAAGAATTAGAGATAAAGGAAAAGGGGTCCCACCCAAAGTATTAAAACATATATTTGATTATTCTTTCACTACATTTGATTCAGGAGAAGGTGATAGTTATAAAACTTTGAATGTCCCACCTGGTTTAGGTGCTAATACTGTTGCTGGAATGGGGTATGGATTACCCCTTCTGAGAGCTTATGTTGAAATATTTAATGATACGATTCCAGATGAAGATGGAATTACTCCAGGCACAAAAGGACTGTTGACAGTTCAATCTTATTATGGTTGGGGGACTGACGTTTACTTGAAGACAGTGGGATATTAGTTATTGTCTATACCCAGAATTCAACTAGTAATGGAGTATTGGTAATACGTTGAAATGTGGCGATTTTATGGTTTCACAATAAATTCATTTATATCGTGTGACCCCACAAATCCACTACGATTACAAGTCATCAAAGAGAGATCGTAAGTCATAACCTGGCGACTTCTCATAGTTAGCATATACCTTTATACATAGTCATATCTCTGTAGTATAATGTGACACTATAAATCGTGTAAAAGTTTAGATACGCGGCTAAACCCCTATAGGTTTCTATTTTAGGAACTAGTGCGGCTCAGCCCAGATTTCCTATTTCTAATACGAAAAATCACTAACCGATAAAATGCCAAGCTGTAACATCAACAGATTTGAAAGAAACCGTCGCGTAACTAACCACCACACACTTTTCTTTCCTTCTGTCATTTTGAATTGCATAGCTGGTTTTCCCGATATATTAGATGATATGTATTCATCATCATCATCACTGACCTTTGGCAATGGATCTTTCAACAATGATGGTTTTCCAATTCATTCGTTTCCTTCTGGTGCTAATAATAGCCCACCTCAACCACCCGGGATTATGACACCCTCACAATTCGTACAGCAGGAAATAGATATGATATTAATCAATAGTGATTCACTGGCATGCAATGAAAACTTTTCGATTTTCATAAAATATATAATTGATAATGTTTACACTCCCAACGGTGATGGTACTGGTAGTGAAATGCCTACATATCAAAGTCTTTCATTATACGCATTGAAATTACTTACCCTGAATTTATTCTTAAAGAATTATAAATTCTGTTTGGGAAAGATATTGGCATTTTTGAAAACATTTACAAGATTAACTGAAGCTAGATTAACTGAAGATCAAGATGATAAAGATAACGATGAAGAGAAAGTTGTCATATACGAGGCTGAATGCGTGAAAGAATTCTTATGTATTGTGCTACTATTGTTATTGAAGGTGAAAAATACTGGACCTTCAGATAGTCCCAATTGTGCAACAGAGCCACTTGAAATAATTGAAGATGAAGATCTTTATTCCACATTAAGATCATTTAATTTCATATCTGTCATATCTCAATTTATAACCACCCAGGTAAAAGCTATATCAATTTCAAAATCATCATATGTTATACTTAAATTCGGTTGTGATATCTTCTTTGAGTATTTATTTCATGTTGGATTATTACAAGATGATGAATTTGAAAGTTTAACTAATAATACTGAATTAATTTCAACATTAATTAAATATTTATTGACAAATGAGAATTTTAATAATTATGATTTAGATTCGGATGATTTTGAAGATGAAGATAAATTAATTGCATATGAAGAATTCAAGCTTTTGCTATTAATTAATGAACAGTATTTAATGAAGTTTTACACTTCTGGGAAAATCAAGAATAAAGTATTTGACGGATTAATGAAAGGCAATACCGATGATAATTCCATACCCAACTTAACAAATATTACTGGGTTTATTAATTTAATGATTTATCACCTAAATCGAGAAGAATCTCATATCATCAAGATTTTAATATTAAAATTCTTATACTTGGTATTCACAACTTCATATACAACTAGATTGGTATACCTTAATGATTTAAAGATCTTGGTTGATATTTTCATTCGAGAATTGAATAATATGGACTTTACAGGGGATAAAATATATGAAAATAGAAACTTAACATTAACATATTTACGAGTACTATATCCAATCTTACTATTTTCACAATTCAAAGACATTAATGAAGGATACAGAACTAAAGAATTAATGGACTTATTTCTGAATATAATTATAAACTCAGATATACTACTATCTGATCTTTCCACCGATTCTATTAATAATAACGAATCAGAAAAGGAGAATGCAATTTCAAAATTAGCTCAACAATGCATGTCAATTAAATGGTTAAAGCACCTTTCCAAAAAAGATCATCTGCAGCTGCAACCCAAAAGAAGGGGTTCTTCAGAATCCTCGCTGGAAACATCTAGCGTTAAAGATGAAATAATAGAACCCAGTCAATTCACAAGAGTTCTATCAGTACGAGCATCCACCAGGAATGATTATCACAACAATACCAGATCTCATAATATCGTCCAACAGCCCCAGGAGCCTCAAAAATCCATATATGCAGAAAATAACAACAACATATTCTTAACCAACACGACAAAATCATCAAACACTCATTCATCAACAACCACGTTCATAAAATCACCTTGGACAGGTGAAGATATCAAACTCCCTCCTACAGAAACCAATCTCCAATCAACAAGCCATAACATATTGGACCTTCCCAAGGAATATCTCAAATCAAAACCACTCCCCGTGCTTCCAATACCAGAAATGACCCAATCTGAACCGGATTTATATCTACATAAAACAAGTTCTTCTACTAGTTCGGTGAATTCGGCATCTTCTTCATTGGTATTGAAGGCTTTGAAAAAGAAAGCACCACCGCCTCCACCACCAAGATCGAGATTGAATAGTCCGGCACCGGAGCTCGTGAAAGGAGGAGGTGGTGGGACGGGTCCTCCTCCACCTCCACCTTCTCGACGCAGGCGTTGAAGAAAGGATGAGGTTAGCGTTAATAATTTAATATATATTGACTTTCTAGAGTATATAGGGCAGTTCGCTGTTCATTTTCATGATAGCATTTGTATGCATTTCGAAGTTGGTAGATCGCCGTGTACCCCATACAAAAAGTTGGTAGTGCTACAACAGAGATGTCATATCCAAACGGAGGGATGTATACCATTCCAGTATTGACCATATATGCATTAACTAAATATTACAGTTTAATATATAATTTGTATATACTTTCTATACCGATATATCCTCTTTAAAACTCAAAACATCATTAAACCTCAATCCATTAATTTCAGTCTTCGTATAAGAATCCAATTCTTTTTGAATACATTCTTCATTCTCATCATCGGTGACATCACTACTTGCAACCAAAACCAATCCTCTTGATCGAATCAAGGGAATGAGTTTAGGAACTAGGTTTAATAAATGAATTGAAGTGACTAATCCGATTAAATTATTATTGATTGTGAAATTGACTGCTTCTTTGATGGAACGGGTTGCGAATTCTTGATATTGATCTGCCATTCGAGAGATCTGAATTGATTCTTGATCTTCATGATGTTCACTGGTAGTGGTGGTAGTGGAGGCGGTGGGTGTAGTGGTCCTAATTATTGATTCATGACCTGGAGATTTCCATTTCTTGAGATCATCAATTAATAATCCATTAGTGGTTCGTGATTCGAATTTCCCTTGTTTGGAATTATAAGTTATACCATTCATAAGTAAAAACACAGGGAAATTTGGTTGTTTCCAATTTAAGATTTTACAAATTAATGAATTTGATGATAGGAATATAATTGATCTTCCAGGAGTACAAGTATCCATTTTTGAAGTTCTTATATGATTAAAAACATCATTCAATGTAAAATCAATAAAATTATTCAAATTAGCCTGAATATTACCAATAAAAGGCAACATCCTTAATTCATACAATGAAGGGAAAACTAATTCTAAATTCAAATTAATCCCCACATGTAAAATATCAAGGAATATATCCAAAGGTAAATAAACAATCCTTAATAATTTCTTAATAGATCCAATATCTTTAATACTCATCCTTGCTAAATCATGAATCACTTTACTATAATCGAATAAATCATCAGTTATGGAAGTTAATTGTTCTAATGATAAATTAGGTAAATATAAATCAATCTTTTCCGTTAATGGAATCGACCAATGGGGACATACTACTGGAGTACCATCATTCAATAAACAAATCTTTACTCGTAAATATTCTCCAGAAAGTGAAGTGGCGGTAACTATAGATGACGAGGCCATGAGTTCAGATGGAGCAGGATGAGCTACCGCAGCGGCAGTAGTTGCAGGTGCATTGACATTGGAGTTTAAATTCCCGGGCGACAAGAAATTATTTGGAGATAATCCACCAGCGGCATTCAATTTCAAAGTTTGTCTATTTTTGACAAAACTAGTTGAAGATTTCCAATATGTATCAAATTTTGAAGTTTCTAATAATGTACCTGAAAATGGGAAAATTATTTGATAATTAAATTTAATTTCTCCAATATTTCTTAATCTTAAATCAAATAACGGTAATTGAATAGTACTTAATTCAGGTGATGATGTATCAAGTTCTGAGAATGATAATGCGGTAGTTTTCGCAATTAATCTTGTCCCGAATTTAGGGAAAATTTCAAAATCAATTCTAAATTCATGTAAGGTATCAATATCAGTTTGGAAAACAGTATTATTATTGGCTTTAGTTTCATCACCAATTGGTAATAAGATATTTCTGGGGATAATATCGGAAATATTGGAAGTAAGTGTAATTCTACCTGGTTTTAAATCAGTAGTTGAATTAAACAAATTTATAAATGAACTATCAGCTGGGAACATCAATTCAATCAATACTTTCTGTTCCAAGAAATTATGTCCATAACGTCTCAATGGTAATATTGGAGGTGGTAATTGTAAATCAGGAATACTATCCACATTCTTTTCAATAGACCCACTATCTTCAGAATCATCATCATTTAAAATCGTATCATGAATAACTTTATCACCAGAATCCACCGACACCATTTCATTCAAATTAGCAATTTTATTATTTGTAGTTAATCCACAACAAATACCTTCAACATTCTCAATTGTGGTATAATAACTCAATAATTCATTCACAACATCAATATGTCCCTCCACAACACAATAATATAATACATTATATCCATCTTCATCAATCACATTTAATTTCGCTCCCAATTTAACCAATTCCTGAGTTGTCTTAACATGTCCTTCAGAAGCAGCATAGAAAATTGGAGTCCATTTATTAAATCCATCCAATTTATTAACATCAGCTCCATATTGAATTAATAATTTGATTAATTTATAATGTCCCGATCTTGAAACTACATGTAATGGTAATAATCCTTCTACATCTTGTTGATTCATGACTTTTTTAATTTCTCCTGATTTATCATATGATAATAAATATTCTACTGTTTTATAATCTCCAAATCTACATGCGTAATTTATTGGAAGATATTGTAATTTACCTTTATCTGCTTGGGGGAATCCATTTGCTCCATATTGAAGTAATTTTTTCATGATATTGAAATGTCCATGTTTGATAGTTAATAATAAAGCTGTCATTGAATCATTGTCCATGATATCTATATGTTCTTTAGGGAAAAATGGTAGTATTATATCAAGTAAATCGCTTCTATTATTTTGAGATGCATAATGTAAACAAGTTCTTCCGGCAAAATCTTTACCAGTTAATAAACTGATTCTTTCAGCTTCAGTTAGTTTTTCAAATATGTAGTTAACGATGAATGTCCTTGAATGATTAACGGAATCAATTGAGTTGAGAACTTTAACTCCATTATTTATTATAACATGACTTTCATGAGTAGAAGCAGGAGGGATGGAACAACATTCATGAAGGATGTTTTTATTATTATTGAAATCATCATTTATAAACGTGAAGTCCACGTCACAATCAATTAAATGAAGAAATGATTCAAGGAAACTATCGGATATTTTCAAATTACCAACTGATAATAATAAAATTTTGGTGATTTTATATCTGGCAAGGGAATTAAATTTTGAACCTGATTCCGCGGTAGATTTAGCACTTCCAGAAGAACCCTTGGATGAGCTTTTCACTTTATCTATCCATTGTGCAAGTAAAGATAAATCAGGATCTTTAATTGTGGCAACATTAACAAAACTAGTATAAAGTTCATCTACTTCATTATTTTGTATATTAACAATTGAAGAACTTCTTGAAAACGTGGTGAATTGTGGATTTGATAAATCAGTATTTGCTAGACCTGAGCTTATATTTGTAGTCAGATTATCTCTAGATAATGAATTCAATATTTGTGGTTGTCCACCACTGGTTGAAGTTGGAACAGAAGTTCCATTTAAAGCTTGAAGGGAAGTATAATCACCTTCCATAATCGATTCTATATCAAATAATGATTGAGTAACCAAATCACTTAATTCATTAATTTCATTCTTATGGAATACTGGTTGGACACTAACAGCGGTTTGTATAAACAATTCTTTTGTTCTTGATTTAGATCTTTTATCCCATTTTTTAACAACTTTTGAAAACCCAGTTTCATTTAATTCAATAAATTGTTGTAATCTAATTAAATCTTGATGAATCTTTTTGAAATTTTGATATAAATTAAGAAATGAAATTGAATTTTTAAAATTAGCATTGATATTATTATTATTAGTGGAAGTATTACCATGTTGATGGATATATTCATTTGATTTAGCAAATAATTCATGTTTCTTCATTAATAATAAATCAAGATTAATGGCTAAATTTGCTTGTTTTTCAAGATAAAATGAATTAACTTTATCTAATTCACGTTCTACTCTAAAGAAGAACTGAGCTCTATTTTCTTTAAGTGTTTGTTGTATTTCTTGTTGTGAAGAAGCAGTAGTTGTAGTTATTATAGGTGGTGAACCTGTTGTAGTTGTAGTAGTAGTGGTTGAAGCAGTTGAAGGTATTGCTAATTGTTTGATTAATTTTTTTAAAGCTTTATAATCAATAAAATGACCAGAATATTCTGGTAACTCTAACTGTCTACTAGCAAGATACTTTCCAAACTTCATTTTTCTTATTGCTCTCTATTAAATTTATATCTGTTGATTGTATTTGAAAGTTGGTTAGCTGGTTGGTTGTAAAAAAAAAATAGTATAAACAGAGGAAAGAAAGTAAGCAACAGCAGCCGCAGCACATTGCAGAAAGAATGAAACAAGAAGAGAAAGAAAAAAAAAAAAGATTTTGCAATTTTAATCCACGTGGATGGGAGTTAAATTATCATGTTCTCTCTTTATTAATTAAGTTAAATTTATATTAGAGTAAGTAAGAGACATGCAAATGAAACAACAACGTTTTCCTTACATTTAATATTATTATAGAATCATAGACTCATAGACTCATAGACTCATAGACTCATAGACTCATAGACTCATAGAATCGTTATTTTTGAGATTGTCAGGATCTTGTTGTATTCTTCCTTTGAAAATTTATCCTCCCCCCAGAAAAAGTAAGCGATGATAACAAAATATTGGAGCGCATTTTCTGGCTCATAGTTTATTGTTCAATTGCGCATTTGAGTTTACAATACTAGTTCGTATTTAAATATTCATTGGCTGATCAGCTAGCCAACTAGACAACGCGTCTTATTCGTAAGATCTACAATAATCGGATCATCGTCCTTATAGTATTTCATTAACGAGGCTGCAAAATTCTTTGCAATACGCCTCGAAGTGTTACCCGGATCTTCGTACGGCGTGTAACCTGAAATACAATAATCAGTCAAATTCCTGTTACAGCACTCCTCAATAAGAGTAATAATCAGATTTTACCATGATAAAATCGACAATGGCCTCTCAAGAGTAAACGTGTAGTTGTTTCAGCTGAAAGTGACAAATATGGTAAGGAAAAATCCGTGATATTCAATGCGGTGCAAACTGAGCAGTTTAAGGAAGTCAGTTTTCCAATTGAAGAAAATACACAAAGATTCCCGTAGTAATTGATTCCATAGCTCCATATGTATCTTGACTACTTTCCAGGTATGACAATTACCAAACTTTGCTTCTTTAAGGGAAATGTTGCCAAATATAGAACATAGAGGCAACAGGAAAAATAATGATTCTCCCAAGCAGTTCGTGTTGTGCATTTGGCTGACGAAGAATGTCATACGCAACTTAACAGCGCATTCAATTTACAAATGAAGGTCAAACAACAAGCCATATCCTAACTAATAACTTCACCGAAATACTTTTATATTTGTATAATTGAAAAAAAGGGAATCTTTGCTATATAATTTATACTCTATATAACTTTCTCATATATTTAATCCTTCTTAGCGGCATCTCTAGCAGCATCGAAATGTTCCTTAAAGAGATCGGCATTTTCCTTATTACCAAATCTAATAGCTAAAGTTTGAGCTTCAGGTTCACCTTCAGAAACATCGGCAGTAACATTATAAACCCAAGATCTATCAGATCCAATATTTGGTTTTAATTCATAATCACCAGAAATTAAATGATTAGCACAAATCTTTAAAGTCTTATCTCTTCTCATCAAGATTCTAACCTTACCAGTTTCTTTATGTTTTAAGAATTTAACATCACCAGTACCTCTTTCTTTCCATTCTTTTGTATCAGCATGAAATCTAAATAATTTAGCACGAACTTTAAATAATACATCTTCATCTTCTTCATAAGTCTTAACATCAACTTTTTCTAATGTAACCAATGGCTCGAAATGAACATCAACTTCTTCTTCTTCTGCTTTATCTTCTTCACCTTCTTTAGATTTAGATTCGGTTTTAGATTCTGATTCTTCTTCTTTTGGTTCTTCTTTCTTTTCCTTCTTAGCACCAAACATAGAGAATACGTTGGCGGTTGGTGGTTTTGGAATTGAAGTTTCTTCACTTACTTTTGATTCTTCAGCAGACATTATATTGTGGATTATAATATGATTGATTGGGGAAATGGGGGATACTAAGTAAAATATGTGTGGTAAATTTTTGATCTGAATTTTTTTTTTCTTCTCTCAGCTTCTTTTGGTTCTGCCTCTTCTTGTTTTTTTGTGTGGGTTTTTTTTTTTGGTTTCCCTTTAACGAGATAATATGACTTCTTAATTGGGAAGTAACTCACGTTGCTGTAATAATTACTCATTATATTTATCTATTTACAAATTATTCTAAATACACATAATAACTCTACTTGGATCTAGTTAATATAGAATTAGTTAAAAACTCTAAAGCACTTCTTGCATCAGATTCAGGCAAACATCTTAAATTCTTCAATGCACGACGACAATAATCTTCTGCCATTTCTCTAGTCTTTTCCAATCCATTATATTTTTCAACTGCTCTTCTTGCAATTTCAACATCTCCAGGCTCACTAAATTTCCTCCCAATTAACTCTCCCAATTGTGGTTGTTCTTTCCAGGCAAATAAAATAGGTGCAGTGGCTAAACCTAATTTTAAATCAGCTTGGGTTGGTTTCCCAAATGCCGCATCACTAGAAGTATAATCTAACATATCATCAACTATTTGGAAACATAATCCTAAGTTTCTCCCGAAATCATAACAATTTTCAATAACATCATCTTGAGCACCACTTAATACAGCAGCTGCTCGGGACAGTTTTGACATTAATGATGCGGTTTTAAGATATGTTTTATGTAAATAATATTCAAATGCTGCTTCTACATTGGTTAAATGATCAAGTTCTTCTTTTGTTTGAGTTGGAGTCTTGACACAATATTCATGTTGTTTCGTGGGGACTTTGCCAGTTGGTTCCGGTATGGATTTATCTTCTCCATCATTATTTATAATATTATTATTACCATTAGGGGCCATGACAGTATTTTTCAATTGCATGAATTCTCCTTCAACTAAATTAGCAATTGTAGTTGATAATAATTCAATAACTTCCGGATTTCTTAATCTTGCAATTGCAACAGAAGCTCTTGCTAATAAGAAATCTCCAGCTAATACTGCCATTTTATTAGTGAAAGCTATATTACCACTTGGTCTACCTCTTCTAGAATCAGATAAATCAATCACATCATCATGTAATAATGAAGCAGTATGTATCATTTCCACAATCTCGGCCAATCTTCTTTGTTTGGGTAAGATCCCATTCATAGCATCAAATTGAGGTAATTTATCCATTGGTTTCAGTAATGGATCCAAAATAACCTTGGGGTTGATTCCATGTAAGATTCTCAATGGAGAAATTGAATCATCTACAGATTTCCCAGCTACTGACGTCTTAGTTGGTGTACCTTTAAAATGGGGTTGTTCCGTAACATCATAAGTATCTATTTTAATTCTATTTCTTTGTTCCAAAGGGATATTCAGTAATGCTTTTGATAATAATAATACAATTAATGGACGGACATTTTTACCATCAGCTTCAAAATAGTAACTACTTACACGATTTAAAGTAGGATGACCCAGTCCGATTAAGTTCGCTATAGATTTTGCCAAATTGGACATTTCATGACTGACTATTGAAAATGGATCATGGAAAACTGATTCAGTTGGTGGTTGTACTAATTTTTCTGCAGTTTCAACTGCGGTATTGAATGTGTTTGGGGAATGGGTTGAATAGAAAGAACAAGACCCGACAACCTTGACTCTAGATTGTTGTAGTTTAAGAGCTCGTAATCTAGGTGTAGCGGATCTTACTCTCAGAAGCATCGTATGTTAACTTGAATTGAAAGGGTAATACTGAGATCTAGAATTGAAATTTTTCAAGAAATAATTCAGCCAAAATTTTTTATTCCTTTAAAATCTCTTTGGTTGTTTCTTTTTTTTTTTTTTTTTGCTGTTGCATTTTTTCTTCCTTCTTGTCAGTGTTGCTGCCCTGTGTCTCCTATTCTTGCTCTGTCTTCGGAGGTTTTAAAATGGTTGTAAACTACCCCTTAGTTTGATCAAGGGGGTAAGGTGAGACATTGCTTACTCTCCATAATCCCAAATGCACGATAAAGGGAGATGGCTTGTTGTTTTGTTAAAAATTGAAGAAATGACTCATCTAGAATAAAATACAATTTTGTTTAATGATTATTCTATGCGAAGGCTGTCCCAACTCGTGTACCTATAGCTTGCTTCCTCTCAAATAGTCAGAAGTTTTGACAGCGTATTGCTAGTTTATTCTGTTCTAATGAACCTGACTGTTAAGATTACTACTGCCTGTTCTGAGTGAATTGTCCAAGACAATATTTTGTTCTTAAGGGTGCCAATTGGTTGCAAAAAAAAAACCTTTCAAACATTCAAAGAGATATCAATTTTACAGCATTACTCTACACGTAACTCTAATAATGTAATATATATTGTAAACAGAATAAGCAGAACAAGTAAATAAACGCTATTAATAAAAGAACTACCTTTGCACATGTATAAATATAAAAAAAATATGTAAACTAAAATTCAATCTATGATTAACCCCAAATATAACTCCCGCAATCAGTTACACCATCCTGGATGGACTCCATCAATTATAATCAGCTCTTTGAGAAGGATGCATATTTCTTAAGAAAACTTTTGGAGGAGTCAAAGTCCCCAAAGCTCTTTGAGCATAAAGATTCAAAAATTGCAATCCAAACAAATAACTAGCATTAACCCATCCAAACCCTTCAGTAGCCACCCCCTTAAAATCCAATCCTTGATTTCCATATTCTGCATCCACACGATGGGGTACTGCCCCCTTGGTGACATTATACTTCTCAACCACAACCCCATTATAATCAACAAATGATTTCGTCATCATGAATAACCATCTATATGCCAATCTTCTGGCTACACCATCGTATCCATAATTAACCAATCCTATCCAGGCTAAGATTTGTTGTGGGGCCCAACCGAATGGATAATCCCATTGACGGGATGGACGGGTTAATCCAATCTCACCACGGGATTTTAAAGTACCAGAAGCTAATCCTCCATGCTCTTCGAATTTTGGTAATGAATTGGTAACGATTGCTTCTGCTTGATGAGGAGATGCAAGTTCGGCATAAAGGGGCCAAAAAGTGGTGGCGGATTCATAACTTGTTTGTTGTTGTTCATGGACATTATAATCATAATAGATTGAATCTTCTTCATTCCATAAATATTTATCAACATTGGTTTTTCTAATTTCCGCCCTATCAAGCCACATTTGACTATTATATAATGTACCATCAACTTCTAATTCATCATCAAAGAAATTGGATAATATGAATGCAATATCTTTTTCATATTTATATAATAATGAATTTAAATCAACCGTGGCTAAATAGGCACATTTTCCTTCTAATCGATATGAAGTGTCATGACCCGATTCTCTCACTGCACGGTCATGTAAGAAATATTCATCTAATTCCGGTTCTTTAATAATTCCATCATTATATTTTTCAATAAATGCATCACGAGACAACCCATATTTTTGAAGATAACTTTCCAAGACAGCATCGAAATGAGTAGCTTCAGTTTCTGGTGGAACACCTACACCAGCGGGATGATAGCATGATAATCCAGTACGTTCATCATATCTTGGTTTGGAACACCATACACTTTCATATTCGGTAATAGCAGCAATGGTTGCCCTTTTCAAGAAATCACTAGCATCAGGTAATTCTTCAGGAGCAATTTCAATGGTTTTATTAAAAATTCTCAAGGACATATCAGTTAAGAATGGTGGTTGGGATCTACCTAAATAATATGATCTATTGGCATTTAAGATTTTTCCATAATGATCAATTTCATAAATGAAATTCTCAGCCATCCCTCTTGCTAATTCCAAATGTTCTCTTCTACCTGGTGTAACATCAGTCAAAAGTCCCAATGTTTCCATATATGAATCCCATCCGTATAATTCATTAAATCTACCACCGGGGACAACATATGGCCAAAAGGATAAATTCGTAGGATCTTCAGGATCAGGTCTGGATGCAAGTGATAATAATCCTGGTTTCTTATTGATTGATTTTATATATTTACCATCGATAACTTTTGGTAAATATTGAACATCTAAATATACCCCTTTTGTATGTTGTTGAATTTTTTTGAAAAATTCATATTGATCAGGACGATTATATGGAACATAAATACGATGAGAATCTTCGTTGATATGAACAGTTCCATCTGGATCAACCCAACTTTCTTTGATCTTGGTATCTCTTGCCATTTCAACAATGTTTTCTTTGGTGACTCTTCTAGTTAATGCTTTCCAAAAACTAGTTGAAATGAATCGTTTCATTCTATTCAATGGATTTTCATTCAATCTTGCTTCATCAAGAACAATTTGACGTCTACCAAATCTACTAGCAATAGTTAATTCTTGTAATAAATTAGATAACATATAGGTTCCTCTAACAGAAGATTGATTATACCCATTTGAATTAACCGTACCTAATCTTAATACTTTTGGACCAGAATCTTCAATAGTGATTTGACAATTACCATCAGTATCTTCATTTTCTAATAATTCTTTTAAAGTAGCTTCAATATTGGGGATATAAAACCTTTTTGGTCTAATATGAGTATCATCAACTGAAGCTCTTCTATAATGGAACTTTTCTTTGGGTGCGGCGGCTAATGATGCAGACGATGGATTTTCTTGGTAGATGGGAATAATGGAGGGTCTTCTTTTGAGTTCTCCTCCATAGTGATCTATACCATCAGCAGGAGTGATATCACTGTGCAGGTGTTTTCTTTCTGGCATTGTCGACTCAATCGGACCTGGTGTTCTAAATACAGGTTCCTTATCTTCCTGTTCTTGTTTTTCTGGTGGGGGAGGGGTAGGTATTTCACGTGGAATAGTATCTTTTAATGAATGAGGAATGAAAGCATCTGGAGATGGGGATGGGGATGGGTTGGTTGGACTAACTACTTCTTCATCTTCTTCATCATCTGAATGCATAGCAAATACGATATTGGTACCATTTGGTCTATGCATATTTTGAGGGAATGTTGCAGTTGGGGGAGTAGGAGATTTGGAAGAACCGGAAGATGGAGGTTCTGAAAGTTCTTTAATGGTTGAAGTTGGATGTAATTCTTGTAACTGTCTCAAGAAATTTTGTCTTGTAGACTGAGATTCAATTACAGAAAATGTTCGAACTCTATTTAATGGAGAAGTTAATTTATTTGATTTTCTTTGCTTATCTCCGTAATAGTTTTCAGCAACATCATAAGGATCATCATCATCAGTAGAAGAGCTTGATACTCTTCTATGTCTAAATGGATTTGTTTGTAATGTTTGTAAATCCATTTTTGTTAGCTTTTTCTATAGAATTTGTAAATATAACAAGCAATAGTAAACTAAGAAAGAAGTAAAATTGAAAAATGAAAATAGGAAGAAAGAAAATTATTAACTTTTTATATTTTAATTAATCAGTTATTTTATTATTATCTATAAAAATAAAATGTATGACACAAAAATTTTAATTTTTAAATTTAGATTGTTCAGTTGGGAAAGGCGGGATTCATCAATAAAACCATTCATTGCAGTTTAATCAATTTTTCTTTAAACTGCCCTTATCATTACATATTAGACACATTGCATTGGAGTTACTTGACATAATTATATACTTAAGGATAACGTAATTTTGATGACAAATAAACCTTTAACTTTACAAGAGATGACTTCATTTCCTTTGAGACACAATTCCGTGGGAATAATACTTCTTTAGGCTCAGTTAAAAAAAAAAAAAATAGGTTGCATTGCAAAAATTATGTCATTAATTTCTCGAAGCAAAAAAAATAATTAACAATTTTGTATGGCGTTCTCTGTCTCTTCTCTGTCACTTCTTTGTTTATATTTTATATAAACAATGAGAGAAATGTCATTCTAAAGAACAATACGACAACATCCCATAGAAAAATGTTAAAAAATATTAACAAGCGGCAAACGAAATGCAAGAAAAAGAAAAGCGATTTGGAATCATCCAATTTCAAAACAGTGATGCGCAAAAATGATGTGGATCATAACAAAAGAAAAGAAAAGGAGAACCTCACCCAATAATTTTTCTTCATTTAATCATTTTATTTCACACGACATCTCTCTAATTAATCTCTAATACATAAGAGTTTACTAAGTAATCGATCCATGTGGCTAATTAAGAAAAATCTTTCAACCACACTTTTACCAAGAAAATTGACACTAAAGCCTAATTTTTCCCCAGTAAACTTGAAATTGCAAAAACGCTTAAAATTGACGAACTTCCGTCAACACTTGTATCTCAACTAAGTTTCTTCAACAACCAATAAGAAACTCTGAAATCTATCTGTCTTTACAGCTGGTTGGAAAGTCTCGTATTCTATTTTTATAATTGGAAGGTTATGCTTAACTCCTGTATAGCAATCAAATGTAGGCTGATGTAATTCTGCGACTCACAAACTCTCATTCAGCCTACCTTGCCCTGCTTAATAAAAATATCACCTCCAAAAATAATCAAAATCGATTCAGATCTAAACTTCCCATATTGTACACTTTCCCCTAATTGCACTTAGGTCCCCACACATTTGCACTTATTCGTTGACTTTATTGTTTCGTTTAGTCGTTTTTTTTTTGTCGGGCGGGAACAACTATTTGAAATTTCTCGCTTAATTCTAATTTTTCCGAGAATTATTTCATCCGCAGAAGGAGTTAAGATACGCAGTATACCAGCCCGATAGGTTTATTTGAGTAGTACAAAGATGAATTTACAGCTATAATGGTTGTCAACACATTTCTTCAATTACTTTCAATGCTAAAAGTGTTTGAATAATTTTAAATGTGGCGATTATTTTTTATGGAGTTTGATTAATTTATTTTTAGTAAGAGGCGGTTTTTTGCGGAGAAAACATAATTTTGCAGCCATTATTTCAAAACTGACTAAAAAAAATTGACATTGTTTAAAATACAAACCAGCTATTTTCAACTCTACAAGTATGCTAGATTCTCCTATTTCTGTGAACATAGTTTGATTTCGCCACCAATATCGGAATATAAACCATTAAGAGTCTTGTTCTATAATAATAAAAACCCAGCTTCCCTTTCATCAAGTTACCGTTTTAAGAAGTCCCCCCAGATAGCCACGAGGGATTCGTGAAGGCTTTTTGCCACGAGCCCCAGTCAGAATAGTCTCCTCTTTTTTTTCTAAACCCACAGTTATATTTAAATTCCAGTTGTAATAGATATTGTTCAAAAAAGATAGCGAGCTATTTCCAAGTCTGTAAGATTAAGTTGTAGTTGCTGAAATTGTTATTGTTTTTAATTAGTTTTATTATTTTTTTAAGTTCTATATTCTATATTAATTATTTGATAATTAATCTATGCAAGTGAACTAATTATTTATTATCCTAATATCCATAGAAGCTTGTTGTCCATGACTGGACAATGCAATCAGTTTAATGCATTCAGGTAGTTGAAAGTGGCAAGCGTCTAAATATTAAAATCCAGTTGATATCACTCTATGTAAATTCGACACTTCAAGTATAAGTCTCTTGAGTCGTGTGTTTTTTTTCCAACAATAGTGTATTAACTATTTAACATACTAATTACTCATAAGATATACTAAAAATTATACAAAAGTTAATGGAGAATAATAACTCTATTCATTTAATTTCATAAGTGTATAAATTATAAAGAGCTATTAGATACCAGCTAGTGTATATTTGGGGTTTCACACCTATGTAGCGATAAACTAAAGTAATATAATCTATAGAGACATTTGTCTAAAATGAGGATAAAGAAATGCCTAATTCTAAAAGAAAGTGATATAAAAAGAAGTGGGAAAGTTAACCATATTTATACTCTCGGGAAATCCATCGAGGCGTTGAGGGATTTAACGGCAATACGGAAATACGGAAACAAACGGTAAACATAAATAGTAAATAACACAAAACCAGAAGAAACATTACTGGCAACGAAGCTAGAACAAGATATAATAGCTAGTTATATCTTGACATAGCTACTTGGCCGTAACAATAAGTTTCTGGTTTTATACCATTTTTAATTTTTGTTCGATTCGTGGGTTTTTTGTTTTTTTTCCAATATACAAGGATTGTAACGGATAGGTCACGTGCTCTTGCGATGCCCTATTTCCGTTCGTGCAAACTTTTCCAACGTATTTTTACGATACGTATTTTATATTAGAATACTTTTTATATTATATATTCTCCCAGGGTGAATCAGAGGTAATATAACGTGTATTCTACGTTATATTACTTCTGATTCACCCTTTTTATTACAAGGATAGGTCCAAGGTGTTTAGGTTAGATGTAACATTACATAATAAATTCATCCATTCCATAGCAACGAAAATCTAAATTCGGCTAAATTTTCTAAAAGAAGGAGATCCAAGGTTTCAATCAGAGACAGTGAATGTACACACACAAAGTATCCAACGATTTGAGGAGTGTGGTATCTTCTATACTATGCATGATGCAACTAACGAATCTGGAAATTTGACACCAGATCAATCTTCTGACATTTTGGACTCCCCTCGTTCCATTCTCCGGTATTCATGGTTTATAATTGATAAAACCCTTAATGGTGGAAATATTAATTGATCATGAAAGGTCTGAGCTTGATAAGTCGAAAATCGAAATTATCTTAACCTAGTTGAAGGTCCCTCCATAAAGTCATAATCTCCGTCGTCACTGGGAATAAGCAATTTCTCAAGATTTCCTAAGCTTAGAGGAAGTCAGTATTGTACGAAAACATACCTGTTCTATGACACAAGGTTCTTAGCAGAACCAGCAACTCTTTTAAATTTGGGTACAGCTCTATGCTGACCACACTATTAATGTGTTCCTGTAATGGACAATGATATCCGGATAATGGCAACTTTTCTATTCTAAGCGGAAACGTGCACCGCCCAATCTATGGAAGTCGGCATGTACTAGAAATTCTCGTAAGTTCTCTATATAGGAAATATCCAATACATTTGATCCATTTACAAAAAATACGTGCAGTCTTAATTATAGACTAGGTAAACAGCTTTCCTCAACAATCAATAAGTGCAACGTTTTCAAATTAGCAAATAATCCAATAATCCCACCAGATGGACCATTCCTAATTATCGAATCTATTTACCGCAACTCTGATTACCCCACCATGGAAAAGATATAGCAGCAAGGAATGAAATGGAACTGTAGAAATCTTTTGCTCGTAGTTCCCAGACTCTCAATGGCTTGGAGAAGGAGTTACCTAGCCACATTTGGTTTCCTGTTAGGAGAGGTATTTATGCATAGTTGTTGTTTTTGTGCAAACGACATTTTTATTTTGCAGCCACAAAGTATGTCATAACGTTCACCAGATTCATTTATTATTTTTATGCAACTTGCGGATTTAAGATATGCAGTCTATGTGGAGTTTGTGGATAAGTTGTTGTAGCGGAAACGACATTTTTTGCAGCCATAAGTTATTTCACCAGATTCATTTATTATTTCTATGCATCTTGCGGATTTAAGGTATGCAAAGTTTAAGCTTGCATGGGGCTAATGAATATTGGTTTTTGTGATTTGGAATGAGAAATTGGGAAATTTGTTATATTTTGGTGGAGGGGATTCATAGTTCAGTGGGTGGTATTGATAATGAAAATTGCCCAAATCACTTCTTTCGCTGGATATATCATCTAACGTATAGTTGATATCTTCCCAGGCCAAAATTGATAGATTTCGACTGGTGAGCCAGATTGGCAGATAATAATTGTGTCGTATTGTGGTCGTTACTTTTAAGGGATCTCAACTTGATATTCGACGTGGCTGCTATTAAAAAGTGCAACGAGTAATGAACAGAACAAATAATTCTTTGAAGTTCTACAGCAAGCTCAAAACCGACTCGCACGGAGCGAGGTTTTGGAGGAGCTGAAACCACTGTTATCCCACGAAACAGTCTGTACTGGCTAGGAAGGAGCTAGACCCAGGCACAACAAATCGCCGGTATGAGCTAGGAAGGACCTAGACCTAAGGCACAATAAACCGCCGATACGGGCTAGGGAAACCTAGGCCCCAGGAACTCCAATACCAATAGCCGACAAGTGCGTTGCTACAATATAGCGTTAGCGGGGTTTCTTTATAGCTTATATATGAGTGGGTTTTGGTCAATATAATTTTTTTAACCATTTCTTGTAAAAAAAAAAACAGTCACAACAATACCACCAACTTGCTCCGTACCAAAACCTTTGATAGAGATCCTCAGTTTAATATTCTATTATTAATAGCCTTCTCGATTCTTTGTTTTCCTCAATAACTAACATTGTAATAGGTTGTTTAGTCAGGTTGTGTTTCTTAGATGTGGGAAATAATAAACCATTATCAATAAACTTTGATTGATCATCAGAATCCAATCATACAAAATATCGCATCTCATTGAAATTGCCGATGGTGGCAAGATCTAATTTATATATGACTAGGTCGTTCTCACTGTCGCTGTCATTATGTTTTGAATCCCCTTGTGTAGTCTTTTTATTTGGGTATGGTTTATTATCTGTTCCAATATACATTCCGTTAACAAACTTAAGTTTACTCTCTTTAACAAGTTTTGCTTTAATGGTGCAGTTTGCAGATTTGTGATTGCGTCTACCACACACATTGCAAAGTTCTTTACCACCGGATTTTCCTGCACCCTCAGTCTTTCCCCCTTTTTTGGTAGTTGACTTATTCTTTTCAGTTTCGAACAGATCCTCTGATTTAGGGAATGGAAATACACTCTTTTTGTCAAAGTTAAAGTCCAGAATACCTTCAATAGTTGCAGCCGTATATGCTTTCCAAGCGGCTGGGTAATCAACACCACGAAGATCTTTAGCTAATGACTGAATAGATACTTCAGGGCCGGCAATTCGAATATGATTCAGTTTCTTGAAATTTGTGTTCTTCTTCAACTTGTCTTCGTATAATTGATCCATAACATCGGGGATACGGAAGCCCAACTCTTTGAAGATAACAATCCAGTCATGGATAGCATTTGCCGTTAATACCTCAGTTTCCCTAGCACTAGTGACTAAGATTATAAAAGAATTCTACATTTTTCGAGGGAACTATATAAATGTTCTTCGAACAATAAAGAGGGGAAGATCAACAAATAATCAACGGTTTTTTAGTAGATGAAAAGAAGGTAAAATTTGGACAACCTAGAAGACGGATTAAAAGCCAGGTGTTAAGAACCTGAAGTTGGGAAACAAAGGGTTGTTGTCGTGAGAACATTCGTAAGATGGGCCACTACGGTGGATCAGAAAATCAGATTAATTGAAACTAATACGAGATGGAAAAACAATGCTGATCCGAACTCCAAAAAACCAGATTAGGGAGGGGCAAAATCAAAATCCGTCATCTTTACTTCATTGCATTTTTGACAGCAGATCAAGATCGTTTGATCCAACTCAACAAATGCTGAAATAACATCGGCATGGAGAAGCGACCGTTATTTAACACATAATTCGTTGTTTTGAAAAAAGCTTATGAATATCCGGATGTTTCTTAAAGCAGATAATTGCCAGATCCCTTACCCCGGGTTTATGTTTCCGATTTATTCCTGACAAAATGTCAACCTCGGTGATAAGTTCCGTAACCCGTTAAAAGTCATGGCATTCGTAGCCAAAAATGGACATCAGTCAGGGACAATTGTCATAACTGTTGCTCGATGATGGGTGATGGGTTGTCGAGTCCCCTGATTCTTATTTGGTTGTGTTGAAGATTATCCTGTCACTATAAAAAAAGACTCATCCCGGATTTTGGCTCGGGAGATTAATATTCCCGGTGAAATGCGGGAATCAGCTTCTTGAGTTTATTTTTTTTGTTCTTTGCTGTTCCAATTGTTCCCTCGGAGTTTTTATTTGTTTTGTTCGTTAATCACGTGAAATCAAGGATCAGGGCCCCTAATTGGTACAGTTACAAATTTAAATTTATTTTATGGGGTTAAAAAAAGTGGGAGTTTTTCCCAAATTTTCCAGATTTTTCGAAAAACTATAAATGTACTTTAATTTCCACTTTCACCCTTAATTTCTTCAATTTTTGCGTTTTTCTTCTTCTTCTTTTCTTGTTTCTTCAATTCAATTCAATTGAACTTTTTCATATAAATAACAAATATCTAAATAAATTTCACAATGGTTAAAGTAGCTGTCTTAGGTGCCGCCGGTGGTATTGGTCAACCATTATCCCTTTTATTAAAACTTAATCCTCAAGTTTCTGAATTGTCCCTTTTTGATGTTGTCAATGTTCCAGGGGTTGGTGCTGATTTATCTCACATCAATTCTGATTCTACCACCAAATCTTACTTACCTGTTGACAAGGAAGACAAGACCGCTTTAGCTAATGCTTTATCTGGTTCTGATATTGTCATTATCCCAGCTGGTGTTCCAAGAAAACCGGGTATGACTAGAGATGATTTATTCAACATCAATGCTTCTATTGTCAAGGGTTTAGCTGAAGGTATTGCTGCCAACTGTCCAAAGGCTTTTGTTTTGATCATTTCTAACCCAGTTAACTCTACTGTTCCAATTGTTGCTGAAACCTTGAAACAAAAGGGTGTTTATGACCCAGCTAAAGTCTTTGGTGTTACCACTTTAGATATTGTTAGAGCTAACACTTTTATTGCTCAATTATACCCAGGTGAAACCAAACCAACTGATTTCAATGTTAGAGTCATTGGTGGTCATTCTGGTGAAACCATTGTTCCATTATATTCTTTAGGTGAAACTAAATCTTATTATGGAAAATTATCTGCTGAACAGCAAGCTGAATTAATCAAGAGAGTTCAATTCGGTGGTGATGAAGTTGTTCAAGCTAAGAATGGTGCTGGTTCCGCCACCTTATCTATGGCTTATGCTGGTTACAGATTAGCTGAATCTATCTTAAAGGCTGTCAGTGGTGCTGAAGATATTGTTGAATGTACTTTCTTAAACTTAGTTGATGAAATCAAGGGTGCCAAGGAAGCTAAGGCTTTAGTCAATGGTTTAGATTTCTTCTCTTTACCAGTTAAGTTGAGTAAGAATGGTATTGCCGAAGTTCAATATGATATCTTAAACCAAATTTCCGAATCTGAAAAGAAATTATTGGGTGTTTGTATTGATCAATTACAAAAGAACATTGAAAAGGGTGTCACTTTTGCTTCTAAGTAAATAGATGATTGACACTTAAAGCTTTATTTATTTATGGTTTTGTTTTTAGTTCTTAATGAGTTTATATAAGTAGATTTATTCCTTTATGAAAAATAAAAATTGATTTGTTAGTTTTGATATTTGCAGTAAATGAATATAGATACGAATTAGCGAATGTGCTTGTTGTTGGTTTTTGCAGCCATGATTTAAACTTTAAATTCTCGTTCTTCGCCACAAGTTGCCATTTCCTTAATACTATTAAATTTCTCAATAAATTCATAAAAGATACTAGTCATGTCTTCATTGGCTTGATTAGTATGAGTGTCATAGAATTCTGTGAATATAGGTAAATTAAGCATTAGAAATGTTAATTTATCCTTATCGATATCAAAAGCGAGTGAAAGATTCATTTGATTGATTTCTTTTACCAATTGATCAAATCTTGTGATTTGAGAATCAATTGATTTCAGAGAAGAAGGTGATATTATTATATCCTTATGGCTTTGAAGAAATCTATTAAATAGTGTTAGTAATTCTGTAGACGATCAAATAAGGGAAGTAGAAACATACTTTAATTGAAGGTAGTTGTAAATCTGGATATCAGGAGTGGAATCAAGGACGATTATAGACAAATTTGACGATATTGTATTTGTAAGGAAATCAGTGAATTCCAGGTCAAGATGTTGATCTGGTGTCAATTTAATGAAGTAGCTAGATAGCCAATCATGGTTGGAGTTAGCTAAGAGCTCAATCATAATATTCTTGGTTCTCTCACTTGTTGCAAAAATATGAGCCATGATAATCCTGTTTTGATTGACCTTTTTTTTTGCAACCCAATTGCCCCTACTTAACTTGCAACTGTATTAATAATGGATCAAAGAAAAGTAGGTCGTTTTGGAGCCCTAGGTCGAATTGTATCACTATACCGAATTCAAGACTGTGTGCACTGTAAACTTAGAGAGTTTGCGTGGTTGCAAAAGTTCTTCCAAAATTGTTGCTGATTTTCGCAAGAATCTAAATACAATTCTGATTTCTTAAGTAAGAGTAAATGTTTAGTGAAGAAGAGTTGTATCAGCTTATTCTGTGATCTCTCATGAAGTTGTCAAAAGATCAACATATTGATAACACATCCTGGAATAGGAACAGATTGATCTTGTCTGATAAATATTGCCGAATTAAGCGACAGTTATTTTTTACTCGTTGTGTATTTTATCTGTTGCCAGGGGTTGTCATTTTTTCTTGTCTTTGTCTTTTTTTTTTTTGCGCCGCGTTGTTTCGTTGCAATTGCACCAAAGAATTCTACAGTGGCAGTATTTTAGGGAGACTGAAAAATCAAGCAGCATTCCATTGAACAAACAGAACGTACACGTTTAAATAATTGTACGATAAATATAAAAAGAATTTGCTTCAAATAGAATTAATTGAAACACATACCGTAGAAAAATTCAGAAATTATAATCAGTTTATAAGTTTTGTCATTTAAAACCCTAACGTCAATTAGAGATTCATCGTTCCATCCCCTTCCATAAAGTGAATCTTTTTTTTTTTCCCTCCTTTCCCGTTGTAAACCATCAAAAGAAGAAAATTTTGTCAAACCAACTAAAAAAGGAGAAAAACAACAACACGCCCAAGAAGAAGAATCAATTCAATTCAATTCATCTCCTTTATTCAACTTTATTTTCCATTCGACAAACATCCAATTGAACAACTAAAGAACTTTTTTCTTTACTTTGCAAAACAACTTTTAATAAAACAACCAAAAACAACAAGCAAATCCATTGATAAAGTAGCAACATTTCTTTACAACCTAAATAAACTACAATGGAAGCAATCTTAGACTTCTCCAAAGAATTAGATATCAATTTGTTTGATAAAGTTGTTGATGCCCTTTATAAAGGGTCAGGAGCTGAACAACAACAAGCTCAAGTAGTATTGAATCAATTTCAAGAAAATCCTGATTCATGGAAACTTTCTGATGCAATTTTAAGTAATTCTCAAAATTCTCAATCAAAATATATTGCATTATCATGTTTAAATAAATTGATTCAATACCGTTGGAAAACTGTTCCTGAACAAGAAAGAATTGGTATTAGAAACTTCATTGTTAATATGATTATTAGTCTTTGTGATAATGAAGAAATCTTTGAAACTCAAAGAGCATTAATTAATAAAATTGATTTAACTTTAGTTTCTGTTTTAAAACAAGAATGGCCTCATAATTGGCCAAATTTTATTCCTGAAATTGTCATGAGTTCAAGATCTTCATTTAATGTATGTGAAAATAATATGATTATTCTTAAATTATTAAGTGAAGAGATTTTTGATTATTCTGAAGAACAATTAACTCAAGCAAAAGCTCAACAATTGAAAAATAGTATGAAGAGTGAATTTGAAGAAATCTTTAAGTTATGTTATGAAGTTTTGGACAAAACTACCAAACCTTCTTTAATTATAGCTACTTTAAATGCATTATTAAAATATATTCAATGGATTCCAACAAAATATATTTATGAAACTAATTTATTAGAATTATTATCCACGAAATTTTTAGCTCCAGCAGATACAAGAGCAATTGCTTTGAAATGTTTAACTGAGGTTTCAGCTGTTCCACCTCATATTGAAAATGAACAGAAAACTTTATTATTCTTTAAGAATACTATGGAGCAAATTTATACAATTATCCCAGTTTCAACTAATTTAAAAGAATCTTATAAAGTTGCGTCTTCATCTGATCAATCTTTCTTACAAGATTTGGCGATGTTTTTATGTACATTTTTGGCTAACCATTTAATATATTTGGAAAAGGAAGAAAATGCTCGTGATTTATTATTAAATGCTTTATATTATTTGTTAGAATTATCAAGAATTGAAGAACGTGAATTATTCAAAACTTGTTTAGATTTCTGGACAAGTTTTGTTTGTCAATTATTCAATGAAATTAGAGAATTACCTAAATCTCAATTATCTCCAATGTTACAAATGGCTTATAGTCAATTAGTTTCATCTTCAAGTGGTGCCCCAGATCCAGAAGTCTTAAGAACTATCCCATTAAGACAACATAAATATGCCGAAGTGTTATCTAAATTAAGATTGGTAATTATTGAAAATATGGCAAGACCAGAAGAAGTTTTAATTGTTGAAAATGATGAAGGTGAAATTGTTCGTGAATTTGTTAAAGAAAGTGATACTATTCAATTATATAAAAATATGAGAGAATTATTGGTTTATCTTACTCATTTAGATGTTCAAGATACTGAAAAAATCATGACTGAAAAATTATCAAGACAAATTGATGAAAGTGAATGGTCATGGCAAAATATAAACACTTTATGTTGGGCAATTGGATCTATCTCAGGAGCTATGAATGAAGATATGGAAAAAAGATTCTTGGTATCAGTTATTAAAGATTTATTATCTTTAACTGAAATGAAACGTGGTAAAGATAACAAAGCCGTTGTCGCTTCAAATATTATGTATATTGTTGGACAATATCCCAGATTTTTAAAAGCTCATTGGAAATTCTTAAAAACTGTTATTAATAAATTATTTGAATTTATGCATGAAACTCATGAGGGTGTTCAAGATATGGCTTGTGATACATTTATAAAGATTACTCAGAAATGTAAAAGACATTTCGTAGTTCCTCAATTGAATGAAGCTCCATTTATTTATGAAATTATTGATAATATCCAATCCATAACTGAAGATTTACATCCTCAACAAGTTCATACTTTTTATGAAGCTTGTGGTATTATTGTCAGTGCTCAAAATAATAAAGAAGCTAGAGATAAATTATTAGCAGAATTAATGGCATTACCAAATATTGCTTGGAATGCAATTATTCAACAAGCTCGTCAAGATCCACAATTGTTAACTAATACTGATACGGTGAAAATCATTGCTAATATTATAAAAACCAATGTTGCTGTTTGTAAAGCTTTGGGACCAGGTTTCTATTCTCAATTGGGTAGTTTATATCTTGATATGTTGTCATTATATACTGCAGTCTCATCGATGATTTCTGATGCAGTTGCTAAAGATGGTATTATTGCTACCAAGACACCAAAAGTCAGAGGATTAAGAACTATCAAGAAGGAAATCTTGAAGATGATTGAAACATATATTAATCAAGCTGATAATTCGGAAGAAATCGTGAGAGATTTAGCTCAACCTTTATTTGGAGCCGTTTTAGAAGATTATAGTTCCAATGTCCCTGATGCAAGAGATGCAGAAGTATTAACATGTTTAACTGCTTTAGTTTCCAAAGTAGGGAGATTAATTCCTGATGGGGTTGTTCTAATTTTACAAAATGTATTTGAATGTACTTTAGACATGATTAAGAATGATTTTGTTGAATATCCAGAACATAGAGTTGAATTTTATAAATTATTAAATGAAATCAATGCACAATCGTTCCAAGGATTATTACAATTATCGGGAGATGCATTCCAATCATTAATTAATGCCGCTATTTGGGCATTCAAACATAATAATAGAGATGTTGAAGATAATGGATTATCATTAACTTTAGAATTGATTGCTAATGTTGAGAAATTAGGTGATACTCCATTTACAAAAGCCTTTTATGATAATTTCTATTTCCAAATTTTGGCAGATACATTCTATGTATTAACTCAACCGGATCATAAAGCGGGATTTATGCTTCAAGCTCAATTATTAGCTATTTTGATTCATTTGGTTCAAGATGGAGTTATCAAAGGTCCATTATATACACCTGATCAAGCACCTGCGGGCACTTCCAATTCTGATTATTTGAAACAATATTTATCACAATTATTATCATCAGCTTTTGAAAATTTACAAAAAGAACAATTAGTTAATTTCCTTAATGTTTTGACTACTTGTTATAATGATTTATATAAATTCAAGGGAACTCTTAGAGATTTCTTGGTTCAATTGAAAGAATTTGGTGGTGATCCAACTGATTATTTGTTTGCTGATGAAAAGGAAATGGAAAGAGAAGAAAAGAGTAGATTACAACGACAACATGATTTGCTTGTTGGTGGATTGATTAGACCTTCCGAGATGGAAGAAGACGATTAGAGAATGTTTAGCTATCATTGTTATATTTGCACATCAATTACAACATCATCATAAATTGTTTTTATAGTAAAGATTTCAAATAATTTTGTTACAGTTTTTTTTATTTATATAAAGTTACAACTTAATAAAATATTTATAAGAAGAGATGTAGGTTCTTATCTTTCATGTATCTGTCTATAATTAAATGCGGAAGTGTCTCTCCATGTTTGTTGGCCATTATCTAGTCATCTTTCTTGTTTATTCTCCCACATTCATCCATCTTATAAATTCTAAACATATAAGCCAAACGAGTAACTACCAAATCAATTGCCATAGCAATCGAATCTCTAGCTAAATCAACTTTAGATCCATCCATTTCTTGCCAATTGACTGGTATTTCTTTTAATTTCATACCTTGAATCTCTGCCAATATCAACACTTCAATATCAAATATCCATCTTTCATTATGCAAATGAGGGAAAATCCTCTTGGTAGCTTCAAAATTAAACATTTTGAATCCACATTGAGTATCTTTAACATCTTGAACCCCAAATACAAATACTAATGTTTTTAATCCATACATTAAAACTTGACGGATAAATGAACGTTTCACAACAGTTTCAGTATTGATCATATGATGACGTGATCCAATTGAGATAGCTGGAATACTGCCATCTTTAATTGTTTCTTGAAATTCAATTAATTTACTAATATCGGAAAATCTCGATGCACCATCAGCATCAGCAAATAATCCCCATTTCCCACGACTATGCAAAAATCCATGGGCTACAGCACCTCCTTTTCCTCTATTCTTGGCCAATTGAATGACACGTAATGTATGTGGAGTTAATTTTAACTCATGAGCTTTATTGATTGCATATTCTGAAGTCCCATCACTAGATCCATCATCTACAATTAAGATTTCATATTTGTTTTTATGATTAGTTTCGAGATATTCTACTGCTTCTTCTAACATTCCTCCTAATCGTTTAGTTTCGTTCCAACAAGGAACTACGAGACTTATATCTATATCATGATATTTGAATGTACTGTTTGAAGTTATTCTTGGTGGTAAGATGTATAATTTGTTGTCCTTATCGTTGGTTCTATATTTTAATTCCAGAGACACTGATAATCTGGGCCTATGACTAAGAAATATAATAATACAATAAACAAGTGCAATTATGACAATTGCACCTGCTAGTACCCGTAGCAACACCGGCAATGACATCATGGGGGACCTGAAGTTTGTTGGGTGTCGTGGATATGAATTAAGTATGTCCCTTGTTATGGAACAAATGTTGTGGACCGAAAATGTATAGTGCGTCGGGCCAAAAAAATCGTTGAGATCTTGCGACCGTGTCCCCCTGATTCCTGATGGTACCCTGAACAAATAAACTCAAAATTAATTAAGCCACTGGGTGAGTGACGAGTTGAATTAACAAGAATTATTCATTGTCTGTTGTTCGTTTCGTTAAAGTAACTGCCACTAACTATCTAAGACATTTCCAATAGTAAGGAATTGGCAGCTTTATATTTATTACTAGAACTTCAATTACAGATCTAACAGGGGATTTGTAATTGTACTTCTGATGATACAAATTAGAGCATGTTGATTACCCGGACAAATAATATTTTTTTCGATTCAGAAATTATAAATTCAGTAGAAATCGGCCAGGGAAAAAAATCTTTTTATGAATGTTTTTCTTTCTCCATCGCCAGAAGATCAATTTCATTTAAAATCGTACATGGTTCTTGCCTTTTCCCAGAACCATCCGGGAATTGTCTTCATTTAATGGTGTATCAACTTAGTTTTTGGAAACACTTACTAAAAGATTTATGACAATTTTTGTCAATTTTATCTTTTAAAACTTTCATTTTCACTTTTTTCAAAGGGTTTTGAATTTCGAGGACGAAATCAATCAATTGAAGGAATTAAAATGAAAAGTTATCTCTTACGTTTATATAGTATTAGTTTTATTAAAAATATATACAAAAGTTATTTACATGATTACTTATTGTTTGGCAAGTACATTGAGGGATTGTCCATAAAGTTTAACAGCATCTCTAATTTTAACAATGGATTTGTTTGGACCAGGAATATTACCCTTAAGAATAAGAACACCAGCATCTCCATCAACATGCAAAACTTCTTTATTAAAAGCAGTGTTATTTCTACCACCCATTCTACCTGCCATTTTTTTACCTGGTAAAACTCTACCTGGGTTTTGATTACCACCCATACCACCAGCAGATCTATGTGCTTTAGAAACACCATGGGTTGCTTTTAAACCTTTAAAACCATGTCTCTTCATAACACCGGCAAACCCTTTACCTTTGGTAATACCGGCAACATCAACCATTTGTCCAACAGCAAAATAATCAGCTCTTAATTCAGTTCCAACTGGAATGAAACCAGCTTCATTAGTACCTCTAATTCTAAATTCTCCATGTTTTTGTTTAGGACAAACACCAGCTTCAGTGAATTTCTTAAGGTCAGCATTTCTGACATTCTTTAACTTATCAATAGCTCCAATGATAACTGAATCATATCCTGTTTCTTCTTTCTTTTTATGGCCCACAACTTCACAAGAATCTATTTCAACAACTGTAGCCGCATGATTCAATCCATCTTCAGTAAACCAAGTGATCATACCACGTTTGATACCGAATAGACCTGGTCTTTCTAGTAACATTTTTCTCTTGTTACCTTCTTCAACTGTATGTTGTTTTACTGATGGTTCGGTTTTGATGGAGGTTATGGCATGTATGGAAGTGATCTGAGCAACGGAACGAGTGAATGTCACTAGGGAGTTTCTTCCCAAGTTATTTATCACTCTGCTATTAATTGGGGCAAACATCCTTGGTGACTAGTCTGGAAGTAAGATTATAACACAGGAAGTTTGATTCTCTTCAATTCATATTGGAGGAAAAATTCTTCACTGAAAAAAAAAACTAGCATAAAATTTTACAGGTTATTTTTATAGTTTTACAGTTTAGAATATATAGAGAGATTGGCTACAAGAATGCCATGATTCAAGCTTTCTTTCATCTGGCAAGCATGTTGGGATGGATTCTATTGCTTGGGTTTACTTATTTACGTCAATTAATATGCATTTTATTATTATATACATGAAATGTTTGAAAACATCCTTGGTTATAAAACAAAGAAGAAATTGCCTTGGGAAATAAATATACAACCATCGACCCAATCGACTCACAATCTTCAATAACCACAGCGATTACTTGACCTTCTTTTCCTTCAACTTGATAGTTTCATCATCAACGAATATACCCTTACCTTTATATGGTTCTGGTTTTCTATGTGCTCTAATTGAAGCTGCAAATAATTTAACTTGTTGTTTATCAGCACCTTCAATAATCAATCTAGTTGGATTTGGAGAAGTAACAGTCAATCCTTCTGGGATTTTAAGCTTTGGAGTATATGGTCTACCTACTTTTAATGAAACTATATCTTCACCCTTTTCATTCTTTTCAAGTAATCCTCTATACCCAGTTCCAACAAATTTAACAATAGTTAAATGACCTTGAGTAGCTCCATCCACATTGTTTTGTATAATAGAACGCATGGTTCCCCAAAGTGCTCTTTGTACTTTATGTGTTGGATCATTGACACTAATTTCAAGTAAATCATCTTTAGTTTCAAACTTCATAAATGGTGGAACTAAGGTTTTTAAAACCCCCTTGGGACCTTTGACAATAACACGTCTATCCATTATGAAAGTATCTTGACCTCTGGTGAATTTTTTACAGAATTCATATGGAAGTTTATGTACATCAAATTCAACACCTTCGACTAATTGAATTGGTTTCTTACCAATTTTGGAAAAAGTTGGTCTTGTGGTTGAGAAGAAACGCACAAGTCCTATGCTAGGTATCCTGGGATTCATTGTTATTCTTTCAATGTAATGATTCAACAGCGACGTAAAGCTTTATTGGATGAAGTTTTGAGGTTTGGGTTTAAAATTGTTTGATGAAAAATTTTATTCTCCCGAAATTCAAATTCTCACGTGATTGATCATGTGACTAGAATGATTTCCGACCTCCCATCTCCCATCTCACAAATAATTTTTTTAAACCTCATCGACTTAGTATAAGAGTGTGTCATCTTCTTATCATAAGATATTAGACAAACAGATAAACTCATACATACGTCAAGATGGTCAGAGCATTGAAATATCATGAAAAGAAGTTATTAAAAAAGGTTGATTTCCTTGATTGGAAACAAGATCAAGGACATCGAGATACTCAAGTAATGAGAACCTATCATATTCAAAATCGAGAAGATTATCATAAATATAATAGAATATGTGGTGAAATACGTAAACTAGCCCATAAATTATCATTATTACAACCAACTGATCCATTCAGAATAAAGCATGAACAATTACTTTTAGAGAAATTGTATAATATGGGAATATTGGCTACAAAGGCCAAAATATCGGATTTGGAAAATAAAGTTACCGTGAGTGCATTTTGTAGAAGAAGGATTGGGGTGGTTATGTGTCGTCTTAAGATGGCTGAAACTATGTCTGATGCCGTTACGTTTGTTGAACAAGGACATGTTAGGGTTGGTCCTAATGTGATTACTGATCCTGCATATTTGGTGACGAGAAATTTGGAGGATTATTTGACTTGGGTTGATACTTCGAAGATTAAGAGAAATGTTCTTAAGTATAAGAATAAGATTGATGACTTTGATTTAGCATAGAATTGAAAGGGATCTCTGTTCATAGAATGTATAGTATAATGTAATATAGTTTGCAAATAACTGAAAAGTGAGTGATTGTAGACGTAAACGACACGGCTGTCTCTGAGGATAGAAAAAAAAGGTTGGATGAACATTTAAGCTTCTCGTTGTGTTCCCAGAATGACGTGTTAGATATGAAGTCTCTTTCATGGGGTTTCAGGTGAAAGATGTGATTGTGTAGACCTTTTGTTTTGTTGCTGAAATTTCGAGTGCGCTCACAAATTCTGGCAAAAATTTTACAAAATTATGAAAGGTATAAACCGAGGCTTTTACTCCATTGTATCGACTGTAAGAGATGACAATCCGCTTGGAATGTTAACAATTAGAACAAGGCAACAATTGAACAATATAACTTCAGCTTTTCGCGATTGAATGACGTAATATATTGAATAGGCTGAACCCTTTTTCTGAATAGTGATTATGACGCGAGATATCACTTTGAGCTGTGTTGTACTGCTCTCCATGTTTTCACATCAACCAAGCGATGGCATCGATGCTATGGTTATTTCTTGACTGCATAATGAATTCGTTTAAGAAAAGTATAGTTTGCCTGATTAGGTCAAGTAAGATTCATGTGCGTTTGTGTAGAGTGAAAATTTAACAAACCGCAAAACTGCAAAACCCAAAAAAAAAATCATAAGCGATGCAAATCGTAAATAGCTTCAAAATAAATTATTATTTTATCTGGCGACATTTTTATAGAAGAACAAGATATGATTCGTTGACAATTGTCCAGTTAAAATTTACAAAATTCTGAGGTCTAAAATGGTCAGTTTGGAAAAGTGGACTGGTTTTAATGGAGTTTTCAGATGTGTGCAATAACAAGAGTGATACCGAAAGTGAATTAGACAACAGTGTATATGAAGAGGGGAATCAATTGACTATGGTCCTTCGAAATTTGGAAAAAGGTGTCCTGAAGTGTAGATCCATTGAAGTTTGAAACCTATTTGCGGATATTAAATAGGTTCAATTGAGTATGGTCAGCATTAAGAAACAATTTTCTGAACGCTCTAGAACACATTAAGCTATAGATCCAAAGACCCCTAATGATTCTTTCTATCATTTGGAATAAATCTGCATCAATTGAGTGTTGTCACTGAGCAAATTCGTTTCTTATAAGTTTTGCAACCAATATGTCACTGTGGCGGTGACTATGACAGATGAAGACAGAGTTCGTATCTACCGACATTTTTCAGTTAATAAATGAAAAAACACGAAAATTAAAAAAACCTGAACAACAACAAAAGCACAAAATAATAATAAGTTTTATTTTTTTTGGATTGTTTATTGTGTCTACAATTGATGGCTAAAATAAAAAGAAGTTACAAAAGTGGATCTTGACTTCCAATTGAACAAAGGTACTTTTGCATTAGATTTTAGTTTAAATGTATGAAGTTAGTATTTAAGCGCCATAATATAGATCCAATAAAAATGTGTTGTTTTGTAAGTCACAAACTGGAGAAAGAGAGAGACAAGCGCAACTCTTACATAAAATTCAAAAAGACCGTATTTATTAGTTTATTAATTGAGTCTTTACCTTTGATAATTCATAGACAAGCCAGAATAAGAAAGAAAGTAGAGAGTAATCATAATTGTAAGAAATAAAATAAAATAAAAAAAACAGACGAAAATTTTTAGGGTGTTATTATTATTTTTAAACTGCATTAAAAATAAATTTTATTTTAATATCTTTATTTTCATTTTTCAATCAACCAAAAAAGCTATTCAATTCTTTCCCTAAAATGCATGTATGGAACAGTTTCCCTATTTTTATTGTTGTTGATAATAGACTAGAAGATCGCTCTTTTTGATCACTTTCTAAGTTAATAATTGCAATTGGATATTCCTTAATCATACAACGTAAATGAAAGAAAGGAACTCATTATATTAATTTGTTAAAGCGTGAATATTTTTGAGAACAATTAAAAAATAAGGTTAGTTCTATTAAAAAATAATTATCACCATAAAAATAATGTAACAAAAGGTGATTAAAAAAAAGCCCACGACAAACTTTTTTTTTTTCTCAACAAACCACCACCAAAAAAAAATACAGACAGACAGACAGACAGGCAGGAAAAAAAACAACAAATAGACCAAAAATAGAGAGAAGAAAGAAATAACCCAGACAAAAAATCAGTTGCAGAAACCGTCTAAATTTTATCACAACCATCACCCGATACAACAAGACAATCAGACAGACAGACAGACAGTTCAAATACAGATTGTTAAACCAACCCATAATCAAATTATCAACGATCAATAAGAGTTACTAGAGAAGAAGAGAAAGAAGAATTTATTATTAGACGATCGATTCAATTAACTTCCAAATCAATTCTTTTCTGTGCATAGAAACACACAACGTTCAATACATCTAACTATCAAGTCATTCATTTTCACACTTTAATACCTTTTTTGCAACAGACACTTTTTATACGAATGCAACAATGGATCCAGTATTCAAAGATCATAATATAATTGCAATACCAGAGAAGATAAAATCATCATCAGCCAATAATCCACAACAGCAACAGCCACAACAACAGCAGACAACAGTCATTTCTCCATCAATAATAAACATAAACAGCAACGATCCTCGTGGATCAATGATTGCTGTTGCCAGTAACAACAGAGATTCAACTATATTCACCCCAACATCAGTCACTGAGGAGTTTCCCAAACAAATCCAACCAAATATATTACTGCATAACCGATCTAGATCTCATTCTCAGTCAATTAATTCATCAAGACAACTATTCCAACCAATTCATCACACTGGTTCATATCATTCACAATATCAACCAACCAACACGCAATACAACGAACCACCAATAGGTCTGAAACATCCTATGACTGCACCACAACCAGCAGGATATCGTTATAGTCAACAGCTATCCAATTTGCAAGATGCTGCATTACGTTCTCGTCAACCAAACTGGACTACGTTAATCCCCCCACTTCCACCAAATGAGCAACATCAAAAAGAACCACTGCCAGATAAGGATGAATTCAATTTTGCTAGTCGACCTGCAACAACCCCAAATACACCTAATTTTCCAACAAGAAGTCCACTCCGCGACAAACAATCACATTCAGAACTGAGTATGTTAAGTCCATCACATCGACATTCAATTGCAATATCACCCACGGCGCCGAAATCACAACTGCATGATTCAAATCCTCCACCACTACAACAGCCAAGATTTGATAGAGACATGACACGAGAATTAACCAAGTTTTCACCACCTTTTACCTCTCCGAACAACCTTGCAGTCAGTGGCTCCCGCAGGAAGAGCAAAAAAAGTTGTCATAAATGTGGACAGGAGATTACTGGTCAATTCGTAAGAGCTTTACAAAATGCATATCATGTCAATTGTTTTACATGTCATGAATGTGGGAAACAATGTTCATCAAAATTCTTCCCATACGAAATGACAGTCAATGGAGAAGTCCAACAAGTACCATTATGTGAATATGATTATTTCAAAAAGCTAGACTTAATTTGTCATAATTGTAATTCAGCACTAAGAGGACCTTATATAACTGCATTGGGGAATAAATATCATTTGGAGCATTTTAAATGTAGTGTTTGTCAACGAGTTTTTGAATCTGATGAAAGTTACTATGAACACGAAGGTCAGATTTATTGTCATTATCATTATTCAGTATCATATGCATCGCATTGTGAAGGTTGTAATTCATCAATTGTTAAACAATTTGTGGAATTATTTAGAGGTGGAAGAAATCAACATTGGCATCCTGAATGTTATATGGTTCATAAATTTTGGAATGTTTGTATAACCGCTGATTCAGTAGGATTACAAAATTTACATGGTATTGCTGACGATGATTTATTAAATTTGCAATTAATAAAAATTCAAGAGAGCAAAGAGGAATTAGATCATAAACTATTGTTATCTATTGAACAACTGATTGAACGAGTCGTTATGCGTTGTTGGTTGACTTTATCTGGATATGAAGAAACCACGGCCAGTTGTATTTCCGATATGTTATTGAATGCATGTACAGGAAATAAATTCAATGGATTGGTTGTTACTGGGAAATTAATCTTAAATGTAGAGGTTCTATTCAAAGCATTAGATTTCGTATTTGAAATGTGTCAGAATTCAACAGCTTTATTGCAAGAAAAAATTCAACCAATACAACGACTGTCATCGCAACCTCAACCACCACACGATGGTAGTGATGATGGGGATTCATCTTCTAGTAATCCTGAAGAAGAATACTTTCAACAATTAAAGAAGGAACCAAGAAATATCACAGGAAAAATTATGAGTTATTTAGCAGTATTGAGGAAATCCGATCATCTTGCTAAATCAGGTAGTCTTTCTGCTGAATTATTATCAGTCATAACAGGCTGTGCTCATTATTTGAAATTACTTATTAGAATTGGTTTGCATAATGCTTTGAAATTGAATAGATTATATGGCAACACAACCGCAATTGATAAATTTTTATTATTAACTGCGGAAACAGAATCAATTAGTTCATTATCGGATGAAAGACAACAACTTCCTTTGATTAATTCAAGATTGACAATCCCAGCATATTCCACCGATGCATGTATGTCATGTTCAAAAAGTATAGAAAGATCATGTTTCAAACAGGGCAATAATCGTTGGCATGTAAAGTGTGTAATTTGTTCATCATGTGGGAGAGGAATTGGCCCCAATGAGGCAAGAGTAACGAAAGTGGATCGGGGATCTAATGATAGAATCATATGTCAAGATTGTCCAGATGGGAATAATACTGTTGTTGGGTTTGAAATTATTTCGGATTTATCTCAGTTGGTTTTTCTATTAAAGATTGCTCTTGCTAGATCTAGATCGGTCATGAAGGTTGATTTCACCAATCCACCAGCTGATTTTGGTATTAGTAAGGATAAAGGCATATCGAGAGTATTAACTACTGGTGGAAGTACACCTCTGCGTGAACAATTGACGGCATCAACTGCGACTGCTACCAGTTATTCTCAGACACTTGATGATGTGACTACATTAAGAAGAAAACGCCAAAGTCAGAAATTATTTACTTCAGTCAAAAAGAGTGCGAGAAAATCGGTGATTTTAGAAGTTCCAGAAGGTACGAAAGCAAGTCAAGATGAAATTAGGCGACCAAATGTTACTGAAGATCATATTGCTGAAGAATTGGCTGACCTTAGTTTTGAACAAATCCCATCCTCCGCATCGGCAACAGCTGCTCAACCAAATCGTGTTGGAAGTACTACATCACAATTATCCTATGCTTCTCAACGAAGTGAACACTTGAATGTTAAGCCATTGATTAGAGATGAACCACAACGACAGCAATCCAATATCCACCTTGATAGAACTTCAGATATGTTAAAGAATGAGAAATCATTGACATTGGATGATATTCCTAGAATCGTGGCGGCTGAACAAGCAAGAGATCAACGTCCAAATGCATTCAAACATCATAATACATTATATCAAAGACAATCAACTCAGATTCGTATGAAACCAGGAACACGTTCTCCATCTAATTTAACTCCATCAGGTGTATTGGATAATATTTTAAGTAGTGGTCGTTCAGTTGATGAATCGCAGTCGTTTAAGAAGACAAAATATTATTCTGAATTGAGTAAAGAGGAACATTTCATACTTCGTCATATTGCGGTAGAGGCATTGGTTCACGTGAATAGTAATAATAATATTGGTGGATGTAGTAAGGATGATTTAATTGGGTTTATTCAAAAGAAGAAACAATCTACATTTTGGGATAAATTTAAATTCAGTAGTGATGTTAAAAAGGATAAAGTAATGGCTGTCTTTGGGGTAGATTTATTTAGTTTGACGAGAAAATATGGGATTGATTCTGATTTAGGTGTTGGACCATCCAAAGTACGCATACCTATTGTTATTGATGATGTAATTAACGCATTGAGACAAAAGGATATGAGTGTTGAAGGTATTTTTAGATTAAATGGAAATATCAAGAAATTGCGTGAATTGACTGAAGAAATCAATAAGAATCCATTGAAATCTCCTGATTTTAGCAATCAAAGCGCTGTTCAATTAGCTGCACTAATGAAGAAATGGTTACGTGAATTACCTAATCCTTTATTGACATATAATCTTTATGATATTTGGATCTCATCCCAACGAGAACGGAATCCGGCTTTAAGAAAACGAATCCTTCAGTTGGCTTATTGTATGTTACCTAGAAGCCATCGGAATTTAGTGGAAGTATTGCTTTATTTTTTCAGTTGGGTAGCTTCATTTTCTGAAATTGATGAAGAAACAGGGTCCAAGATGGATATTCATAATTTGGCCACAGTTGTTGCTCCTAATGTCTTGATTTCAAAACAAAATTCTCAAAGTAATGATAATATGATGGCAACCCAACAGCCTGGAGATAATTATTTCTTGGCTATTGAAGTTGTGAATCAATTGATTGAAACGCATGAAGAATTGAGTATCATTCCTCATGATTTGTGGAATTTCTATGAAACTTGTGGATTTCCAAACAAATTAGAAAAAGAACTTTCTTCGAAGGAAATTCTGAATATAATTGAGAAATATCTTAAAGAAGATCCAAATTATTTTGATGATTTTGATGTGAAGAATCCTGAAGGTATTGCGAACTTGGAAGTAAGAAGTAATACTATTTTGAAAACTGGATATCAAGGAAGTGGTGCATTGAATGGCGAAACACAACAAGCTGGTTGAATCTTATAAGTGGAAATGCTGTATTTGAAACTCATTTCATGTGTATGTATATTTGTATAAGGATTGTAGGTTGTTAGCGTTATGTATTAGTATTTTATTTTTTAAATTATAAATGTACAAATTCTCCTTATTCGATACTTGGATGCAAAGAAACGACTAACAATCTTTCGTAATTGCGCCAGATGTGAAAGAAATAATGCGATCTACAATTATAGCAGTGAATCTTCGTTCGGCATAAGTAAGAATTTTATTTAAACTTTTTTATCAATTTGATCAATGAAAAAGAACAAGAAAATTTTCAGATTAAATTACTAATTTGGCACAAACCCTTATAATTATCAACGACACTTTCATAGTGTGCTTTAAACACACATATACATATACATATAATATACGTACATAGCATTAAATATCGACATGTCAACATTAACAACGGAGTCATTCCAGCAGATAATAAAGGAAAGATTGCAGGCCACATTAGTCCAAGTGGAAGATATGTCAGGTGGATGTGGACAAGCATTCGCGGTCATAATCGTATCCCCCATATTCAAGGGTAAGAATAAATTAATGAGACATAGATTGGTGAATCATGCTTTGAAAGATGAAATAGCGAGTATTCATGCATTTACCCAAAAGGGATTTACTCCTGATGAATGGGTAGCCCAAGGTGGAAAACTATAAGAGAAGGGAATAAATAAGACAAAGTAGAAGATTTAATATACGTTTGACTTTTATTTAATTATTAAAAGAGCCAAGATCTATATAGTATTCCGTTTATAGGTTTTTGAATGGGTTCGGATTACCACGAACCACATTAATGAAAGCACCAGAAATAAAATGATGATAATTAATGGCATAATACGTAATCCAAAATCACTGGATTGGGCAACAAGTCCAATTAAGAATGGCACACCAGCTGCACCACCACCTCCAAATGCACATATAAACCCTATTCCTGAAGTTTGATATTTTGCAGGTAAGATATTTACCAGAGCTACGATTGTTGTAGGGAATATTGGTCCAACTACTATCCCAGTTGCAAATACTATAATGAACAATATGAAGTTCAAGGATGTATGGGCAAATAACCAAAATATTATATACCCAAGGAGTGAACTTAGGATATAGGTGAAATTTGCCGTAAGTTCATCCTTGAAGTAATGAGCAGTTACAAACCCTAATGCCATTCTACCGAGAGTTAATCCTGACCAGAATGTCGTCGCCATGTAGGAAGAATGTTTGTAAGTCCAACTTCTTATTCTGAGGAGGTATGTCACTAACCATGCCCCAAAGGAAACTTCTGCTCCAACGTAAATGAATAAGATCGACGAAAGGAGCCAGACAAGTTTTGATCTTAATGTCATTCCAAGAGTGGCAGAACTCGGTTCATCATATTCCTGAGATTCTAATTCATCTATCTCAAATTGGGTAGTTGTTGACTTGATATGATCTAACTCGATTTCATTATTTTTGGCCCTTTGGTTTCGTAATTGAGTGACATACTTGTATTTCTTTGGAGTTTCATATTTGAACGTAGTTATCATCATAACGATTGCCATTCCTCCTAAGATAGATAAAACTACATAATAATCATTCCAATTCCATGGGTTGTGTTTCTTTTCCAATAAATATGTAATTAAAGTTGGACTAATCATACTTCCCAATCCATAACATCCATGCAAGATCCCCATTAATTGATTTGAATCAACTAAGTTACCCATCCAAGTATTAAATGCAGCATCCAATGCCCCGAGCCCTATCCCATTACCTAAACTACAAATCAAAAATATGCCATAATGAGGTTTTGTAGACATGGTCAAATATGCAACTGTCATACAAATTGATCCTAGTACTCCCACACCTTTAATCCCTACCAATTCATGGGATAGGTTATTTATCAAGGCCATGGTAAGGTATCCCGAGACACCAAATAGGAAAATGAGGCTTATTTCCAAATCATTAATTTTGTAATGGGATTGTAGTATAGGAATTAATGTTCCAACTGTTTGTTCAGCTAATCCAAATAAAGTGAAGATTAAGTATCCAGATAAGATTTGTGCTTTTAGGAGATTGGAGTGACGCCAGTTGGTAGAATCTATAACGAGTATTTCCCCTTCGAATTCAACATTATATTGTGTATTGTCATTAGTTGAATATTTATTGGGTGGAGTATCTATATGTTGTGATTCTGGTAGGGGCAATGAATCTGTAAATTCGGTGCTATCGGAATTAGAACCTGTATCCAAGGGACTGAAATAAACGTCTGTATTTGATGTCATGATCTTTTCAAAATGGAATGAATATATAGCGACAAGTGACAAGAGTGAGATAGACAGATCGTACACTTGTTATTAAGTATTTTGAAAAAGGGGGGGGGAGTGTGAAATTTGAAAAATATTATTATTCATTAGTGAACGATAAGCCGAGAAATGCGGATGATTATTACCCTTTTAGGAAAGCTAACGGATCGGATCTTCTAAAAAATGATGAAACGATTTTATACTGATAAATTCAAATTGACATAGTATTGCCGATTGGTGAGAAATTCCCAGGTTAGCTCGGTTAAAATACAAATTAATTCGCTTAGTTCAACTATATACTACTAATAACTATGTAAGATGGTCTGAGAAAAGTTTTCACTCTCGTCGTCGCCCATTAGGAGATTCTCTCCCCTAATATGCAGGATACGACATAAATATTTTCACCACCAATCATTGAGACAGCCCTCTAAAGGATTGCTACTATTTCTCCAGAAAGTCTAGAACAATGAACTCAAAAGCACGTTGAAATACTTGGTGCGTATACTTCTGGAATATTCAGAAGCCGGGTAACAGTTCCAGGAAAGCATCTCATTGTTGTCTATTCAAAAATAGAGAAAGATAGCCATTAATTCTCGTACCATACGTAGTAGACAGAACCTATACCAATGGCTGAACAAATATTGATTACACGCTCTTTTGATTTCTTTATTAAATTAGAAATTTATTAACACCTACTATATTTCTCAAGAAACAAGATCCAGTGATTTGAATTGGAAAAGACCACGAGATATCAACTGTTCCATTATTCATTAGACCATCGGAATTGTTATCTCATAGATATATTCTGACATAATCATCATCTCCAAAATAATTTTAGTATAATCCTTCTATGAGTATGTTTCTAAATCAACCTAGGAACAAAGTTTGCCAGTTGAAAAAGGTCGTTGAAACTTCCACGAGCCCAGCACTAGGTATTGAATATTTACAGGCTTTACATGGATCCTTCTCGTAATGCCGACTCAATTCATTATAGAACACAAGTCCATAGATGTTAACGTATAGCGATCCTCGGATTTATTGTTCGGTTTTATCAGGTGATAATTAGATTATTTTTTTATTACCCCAGAGAATTAATGACCAATATTTAAAATGACCAAATTGCAAAATTTTCATATTTTTGATTAATTTTCCTTCTACCACAAAGATATGTAGCTATATAAGATAAGGACAGTACTCAAATGGCAATATCAGATCAGCTTCAAGACTCCAACTTATTCAGACCAATCAAAGTAGGTGACATCGAGCTTCGTCATCGAGTAGTCCATGCTCCAACTTCAAGGTCAAGAAACTGCCCCAAAACATATAGACCTACCGATATCATCGTTGACTACTACAATGCTAGGTCTAAATATCCAGGCACACTCACCAACTATGAAGCTTGCATGGTATCCCCAAGAGCCAGACTACATCCCTATAACGCCGGTCTTTGGTCTCAGGAACAATACGTTGGATTTAAACAAATAACTGATACGATTCATAGGAATGGAAGCTATGTTTCATGCCAAACATTTGAACCAGGACGGGCGTCAAATATTCAGCTTGTAAAAGAAGTGGAGATCCCCTATACATCCCCACCGGCAGTTTACCCATCTCAAGCCCATCAGGATATGTCACTAGAGCTGAATTATCCGTTGACCGAAATGTCAGTTCAACAAATACACCAAGCGCAGGATGATTTTGTGAATGCGGCGGCGAATTGTATTACGATGTGTGGTTTTGATTTCGTTGAATTACATGGCACAAGTGGATTCCTTATTGAGCAATTTATATCCCCCTGTCCAACAATCGAACAGATGAGTATGGAGGAACAGTGCAAAATAGGTGTAAGTTCCTTTTGGAGATTATTGATAGATGTATTAGTAATCCGGCGATTGGCCCTAAGAAGATTGAGATCCGAATATCAACTTGGTCTACCCACGATGGAATGACATATCCTGGATATGTAAAATGACGATGATAACTTCCCACCATTATTATTTTGCAAACATATCTTGGAAGAAATGGAACGTCGGAAAATGGAAGGTAATGAAATCGCATATATCTCAATCACAGAACCTCGAGTTTCTGGTTCTAATGATGTTGATTCAACCGGTAAGTCAAATGATGTTTTGCTTTCTCTTTGGTCCGGTGTTCTCATTAGATCAGGAGCTTATGCTACAAACTATAAGGTAGACCCATTTGCAATAAAGTCAAATGCAATGAACTTAAGGATCATAGATGGGGTAATACAGCATTATGAGCATTTATTAAAAGATGTTGACAGGGATGATAGGACCATGATTGGGTTCTGCCGAGCGTTTACGTCAAACCCTGATTTAGCGAATAGACTAGAGCATGGATTTAAGTCGAGTCCCTATGAGCGCTCTCATTTTTATACTCATCAAGTCGAAGGATTTTTGACGTATGGTGAGATAATAATAAAGATGACATTGAGTATATCGAGATGCCCTCGGAGAAACTTGGTAGGGAAGGGAAACCGTTACAATAACCTGTATATTTATTAGATAATTTAACTTATATTTTGTGAAAACCTTGAAGCTTGGCTGGTTACAAAGGTTTACAGCTAACGGTTTCTCCAGATGTACGATATCTATCATTATCTGTTAATTTGAAGTCTCAATACTACAATTCATTCGTATAACCCTCAAGGCTTCTCTATATTATTTATAACCATCTGAAGCACATCCAGCCAGCAGGCAGTGGCAAAATTTAGCATAATGATTAGGTTAGTCTCTCTGCCTTACTCTTTTCCTAATTCCTCACTACTTGTTCTAAACTCGCCATCAGCCAGAGACAAACTTTAAGCCATAAACTTTAAAGTTTCTTTTTCCGCCCTGTTTTAAAAATAATTTGAAAACGCCGGGATCTCGGCAAGCGGATTTATTATCCGATTTCATTCAAATAATTTATTCTGAACGTGGTTAGAGATGTTTTTAAAGTCAAGAAATTGTAAAAAGATTTTAAATACAGCCTCTATCCATTCTTCTTCATTTCATAAACTTAAAACTTTGAATAGACACTACTTTCTTAAAATGACAATCTCCAATGAACTTCGTGACTCAAATTTATTCAGACCTATCAAAGTAGGGAATATAGAGTTAAATCATCGTGTAGTGCATGCACCAACCACCAGATCAAGAAACTGCCCTAAAACTTATCAACCAACTGATATCATAGCTGAGTACTATGAGTCAAGATCTAAATATCGAGGTTCCCTCATCATCTACGAATCATGTATGGTATCTCCAAGATCGGGTCTAGTTCCATACAAAGCTGGTCTCTGGTCTGACGAACAATGTGCCGGATTTAAACAAATCACTGACGCAATCCATGCTAATGGAAGTTATGTCTCATGTCAAATTTTTGGCGCTGGTCGTGCGTCAAACATTCAAGCTTTAAAGGATGCTGGAATTCCATATATTGCCCCTTCAGCTGAATATCACTCCCAAGCTAATAAAGAAAAGGCACAAGAATTGGAATACCCATTGACCGAGTTGACTGTTGAACAAATCCACCAACTTCAAGACGATTTCATAAATGCCGCTGTAAATTGCATTACTAAATGTGGATTTGATTTTATTGAATTACACGCTACAAGTGGATTCCTTATAGAACAATTTTTATCTCCTTTGTCTAACAAAAGAACTGACAAATATGGAGGTTCTGTTAGTAACAGGTGTAGATTTCTTTTAGAGATCCTTGATAGATGTATTAGTCATCCTGTCATTGGACCTAAGAAAGTCGGGGTTAGAATCTCAGCTTGGTCATCTCATAACGGAATGGTGTACCCTGGTTATGACAATGAATTTACCGATGACTTCCCACCATTGGAATTCTGTAAATTAATAATGAGAGAAATCGAACAGAGGAAATCAGAAGGGAATGAAATAGCGTATATCTCAATCACAGAGGCTCGAGTCTCCGGATCTGGTGATGCTGATCCAACTGGTAAAACAAATGACGTTTTGCTTCCTTATTGGTCAGGAGTTTTGATTAGAACAGGAGGATATGCTACTAATTACAAGGGTGATCCGTTTGCAATCAAGTCGAATGCCATGAATTTAAGAATAAGTAATGGGACTGTGCAACATTATGAACATTTATTAAAAGATGTTGACGCTGATGATAGAACTTTAATTGGGTTTTCAAGACCATTCACTTCGAATCCTGATTTGGTGCATAGGTTAGAGAAGGGACTTAAGCTAAATCCATATGATAGAACTTATTTCTATAGCCATCAAGTCCAAGGGTATTTAACATATGGCGAATATGGTAACGATGAAGAGATTGAATATATCGAGATGTCGCAAGAAGAAAGTAGTAGGGAAGGATCAGTTCTTGTCTGAGTGGGGTATGAATGTAGATTATTTATAATATAGAATTAGACACTCTAAGTTGATACTTAGTTAATTAAGCAATAGTTTTTGATTGGTCTTCCAACGCTTTGAATATGGAACTATATCACTGTAGCTCGTTTCTATCCACAAAGAAGATTTAGGCGGCGTAACTGAATTTTCGTAGATTTTGAATCGATTCAAGAAACCACTGACATGTTCTGAAAGTATTAAAAATTCTTTGTTGGAAGAGGAGTCACATTTTACTAAAAGGTTTATTGATAATTTTCGTATTTCATTAATAATATATTCTACAAAAAGTCTCATCTACTTGTACACCCTAAATAGCATTGTACGCTATTCTATTTGGAGTCTTCCTCCTATAAAGTAACGACGATAAATGCATTCGATTCTTCACTGATCGTTTGAGCAACGTTTCTTTAATCTTATCAGGTGGAATACCCTCACTCAATAAATTTGCCACCAAACCAGACACAATAGGCGCAGCCATCGATGTACCGGAAAGCGTCAGCGGTTGCGAAGAATTATGTATATTGACACTCTCAACACCAGATCCGCTAGCAAATATATCAACACATTCTCCCCAGTTTGAAAAACTTGTCAATGTATCATACGTATCATCAATTGCACCAACGGTAATAGCAGCTGGTGAACTGGCAGGACTGGCCAAGCAAGCATCAGTATTCGAGTTCCCGGCAGCCACCACTACAATCAAGCCTGTCTTTACTGCTTCTTCAATCACAAGGTTCAAAACTTGATTCTTATATGAACCCAAGGATAGATTTACAACCCCCTGTTTACCGGACTGTGTCCTATGGTTTACTGCAAATTCAATCGCTGCAAGAATTGTACTAAGTGAACCTGTTCCTTTACTATTCAACGCCTTAACTTCAATAATCTCCACCCCTTTTGCAACACCATAGGTCTTCGAACCAATCAAACCAGCCACATGAGATCCATGGCCATTTGTATCTCCCGAGCCTTCTTCAGTGAAATCTTTACCAGGTTTAGCGCGGCCTTCAAATTCTGGGTGGTTTACCGCAACTCCAGAATCAATCACATAAGCATTCACACCTTCTCCAATATATTCAGGCTTATAGACATACGGATATATTCTCCCTGGGCGCATTCTTCGTCTTCGGCTAATACGAGCAAGGTGTCTTGGAGCATTTTCTTGAATTTGGATATCATAAGCTACAAACGGTGTATCTGGGACTACTTGCATTACTAGGGGACATCGTTTTAGACGTTGAAGATTCTTCTTCGAGAAATCTCCTACAAATCCGGAGAAGTTCCCAATCGAGAATGAATTTGTTATTCTTTGTTTGACTTGTTGGTCTGATGGATAGTTTAGGTCATATGTCATGAAGGAGTCTAATGTTTCCGTGTTTTGAAGTGATACTAAGTATGGTTGTCCCAAGGCTGATGAAGTGAGTTGCATGAGTATACCACAAAGTAATAAACGAAGCATTTCCTGTTCTATATGTGACTATAAGGTTGCAGTATAATTAAGAATAAAAAATGCATGGCGGTGAATTTGAAAAGATTTGGAGTTATTTATATTCACTACCCTTGCATGTAATCATAACAAAATCTTTATTATAATTATAAGAAACCACATTAAGATCATACCATAAACTTTTCGCGTACCAAAATGAGATACTATAGGATCAAATTTGTAACTCTTTTTGGTTTCTCAAAGAAGATCCTATGATATGCCACCGGTAGCTTCCCGAAAGAAAATCAACACAAACGCCGATCCGAGCGTCCCTTTTGATGTACGAATGCAATGCAAGATGGCTGATTCAATCTGTTGAGGCTGGAGTTCTATGTATTCCTGCATTTCCTGTCGTCGCACAAGCCCATTGAAATGGCACCTCTTAAAGACGTCGACTCATCTCCTTTGAAACTAATCCATGGCTATAGACAGCTACCGCTAATACATATTTACGATCACATCTTAACTAGATCACTAGCTGATGGGAGCCTTTTAAATCATTGCCAGTTTGTGTTTATAAATTGAGTGTGTTGAACGAATTGATGATAGTTAATTTTGTTACGCGTTTTATTTTTTTTCTCATAGCAAGACGTGATTTGAAAATATTATTTTTCACAACCACCATCTTTCAAAATAGACCCTTTGTAAATATCTTCTACTGTATCAGATAGCCAATTAGAAGGATTAGAGATATACTTATGATTATATCATTAACAGAATCAACATCGCTAATAACAATTTTATGACATCATGCTGAGTTTGGATTATGTTTCAGATTCAGATGATTATGAGTATGAACTACTATCGAATGATAGGATATCCACAAGACTACTACAGAACAATTTGAATAAGCTATCACCTAGAAAGAGACAGGAAACAAAAGATAAGCTTATTGAATATACCAATTATGCTAGTCTTTTACAAGAATTAAGTCAGGGGTTAATTTCATCACAGAAAAGTAATGATGAGGTTGTAAATGATAGTGAAGAAGAAGTTCAAGATATCTTCCTTCAAGACTCACTCCGTGCTGATGATCCTCAGAATAGTGATAGCCAAAATATTCTAGACGATCCAATTGCAACAGCACATTCATTTGAAAATAGTCAAGATATTGACAATAACCCCACCGAAGGAAATCAACAAACAGACGTCCAAGTTCCAGAAGAACCAAATACAAATGATCATGAACAGGAACACGAGAATAATCACCATTTGCAAAACTATTTAGATTCACGACTGAATGTGGTATCGAGAAGAGGCTTGAGGAAGCGGAATTTTGCCAGTACACATCCTTATCTTGCCGATCAAGCACACTATTTAGGCTTATCAGACGTGAATTATCTTAATGAAATATATGAAGAGAATAATCATGATTTAGAAACAGTGGTGAAATACTTGAATTATAATTATGTGAAACTAAAACAATCCAATCCGAGGGATGAAAAGTATAGATCCAAGAATTTTTATACCATTCTAGGAAAACAGTCCCAACTGGCACAGCAAAAGGAAAAGGAAGAGCAATGGAAAGAGCTGTATGATATTGAATTTCAAGATCCATCTCAGATGAACGGAGATATAGATCAAGATGATTTGAATGGGGATTATTATAGTGATGACGATGAATTGCTCGAATCAGTCAATAAACATCATTCTCTAGTCATAAGTGATAATGAAGAAGGAGCCGGATCAGATACAAACTCCGACAACCTGGATACGTTAGTTAGGGTAGGTGGAAGATATAGACACGAGCGAAATGTTCTAAAAGGAGTACTTCCAGAATCGGCAAAACGGTTGCAAATTTATAAACCGAGACCTAAATCAGGGAATAGGAGAGATCAACAAAAGCAAGTGGAAATGCGTAAAGGTATGGCTGTACGAAAATCTGCTCCTAGACCGTCATCTAGCAGAACCAACTTTTACGAATTTGATGGGTTTGTGGATGAGTCAGTAGTATATGACACATCGAATGAGTTGTATCATGAATTATATCAGAACCCTGATGTTGACAAAAACTTGGTCACAGATTTGGAAAGATTTGAAACATATTCGATTATATCTGATTCCTCCAATTCCGAGCCCGAAGAGGCAGATCATAGCGACAATGACCTATTTTCAACAAGCCTCCCTATAGAAAACACGTCTAGCGACAATCAGCCCCAAGCTGCAGAAGAAGACACAAATTATGATTTTGGATATGATGATTTTGGTGAAGTAAGGGAGCTGGATAATATCAATATGATGCTTGCTGGCTCTTCCAAGAAGTCGAAAAAATCCGGGGTTCCACCGAGAAAGAAGCAAAGAATCGGTGCCAGTGGCGCAGGAAACAGAGGCAGTAGCAGATTGAAACAACTGCATTTACCAACTAGTCATGGACCACCCAGTACTGGATCAAATCGCCCAAGAACGGTCTCAAGGAAAAGAGCAACACCAATTAAGAGAAGAACCGGTGAACCTAGGGGCAGATTAGCTGTGAAATCAATAACAATACCAAAGAGCACAAAAAGGCGACATCATAAGCAAAAGATGTCAAAGAAGAACGGAAATTTGGGAAGCATAGATAGCTTTCTTACCGCAATAAATCCTGACATTGACAAGAATGATTATTTATTTCTGAGAAAACCAATTCTATCAACCACGATATTCGAAGCTGAAAGTGATCATAGATATGTTGAGGAGAGACAATCATCCCTGGATTCTTTTATCCCGAATCGCAGTGCACAATTTTCCACGGGAAGCATTCTTGATATTATCGATATACGTCAAATTCAAAAACTCGAACAAGGTAGGTCATACCAGTTTCACAAAGATAATTTCACGATTACATTCAATCAACAAGCCTATTTGTTCTCATTGGTAAATGGCAAAAATTCACGTCTTAATGCTCAAAGATTAGTTGCACAATTAGTTCGAACCTTCAAGAATTCCAATCTTTTGTTTGAGACAATTTCAGACAGTATATATGATTGTGTACGAGGATTGATTCAATGGGTGTTAATGATACAAGAGTCTCCGGCTGATAGGGATTGGAAATTGGTCAGTCTTTGTTTGGATGCGTTGATTCTGAATCATAATATGTCACCTGGATTTAAGAAACGGTATATATCATATTTCGCCTTATTGCATTATACTATGTCACGAATGGCATATTTCAGTAGTGGAGAGTGTATGATCGATAAGGACGTTCAATTATTCAAATACTCAAGACAATACTGGGAAATTTTCTTTGATTCGTTCGATTTGGACCAATTTGACAAGTATTCCCTTCAACTGAATTGTTCAACACAAGATTCCGAATCATTTCATATCATATATACATTATTGGACCTCCAAAATCAATGGTGGAAATCGATCACGTCTGCTATCGAGACATATCATCATCCAACTAATATTCAGAATTTGTTAGAAGCGGTATTTTGTCTCTGTTTCATACGTAATCGGGGATATTCCTGGAATCCCCTTCATTTAGTATTTCAGAAATCCACTCATTTAACCAACCCGGAATTCTTTTATCGATATATTGAAATGATATATGCTTTGAATCAAAGACGAGGATGGCCGACTGAAGAAAAGACAATCCTTGAGATTTATGGCTCAATAACAAATCGAAGATTTGCAAATTTTGTGGATGAGATAGGTATGCCTGAATTGATTTCATCACAGGTGAGTAGTCGATTTGATATACCTGATGATACATTTTTTGAACAATTCATGCAATTGCTATATTGGTATGTGCTGGGATTATCCGAGCCTATAAAGGTGAAGCGATTGGTTATTAAATTATTCACATCCTCTGGATCTATCTTTAATGCCGTGGATGACAGTCAGACTCGACAAGTTATGTTTATTAATCGATTGAATTTTCTTATTTTACTTTCACTGATCTCAAATGTGGATTTAAATAATCAGATTCAAGAATTATTTGGTGGGCTTGGACAGGTGGAAGATAGTGAGGGTGATGTTGTTGGGTTGTGCAAACTTGCCCTGGATGCTTTGATAACATTTTCAGAGATTATTATTCCCAAAAAAGGTCTAAAACTCCCCGTCGAAGCATTTATAATGTTGACGAATTGTTTTATAAAGAGTTATTATACCATACCTGGTATTTTCAAATTATGGAAGCGGTTCTTAAAGCAGATGAATAAGTTATTGGTTGTCCAAGACGCAGAAATGGCTACCCTGCAGTTCGAATTATTAGCCATGACAAGAGGATTATCTTCGGAAATGCCCGATAGGTTATGTTTTGAATTATTTGAATTATATTTGAAAATTTGTATCAATATCACTCCGTATAAGACTAAATTCCACCTGATGTCAAATTTAAAGATTCTTCATAGTCTTGAAGATTTGGTTTTGAAAATATTACATCGACAAATGGGTCGTATTCCATTATCTAGCCGATCTGAAGAAATGACAGTGTCCAAATTCATCGAATTATGTATTTCATTATGGCTTAGATGTTCATCGTTATTTCCAACCCCAAATTGGGAAAAGATTGTGTTGCAGACGTTCCCATATACGGGGAATGTCCAACTGCGAGAGAAGTTTGGGATATATTTTTATGTTGGTATACTTCGATATTATAATTTGAAAGGTTGTAAAGAGATGGTTACTAGAAGTGTTCTTAGAGAAATTACAAAGTTTAATTCTTCAATTCATTTACCGACGTTGCTTAACCATCTTAATAAAGATAAGTGGATATTGTTTATGTATCAAAAGAAGTTAATTCCCGACGAAGTTACATCGATCTTATTGAAGAATTCCCGGCATGTGATTGTGCATAATTTTATATATAACCTTTCCATCCACACGAAACTCAGCACCATTGATGAACAAAAATACATCAATGATATAACAAAAGGTCTATCCACAGAATATGATAAATATTATTCATCGTCATGGTACAAAGAATTCTGTTGTAAAGTGGTCAAACTCGTCCAACGATATTTCTTTGATTTTATTACTGATGATTCGTTGTTGTTATTGTCTGAGTTAGCTTCCAAATTAGGAATTCAGAGAGCAGAATTATCGTTGATTGAACTTAAACGAATTCCCATCAATGATAGACTTAAGACGATTCATTTTGAATGTAATAGAGTTGTATTATTTGATAAAGTATGGATTCTGAAAATGGATGAAACTTTGTCTGGTGATATTGAGTTGTTATATCATCTAGTTTCGATATACGTGCATGAGATATTGAAGTATGAACATTACCGGTGGAAATCAGTTTGGTTTTTGTTGAAGTATTTCCAAGAATCGATTTGTAATGGGTTTAGGTATGATATATGTGATCAAAATTTTATGAAGTTCTTGAATATGTTGTGCAATATACCCAGAATACGTGATATTGGAGATTCAGAAGATGATTATTTTAGATTGAAATCTTTGAGAACCACTGTTGATGTTTTACGTCAAAGCGGAGTAACTTTGGAAGGATATCGTGAATCAGAAAGGATAACTGAGTTTATTTTAAGATTCATCGAATCATATAGGACTAGGGATGAAGAATTTGAATCAAAATATTTGTATTCAAGTTACAACTTAAGCGATATCTTACATGGTGGACATGATTCCGTATTTAAAAGAACTGGTGAAAAGGATTCACTTCAATTGATTCAAGCATTTCAACAGGATATTAACAATTTGGAGAGTCGGTATATTCCTTCAAATCCTACAGGTTGTTTAGAGTACGAATACGATTTTGATACAAATATAGAACAACCGATATAATAATAATACATAACTAATCTATTTATTTATTTTACATTACTGGAGCCCTCGTTGACTCTTGATTAATCTAATTTCAGATTCAAGTTTATCTCTAGCTCTCTTTACTTCCAACAAAGTAACCACTGCTCTAATCAATTCATCATACTTCGACATTGTTTTTCTAGTAGGCATAACTGGTTTCCAAGTAGTTCCACCACCAGTTGGAATATCCAATTCTTGTAACAAAGTATTCACAGATTTTAATACTGATTGCTTTTGTTGTAATGCAGGTAATCGTTGTGCTGATCTTAATCCTACTCCAGGAGTAAGTTTTTCTGCACCATGGTAATATAACCCATATGCTTCTTCTTCTTTTTGGGTTAATCTCTTCATTAATAATTGCTGGATTGCATCTGCTTCCTGTTTTACAGCTTGGTTGGAATGTTGATGTTGTTTTAATAAACTTGACAAATATTGTTGCAAGTGAGTTTGGAAACCTCTATCTTTTTTGAATGAAGAAGAAGCAGCCATAGGAATTGGAGGAGGAACCGGTTCTTGATTAGCCAATGAGCCTGATTTTTGTTGCATTTGTTTCTTCTTTTGATACTTATCAAAAATCATTAAATTGTTATATAGATTAGCCAAACCTTGTGAAGATTGATATTGCAGTACATTCTGAGTAGTTTGAGGAGAATCCAAAAGAGTGAGTAAATTTGATCTTTCCATTAACATCTTTTTAGCAGCCAATTCAAATCTTCTTGCTTCTATAACGAGTGATTCTTCTTCGGCGATTTCTGCTGGGGTTCTCTTTAAAAGATTTTCAAGATATTGTTTTCTTTCAAGTTCACGAGATTTGGAATATGCTTTTAATGACTCGATAATTCCAGTACTTTTTGTTTCTCGAGATTCTAGGATTTTGATACATATTCTATAAAATTGTTCTTTTAAATCTTCACAAGTACGATCACTTGGGTAATAATATCTGTCATAAATTATTGGCCATTTTAATTCAAATGATTTACATAACTCAAATAAGTACTTTGTTTCTTCGTATGTCCAGTCTGTGGAATCATTCTTGCTTTCTTGGTTATTTTCCACTGACGAATCTTTGTTTAAGGTTTGATCTTTTGTTTTCGGATCTTGAGTGTCATCATCTGGTTGAGGTTGTTTAGTAGCCCTTTCCTTAGTTTCGTCATCCTTTTGTTTCTTATCTTCGTTAGGAGCTTCGTTATCTGATTTCTTCTTGTCTATTTCCTCTGTGTTGGAAGAACCATCTTGATTTGATTGCTTATCCTTAGCATCGTCCTGTTTCTTAGTACTGTCTGATTTAGTTTGCTTTGCCTTTTCATCTTCAATTCGTCTTAATTCTTTGTCTTTTTGCTCCTTTTCTTTTCTTTCAATTTCGAGTCTTTCCAATTCTTTAGCTTCTCTTTCTTTTTGAATACGTTTTTCATGTTCTTTAATTTCATTCATAAATTTGTCATAAGTTTCTTCATCTACCAAATCAGGTATATCTAAATTTACATTATATTTCCCAAAGAAATAAGGCTTATTTTCCAATTCTTCTTGTTCCAATAATTCTTTAGAACCTTTTACCCAATGGTGTAAAGTGACGCTCTTGTCCAGTTGTTTATTGGGGTTAAATGATACTCTAGTCCAAGGAGAAGGTCTAAATTTACGATTATCTTTAATTCCAGTAGTAGTTGAAGAAAGGTTAATAGCAGGAGTATTAGGACCAATTAAATTATATAATTCCCTTGCCATACCAGTAGGTGGTTTTGGAGTAGATTCATTGCTAGTCTTTTGTTTCTTTTTAGGTGGTTGTTGTTGATGATGCTCATCCCTTTGAATGTTCAACACATCCAATATATCATTAGCTGACATTATTCGTTTATTTGTTTATGGCTCCTTCTTCTTCTCCTTTGTTACAATTTATTAATTTGTTATTGAAAGGTTTATTTTTTTTTGCTTGAGCATAATGAGGTTTTTCGTTCACTCTGTATTGAGTTAACATTTTACAAAAAGTATTTAAAAGAGATATAAATAAACAACACCCGTAAAAATATGTATTAAAGTTCTATAAATAGATAAACCGATTCATATATATATATGTAACTACGCAACATAATGATAAATATTTCTATCCTCTTCGTCACGTTTCAAGTATTCTTTCAGAATCAAATCTTCAATTCTTTGTTTAATCAAAATCATCAGCGGTTGGAACCTATTCGATAATTGTTTATGTAATTCTTCCACCAACTCATGATGTTTCACTGTATGACGAGATTTCATAATTCTCACAATTGCCGCATTGACTTGAATCTTACGACCCTCGAGGATATTTCCTTGTACTTCTTCTGATTCTTCTTGTCTTTCTGTTTTTGCTTTAGACGTTTTTGTTGCTGTTGTGCCTGTAGTGGTAGCTGCTGAAGAAGAAGCAGAAACAGTAAGGACTTTAACTTTAATGGAAGGTGATTTGAATTTCTCATTCAATCTGAAAACATCACTCTCATTCACATCTTTCGACATCGGACTTTTAATTAACAATCTCAGTTTAGGAGCTACAGCGATTGATTGTAAATGTCTCTTTAATTCTAACTCGGGAATACCTGTCCGCTCAGCAATCTCAAGATACGTCAATTGTTTGTTTTCTTCAAATGCCAGGACCATTGAGCCATCGAGATTAGTAGATTGAGGAGCAAATAGCAACATAATTATACCTGCATATGTGGACATGTTTATTTCATAAGTTCTTGAAGGGTATGATATTCGTAAATCCATTGAACCAAATTTAGGTGTCCAAAATAAGGATTTATTATCATTCTTTTTACCAGAGCACCAAAATTCTTCAAATTCCCGGATGGTATTACGTAGTTGACGAGGCCATATGAAAGGTGTATCTTCATTTTCGGTTTTTGAAAACCATTTATAATCCTTGGTCATTGATTTTGGCCAATCAGTAACATTACATATCTTCAATTCCAATTCTATCAATTCTGGTTTATCCTGTTTTGTTATATATCTCTTCCAATCGTTGGTTATATCTTTCGACAGTTTAATATCTTTATTCATTTTGATAATTTTATCTAGTGAAGATGTTCCCAATTCTTCACTAAGTTTGGATAACACTAATTCTTCGATATTAATCCCCTTGGTAATAGTTTGTGAGGGTCCTTTTGAATTCAAAAATCGTTTGGCAAAATGATTAGCATAATTTGCTTCGAATGCATCTTTATCTTTGATAAATCGTAAAAATTGAATAGATTTATTTATGAAATCTTCAATTTGATCCCCTGATTGTAATGCAACTTCTTTACTTGCCGAACCTTTCCCTAACTGTTTTATAACAGAGTCCATATATATTGATAACATTTCAGGAGCATTAACTTGGATTGGTCCTGTCCCACGCTTATTTGGTGCTCCATTTATGAATTCTCTCATTCCAAATGTAATAGCTTGTTCAATAATTGGACTATGATCAAATGAATGTGCTAAAATTAATGACATTTGTTGTCTATACTTAATAATCGTTTCTATCCATTTGGTAGCGAATGCTGTAGAAGATGTTGATGATGATTTCTTATATGTAGCACTACCACCACCACTTCCACTGGATTCAATTGATGCTTTGACAAATTCGGGAATTGTTTTCCCTTGATTTATTATGCCTTCTTTTAATCTAGCTCTTAACAACTGATAATCTTCATCGATGCGACCAATGAGGTTATATAGCAAGGCAAAATCAGTATAATTGTAGGTATCATTTTTATCTTCGAAAATGTTGGTCATTATTGGTCTCAACCAATATTCAAGACCTTGCTGTTCATAAGGAAGTAATATTATTCCATCAATTTTATCTTTAATAAGTATATTGTTCATAAGCTCTATAAGTTTGGGATATGTCGAAGAAGGTAAATAAAATTTGATTCGATTTTCTTCATCTTTGATGAATTGATTGGCCTCATATAAGTATTTTGAACCCAGTGAATATCCAATTAGGTGTTGGGATAAATTAGTAAAGAAATCATGAGAACTTGAAAGGAATAAAGGTTCAAATACCGTTTGATAATAATTTTCCCCATATTGAATTTCAGAATTAGTTGATTCAACCAATAATTCCAACATATTAATAACTTTTGTAATATACATATTTGAAGTAATTGCAATTTTATTTCTACTTTTTGTAATTTCATCAATCACTATATGTACAAGTCTATGACCAACTTCATCTCCATTATATCTAATGATATTATCTTTAAACAATTGAATTCCAAGATCATAAATTAACAATTTCTTTTGTTCCTTAACATATACTCGATTAAGATACATCAAAACATCACTTATAAACTTCATTGCTTGCAAATGTTCATTCCATTCTTGTATAATTGCCTTCATGAATTCTTCATTACCAGTTGAAATTGACACTAGATATTGACGTCTATTTAATAAATGTTGAGTTATGACACTACCTACATTATCATATAATTTCGCACCATATTTTCTAATAACCAAAACATAAGCTTTTCTATATAATTGTTCATATGATAAGTTGGAAACATTTTTATTTTGAATTTGATTTATTGCATTGGCTAATACTAACCATGATTTTTCAAAATCTAATGATGGATCATTATTATTATTATTCGAATTGTCAATAGTTGAACTTACAAGAGATTTTCTTGGTGGTCTAATCTTCGACCGTCTACCACTTGCAGGCATCATCTTTCGTACTTCCCTATTTAGCTTACCAATTGAAGAATGGTGTTAAGCTATCGGTTCAAAATGGTTGTAAATGTAGAAGAGAGAAAGGATTGATTTGTTAACAAGTGCACGACCCTTAATCTTTCTTGATTCAACCTGTAAATTTGTCAGATTTACAGGTTAAGAAACAACGTGACTAGTCACATGACCATATGAGTCACATGATTAAATTTTTTTAAGGGCCGGTTTTTTTGTTTTTTTGCTTAAGAACAGGGATTTTGTAATTGGCTGGCATTCCGCACCGGAGCGGTACCGGCGAACTACTTCTTTGTCTTCTGCCCGCAAAATGACGCATGAAAATTTCCATCCGAAAGCGCCTTGTTATATAAAGTGACCCTTGAATGGCCATTTCAATTGAAAAGATTTTTCTCATTTGTATAAACATATATCATTAATACTAATATCCCCCCTCCCTCTCCACACAATGGCTCCTAGAACATTATACGACAAGGTCTTCCAAGACCATATTGTTCACAAAGATGAATCCGGATCTTACTTATTATACATTGATAGACATTTGGTCCATGAAGTGACATCACCACAAGCATTTGAAGGATTAAAGAATGCCGGTAGAAAAGTCAGAAGAACCGATTGTACACTTGCCACCGTTGATCATAATATTCCAACTGTTTCTCGTGCCAATTTTAAGGATGTTGAATCATTTATTGAACAAGATGATTCTAGATTACAAGTTATGACATTAGAACAAAATGTGATTGATTTTGATGTTGCTTATTTCGGTATGGATGATTCAAGACAAGGGATTGTGCATATTGTTGGACCAGAACAAGGTTTTACATTACCTGGTACAACTGTAGTTTGTGGTGATTCTCATACTTCCACTCATGGTGCCTTTGGTTCTTTAGCTTTTGGTATTGGTACTTCTGAAGTTGAACATGTTTTAGCTACTCAAACTATTATTCAAACTAAATCAAAAAATATGAGAATCTTTATCGATGGTGATTTAAATGAAGGTATAACTTCTAAAGATTTAGTTTTACATGTGATTGGTGTTATTGGTACTGCTGGTGGTACTGGATGTGTTATTGAATTTGCCGGTAAAGCAATTGAAAATTTATCAATGGAAGCAAGAATGTCTATTTGTAATATGGCAATTGAAGCAGGTGCTCGTGCTGGTATGATCCAACCTGATGAAACTACTTTCAATTATATCAAGGGAAGACCATTAGCTCCAAAGGGTGATGAATGGGAAAAAGCAGTTGCATATTGGAAAACTTTACATTCTGATCCTGATGCTAAATTCGATTATGATATTAAAATTAAAGCTTCTGATATTGTTCCAACTATAACATGGGGTAATTCTCCACAAGATGCATTACCAATTACTGCCAAAGTCCCTGATCCAGCTAATGTCACCGATCCAATCAAGAAAGCAGGTATGGAAAGAGCATTAAAATATCAAGGTTTAACTCCAAACACTCCATTAAAAGAAATTAAAATCGATAAAGCTTTTATTGGATCCTGTACTAATTCTCGTATTGAAGATTTACGTGAAGCTGCTAAAGTTGCCAAAGGACACAAGAAAGCCGATAATGTTAAATTGGTCTTAGTTGTTCCTGGTTCTGGATTAATCAAACAACAAGCCGAAAAGGAAGGTTTAGATAAGATTTTCGAAGCTGCTGGATTTTCATGGAGAGAAGCTGGGTGTTCTATGTGTCTTGGTATGAATCCTGATATCTTGGATCCTGAAGAAAGATGTGCATCTACTTCCAATAGAAACTTTGAAGGTCGTCAAGGTGCAAGATCTAGAACGCATTTAATGTCTCCTGCTATGGCTGCTGCTGCTGCCATTAAGGGGCATTTCACCGATATTCGTGAATTTGAATATAATAATCATGATGAACCTTTAGTTCATATTGAAAGTGAAATTGAAGATAAAGAATTACAAGATGCTGTATATGAACATGAAAAGCAATATGTTGAAGAAACTCCAGCTACTGAAAATGAAAGAATTAATGACATTCCAAAACCAAGTGTCAAGACTGATGCTCCAACTGGTGTTATTGATAGTTTTACTGTTTTAACTGGTATTACTGCTCCTCTTTATAAGGCCAATGTGGATACTGATGCTATTATTCCAAAGCAATTCTTGAAAACCATTAAGAGAACCGGTTTAAAGAATGGTTTATTCTATGAAGCTAGATATACCAAAGATCCAGTTACTGGTAAAGATGTTGAAACTGATTTCGTCTTAAATGTTGAACCTTATACAAAAGCTGAAGTCTTATTAGTTACTGGTGATAATTTCGGTTGTGGTTCTTCAAGAGAACATGCTCCTTGGGCATTAAAAGATTTTGGTATTAAATGTATTATTGCTCCATCATTTGGTGATATTTTCTATAATAATTCTTTCAAGAATTTCTTATTACCAATTAGATTACCACAAGAAACTATCTTAGAAAAATTGATTCCGGTTGTTAAATCTGGTCATAGATTAACTATTGATTTACCACAACAACAAATCAGAGATGGTGAAACTGATGAAGTTTTAATTGAAAATTTTGATGTTGAACCATTTAGAAAACATTGTTTAGTTAATGGATTAGATGATATTGGGTTAACTTTACAAAAGGAAGATTTCATTGCTAAATATGAAGCCAAAAGAAGAGAAGTATTCTCATTCTTGGAAGGTGGTTCAAAATTAATCAAACCAATTAGAGGTACAAAGAAATCTCCATATGGTAACAGAGCTCAAGAATGGTAAGTAAGTAATTTATAAGTTTGTATTGTTTTTCTTCTCTATATGATTATTATTTATTTTTATGATTAAAGGACTTCACAATTTTATATAACATGTTTAACTTTTCAAGTTGTGAACCATAATGATGTAGTTGATTGTAAGTATTATAGATGAGTATGTAATACATTAAATTAAGCAAAATGAGAAAACTTATAAGGGATATAAAACTCTATATGATTAAATATCTAAAACCTGAATTATGAAGAAATGAAAATGTATAATGTGTATGTTTCCTAAAGTCACAAAAGTGCCATAAATGACATCTCTCCTTAGTCTGTGCAACTGTCGGGATTGCAGCTTAGTCCTTGGCTGGACGGGTTGAATGAAACGAACTTGAGCTCTTGGCCGTAGGAAGATCTAATCAGCTCTATCAGACATAACCAGTTTAACAGGTTCTGAATCACAATATAAATTATGTTGTTGGATATATCTAATAACCGAATTAGGTAACAAATATTGTACTGACATTCCTCTTCTAATAAACAATCGTATTTTTGTACTTGAAATATCATTATAAATCAATTGTTTAATTACCAATACATTTCTTCTATGTTCATACATTATATCATGACTTAACAAAAAACTTCTAACATCTGATCCTGTTCTTTCAACAATCAAACATCCATATTTTCCTAATATATGATGTAAATCTAAATCTGCCCAAACATCAGGTTCACCCATTGATTCAATTAAATCTCCCCCGGCTAATAACATAATTTTAACTCCTCTCATTTCACCACTTTTAGTCTTAATACCACCTAATTTCACATTTATTTCTTCATTAAAATGATCCAATACTAATGCGGTACGAGTATATCTTGGTTGCAATGATTCCCATGCATCAACCATTAACCAACTTGAAGTTCTTTCACATGCCAATTCACACATTCTTACACGATGATGAGCTGGAGCCAAACCCGCTTTTTTATAATTGGATGAAACTGGGGAATAATATCCTCCAATAACTTCAAATCTTGTTTGTTCCGTAATTGAATCTAGAGCCATTTCAAACATTCGTAAATGTAAATAAGTTATGGGTGAGAAAGATCCACATGCAACTATAACCAAGGGGTATTTACTATCATCCAGTAAAGTTGTGGCTAATCTATGAGTTGGGAATTGATATTCTGATAATTCCGAAGCTTGCCTTTGAATTCCATGAGGCACTTCTTCCAAGTCGGCGATCTGGGAAGATTTCACTTGAATACTAGCAGGTAAGATTTCTTGACCTGAAGATTGTCCGCCCTTTTGGGAACTGCTACTTCCTGCTTGTTCTTCTATTGGTTCCGGATAGGGGGAATCATCTGTTATAACTACTTCGTCGTCGGAAGAAGATGAACTCATTAATTCAGTATGGATTCTTGGGATCTTGGAATGATATTTCCCTTCAATATGTTGTTCATTTGAAATGGAATAAATTCTATTAGATCTTGGATGGGATGTGGGTAAATCTAATGCTTCACCTAAATCAGCTAATACATAAGGTTGTATAGGAACGTTAATTGGTATTTTGGAAGAAGGTGCCGGTGGCTCCATATTTAAATTCTTGGAAGGAGGGGTGAAATTGGGATCGTGTGTTGGGTCCATTGTGTATGAGTTGACAGGATGCTCTTGGTTCTTATGGTTTATATTCTTATAACGGAAATGCTAATACTTAATCAAGTATGAAGACTCAGAGACAAGGAAGAAAGGGTGAACTTTGTATGAAAAAAATTTTGGTGTCTGATTTTAATTAATAATTCAAAAATTAAATTGATATTTTTTTTTTTTTTGGGCTTGAGTGTGGTTTATGTGGTGTAGTCGTATTATTTAGGAAGTTTAAGTGGTGAAACAGAACGTTAAAGAAAAAAAAGTGGTAAGAATTAAATTGAACGGAAGGTAACTAAATTAAAGGGGAAGGAGGGAGAAATGGGGGAGGAGAAGGAGGGGTCCATAAGATGATCTTCTTATTCTAGTTAGTAATCATGTGATGCTAGGGTTACATAGACTAGAGTGAGAGAGGGAGACAAATTGAATCTCACATAATTACCATAAGTTGATGGTTACCGTTGTAAATTATTTTTCGGTGTTTGGGAACACAATCGTATAAAATCAATTTTTTTTTTTTTTCCTTTTGACCTTTTACAAAGTTGATTGTTTCAATTATTAATTGATCCCACTTTCAAAAGGAAGGTAAGTAGATGTCACAAAACCAAAAATGTGTGGTGTATCCTCTTTTTATTCTTATTGTCCAACTGACTGTTGTATTGAAGTTTATCATTTTAAGAATTGCTATTGCCATTCCTTACCGATAACGGTCGCCTGACAAGGTTCTTTTTCTGGCACGACAGTTTGTACAAAATCCCCCAACCGTTTGGCATTCTTTTTTTTTTGACATGCGGCAACACCACAACCTTCCAAGCACAACCTACAACGACCCCTCATTATTTTTTTTTTCTTGGTTTCTTTGAAAGGTGTCTCGGTATTTAGAAAAAACTATTTATAGCAGCTCTTTAGTGGCATTCCTTTGGTAATATTTTAGATTCACGTAATGGAGATACGCGTTCTTAATAGTTCGCTCGGAGCTTGGACAGATTCCGATTCAATTACGTCGTCTTTTTGAATTTATTAGGGATCTCTCGGACATTTATTCCCGTATAAAAGCCCGCGGCAGTTTCCTTTTAGTTTGAGATGATGACCAAAGCTACCTCGAGATGTGTGGAAAATCCCTCGGGAATGTTGTTTGGCATGGATGACTATGACTTCTGAGGTAAACTGTTCTCATTAATATTAACATTACATGTTGTTCGAATCATCCAACATTAGGCTCGTATTTAAGCCTGTCTCACCTGTATCTCTCACCCAAAAAAAATTCCTATACCAAATCAGAAAAAATTGTTCGGGAAAAAGGTTTTCCCCATCATCCATCTCTCCAGCTTCCACACTGTAATCAAACACCATGTCATCAACAGTAACAAAGATCAGACCAGCCAAGAGACTAATTGAAACATCTGCTAAATGTTCTCAACAGGGAATGACATATGGTAATTGTGTTTTGAATAATTATGCCACAATGAGTAAAGACAAATGTGGTCAAGAATTTAATGAATTTAAGAATTGTATTTCTAGACAATTAAAAGGAAAGAAGTGGTAGATTACAGAGATGGATGATTCATAAGTCCTGAATATAATCGATTGATCGGATGTGAAATGATACATGCTAAGATCTAAGTTCGTTTATTGTGATTTTGCGGTGAACTCATCAAGGAGACGACTGTGGGACAAAAGGTGTACGATGGGAAGCATATGTAAAACTCTCGACATTCCCATCCACATGGAAAGACTGATCAAGTTGTGGATAAAGCTACGAGAACGGTGTATTACTTGATGTGTGGAACAGAAACTGTTGTCTTTGATGAATTCTGTATATTAATATCCCATATAGGTTGACATAAAATACTTCTATGGGTAGAGTTATTTATTGGTTAGCTTCAATTATCGTCAATTATTTATTATTTATTCAAACTCTAATACAATGAGTTCATAACAACAAGGTACCAAATTTAGAGGCTTGTAGGTTTTATCAGAAAGGACACTTAAATGAGTGTGATCGTCTGTAGAATAGGAATACCAAACAGTGCCCTAACAACCTCTAGTTCCACCTCTACGTTCCTCTGCACAGATGTTAGTAATAGCAAGATGGTTATCATTCCTCAATTCAATGTTACACCGTTTCTACTAGAATGATTGCATCCGATTCTAGAAAGATGCATTAACTCTTTCGTTTGATGTGGGACTACAAGGTGACAATGGCATTAGCTGTGGTTAACTGGTAATAACCACTTGATTTTATTTGAAGTAATTTCTCTTACATTGCAAACTGTTAGTTTAATTAACATAATTTTTGCAACAATTCTAAAACAAACCCAATTACTTATATTACATTTCTAAGTTCGATTATAATTCAAGTAATACCAAGCATATACATATATATGCACATCGGTTGATATCCCCGCAATGGTTGGTATATCCTGTAAAAGGTACTTATTTATGAATTAGTAATCATCACGGATGATTCAGAATGATTATTTTTTCGCGGTGGTGCTATTGTTTCTTAGAACTATTTTAGGTTATGTGATTTAATATTTTTTATATTTTTTATATTAATTACATTCTTTTAGTTTAACTAGTTTTTATTTTATTATATTATATTATATTATTGTTTTTGTGTGACAACTCAAATAACTATAATACTCTTATTGATC